AGTAAACGTGCCGGAGGTGGAGGGGTGCATAAGACGCGTTTACTCGAGTGGGACACATTTTTTGTGAAAGCCCTGTCAACACTAGCCAAAGTTCACGGAACTTTGCGCGAAAGTTAAGTTCCGTAAACCTACCTCTGTGTGGACAAGGCCTTTCATTTATAAGAAATGAACGAAAATCTTGAAAGAATATACATGAATGTGGTTTAATATTTTTAATTTCCGCCACCGTGCCAACCGAACTGAGTTTGGCGCAATGCGTGAAGTATCCCTACAGTCTTGTAGGCGATATGCGTATTACGCCGACCGCTGCTGACCGCACTGTTATTGACGCAATGCGTGAAGTATTCATGCAGTCTTGTAGGCGCCATGCGTTTCTCGCCGACCGCACCACGTTTGACACAATGCGTGAGGTATTCATTGAGTCTTGAAGGCGCTAATGTGTGTTTCATGTTGACCGGCGCGCCGAGGGCCTCTCCTTTTCATCTCAAGTCCTCTTCATCATTGCTATCTGCGCTGCGCCGCCCCAGGTCAAATTGCGAGTTTGGTTTCTCTCTCAACTGGACTAATGGAAGGCACTGTCTCTTGTATTACCAAAATAGTCCAGGCGCCTGGTAGCTAAAAATGAGGCTACCTGGAATTTCGGGTACACAGCGATTTTTTTGGCTTACATTACGTTATTTGGGTCGCTGAATCCGAATCTAAAGTTTCCTTCGCGTATCTGGTGAGCATTTTCCGCCATTTTGAAAAAATGTCCTGAAAAAGCCTTTTTTTGCGGTTTTCTTGATATAGCGGCTACGCATGAGAAAAAGTCCCGGATTTAGTTAATGTTTTGAATAGCTGACATAATTTGGAAAAAAATGGTGTATACATATGCTAAGTTTGCTTAAAACTTGAGGAAGATACAGCATCGTGAACCTCGGAACTCGGAACTTTGGAACGCTTCGGAACTTGCCTGACCGCGGCGAGCCGGATCGCCCGTTGACGGGTGCGCCGCGAAAACGTGAATGGGCGCGATGTTCACGATGCTGTATCTTCCTCAATTTTTCAGCAAACCTAGCATATGTATACACCATTGTCTTCCAAATTATGTTAGCTATTCAGAAAATTAACTAAATCCGGGACTTTTCCTAAAGACTAGCCGCTATATCAAAAAACCCAAAAAAAAAGGACTTTTCAGGCCAATTTTTCAAAATGGCGGAAAATGCTCACCAGATAGGTACGCGGGAGGAAACTTCAGATTCGGATTCCGCGACCGAAAAAAACATAAAGTGGGCCAAAAAAGAAGCCAAAATTGAAGGAGTTTTCGAATCTTCTGTATTTACATGACGAGATTTTTCAAATTGATTTGAATCATATTGTTGATTTGAGTTCCCTTTATTATTACGGGAAATTACTCCTGCTTCTTAATTTTTTATTATTTTGCAAAAATTATCCATTCGCGAAATACAACCCTGACTTTAGCGCCCTTTAACTACGGCCTAAACGGTCGAAACTAGAGTAGCGGCACAGGAAAACCGAATTACCACGTACGCGGGGACGCTACTTCAATATTAAGATTCCATCGCCTTGCTAAGGCGCAGGGATACAACTACTCGAACTCTCCGGAACGCGTGAGGTAACACGCCTCAATTGAAGTCGTTTTCGCATCTTCTGTATTTACAGCACGAGATTTTCCAAATTGATTTGCAAATCAACAATATAATGCATTATATTGTTGATTTGAGTTCCCTTTTTGATTTCGTGAAATTACTCCTGCCTCTTAATTTTTCATTCTTTTGAAAAAAAAAATATCCATTTGCGAAATACAACCTAGACTCTAGCGCCCTTAAGCTACGGCCTTAACGGTCGAAACTGCAGTAGCGGCACAGGAAAACCGAAAAACCATGCGCGCTGGGACGCTACTTCGATATTAAGCTTCCATCGCCTTGCTAAGGCGTTTTCGCATCTTCTGTATTTACAACACGAGATTTTCCAAATTATTTGCATTATATTGTTGATTTGAGTTCCCTTTATTATTTAGTGAAATTGCTACTGCGTCTTAATTTTTAATTATATCGCAAAAATTATACATTCGCGAAATACAACCCTACCCGTACCACCCTTTAAGTACGGCCTTAACGGTCGAAACTGCATTGGCGGCACAGGAAAACCGAATTACCACGCACGCGGGGACGCTACTTCAATATTAAGATTCCATCGCCTCGCAGGCATACGACTATTCGAACTCTCCGGAACGCGTGAGGTATCACGCCTCAATTGAAGGCGTTTTCGCATCTTCTGTATTTACAACTCGAGATTTTCCAAATTGTTTGCATATCATTGTTGATTTGATTTCCCTTTTTTATTTCGTGAAATTACTCCTGCTTCTTAATTTTTCCTTCTTTTGCAAAAGTTATCGATTCGTGAAATACAACCCTGACTTTAGCGACCTTTAGCTACAGCCTTAACGGTCGAAACTGCATTGGCGGCACAGGAAAACCGAATTACCACGCACGCGGGGACGCTACTTCAATATTAAGATTCCATCGCCTTGCTAAGGCGCAGGGATACAACTATTCGAACTCTCCGGAACGCGTGAGGTAACACGCCTCAATTGAAGGCGTTTTCGCATCTTCTGTATTTACAGTACGAGGTTTTCCAAATTGATTTGCAAATCAACAATATAATGCATTATATTGTTGATTTGAGTTCCATTTATTATTTAGAGAAATAATAAATGGATATTATAGCTTCAATGTTGATTTGAGTTCCCCTTATTCTTTAGTGAAATCACTCCTGCTTCTTAATTTTTAATTATTTTGGAAAAAATATCCATTCGCGAAATACAACCCTGTCTTGAGCGCCCTTTAGCTACGGCCTTAACGGTCGAAACCGCAGTAGCGGCACAGGAAAACCGAAGAACCATGCGCGCTGGGACGCTACTTCGATTTAAGCTTCCATCGCCTTGCTAAGGCGCAGTGATACGACACTTCGAACTCTCCGGAACGCGTGAGGTATCACGCCTCAATTGAAGGCGTTTTCGCATCTTCTGTATTTTTACAACACGAGATTTTCCAAATTGTTTGCATTCTATTGTTGATTTGAGTTCCCTTTATTATTTAGTGATATTACTCCTGCTTCTTAATTTTTAAATATTTTGCAAAATATATACATTCGCGAAATACAACCCTGACTTTAGCGCCCCTTAACTACGGCCAAAACGGTCGAAACTGCAGTAGCGGCACAGGAAAACCGAATTACCACGCACGCGGGACGCTACTTCAATATTAAGATTCCATCGCCTTGCTAAGGCGTAGGGATACGACAATTCGAACTCTCCGGAACGCGTGAGGTATCACGCCTCAATTGAAGGCGTTTTCGCATCTTCTGTATTTACAGCACGAGATTTTCCAAATTGATTTGCAAATCAACAATATAATGCATTGTATTGTTGATTTGAGTCCCCTTTTTAATTTCGTGAAATTACTCCTGCTTCTTAATTTTTCATTCTTTTGAAAAATATATCCATTCGCGAAATACAACCCTGACTTTAGCGCCCTTTAGCTACGGCCTTAACGGTCGAAACCGCAGTAGCGGCACAGGAAAACCGAAAAACCATGCGCGCTGGGACGCTACTTCGATATTAAACTTAGGGGTGTTCAAACGAATTCTTGCCGGAACACTATCGACATCGTCTCTTATTGAAACTGGCGGCAGTACCGACAGTGGCCATGATATCGACAACAGCCGGCCTTATCGGAGTTTTGAGAGCTGGCACTCAATACATTGTTGCCCCGTGTGTCGGTTTATCAGATTGCCTGGCGCGGCGGCGCGTAAAATAGATGTACAATTGGCAACAGCTTATTTTCGCCAGCTCCGAAAACTCTGATTGCTATCGGTAAGAGCGCTCTTATCGTAACTTTTTCTTAACGGAACTGTTTCGGTGGCTTATCGACAACCGATTGAACAGCCCTAATTAAACTTCCATCGCCTTGCTAAGGCGCACGGATACGACTATTCGAACTCTCCGGAACGCGTGAGGTATCACGCCTCAATTGAAGGCGTTTTCGCATCTTCTGTATTTACAACACGAGATTTTCCAAATTATTTGCATTATATTGTTGATTTGAGTTCCCTTTATTATTTCGTTAAATTACTCCTGCTTCTTAATTTTTAATTACTCTGCAAACATTATCCATTTGTGAAATATAACCCTGGCTTTATAAAAGACGAACAAATTAGAAATTACGATACTTAAACTCTCAGGAAATGAGAACTTTTGCGGCCGTTCCTCGTTTATAATTTTTTTCTGAATCAAATTTTTTTATTATAGGTACCTAAATTTAAAAAAATTGCAACATTTGCCGCCCCCTAAATCCGGCCCTGATAGCAAAATGCGTATCTGGTGATGATGTGTCGATTCTTAGTGCCGAAAACGCGAATCTCGGCATTTCTGCCATATTTTCTAACAGTCCGAGAACATATTCAAAATGATGATGGAGTCTGAAAAAGCATCTTATTCTTGCTGTACTCAAGCAATGTTCCCCTTCTACTGACAATGTGGAGGAATGTAGTCAGTTTTTTTACTCTGTTGGAAAATCGTGTTTTCCGAGGTACCTACGCACTTCTGCACTTCCATCATCGATATATGTGATAGCGTACTTACGCCGTCGATAAACTTAATAGCACTGTTGTGTTTCGTCAAAGGTCCATTTTAAAAACCCTGAAATATCACTTCTTTGTACTGCAAATTCATTTTGTTCAGCTGTAACGAATATGATGCAAAACGACGAATATGATATGTATTCAATGCATTTACGTATTCTTCGTTTTTTCAATACGTCATGATTTTTTTTTTTTTTTTTTTTTTTTTTTTTTTTTTTTTTTTATAGATCATAATGAGCGAAAGATTAGACATTTGCTTTGATTTTTAGACATGTTTATCATTTATTACTTCTTGTGCGGTATTCCTTCAAAGTTTCTGTTGTTTATCATACTTTCCCTACTGTCTTTGTTTTCAGAAGAGGAACGACATTTTAATGGAGATGAAGCTAACAAACAGTTGGAGGGAGGCATTGAAAGTATCAAGGGGCTTCCGGATCAATGAATCGTGTGACTGTACATTTTCACCGTTTTCCTGTTTTACTGAACTTTATTAAAGTAAAAAATGTTCCTAAAATTGTATGCTTGTGTTTTGAATTATTTATATACAGTAAATCGTTCGGATCTACTCTCTGGCCAAAGGTTTGGGAGTTATTCGAACTTTTCAGTCGCCAAAATGGTCCAAATCCTTTCCTGGTAATTCATCCGAAGATTGCAAATTGCAGGATTTGTCCGATGCATGCAACTTAGATACACTCTGAAGATATCTAAGTCTGTTGAAATTAAGTTTTTAGAGGTACAAACCACATTTGGACTACATTTTGCAATAAGGAACCACTATTTCTGGCCCATTTTAGAAACAACATACATGTCATTAATTTCCCCATGCAGACATGTGCTTTTATGGGAGAGCCAGAGATAGTGGTTTCTTATTGCAAAAATGTAATCCATTTGACATGCACTGTAAGCTAAAACTCAGCTTCTGTACGTACTTAATTGGAAAATGAAAAAATAAAAATCTAAGGTATGAAAAGGCACCAATTTGATTTCTCAAGAGAATTGGATAAGAGAAGAAAATACTTTATGCATACAGTTCCATCAGCAGTAACAAACTATCATCAATGATGAAATGATTAGGTACGTTTAATTAAAACATTTTTTTCACGATTAAACCATTGGATATTTTGTACTTGCAAGTTTGCCTTTCAGAAATTAAAAAAATCGGGAAAATGGCAACCAGGCATGTATAAACTAGTTTTTATTGTTCAATCTTATGAGAGACATTTCGCAATAACACATTAGGATCAGCAAAAATCATACATTCATTAAAATGACTTTACTTACAAAAAGACTAGAGTTCAAATGAGTTTTCCTGAACTCACAAAATGTAGATTGGTGATAAATTTTAGATCAAGAGGAAAAAATAACAAAAATACAGGAAGATAAATACAAAAATATTATGAACTGTCTTATAGGACAAGCTGCCTTGGATAGGATCGATACTCTACTTATTGGAAGTGACATTAGTTCTGCAAAAGGTTTAACTAGTGAAAAAATTTCCAATGAACCAAGATTTTTCTTTTTTCTGCCTTTTTCAGAAGAACCAATGAGCCAAGATTTTTCTTTTTTCTGCCTTTTTCAGAAGAATACTTGGCTTGGTGCCATGATCGGAGGGAAGAGGAGAAAATGTGAAAGCTTGATTTAAAATAAGAAAACAGAGATAATCATAGTCTTTAATTTCACTGATACTAAACGCTTACAGTCAATATCCTAACAACTGTGATACAAAACATATTGTTGCAGTAGAGTCACTCTAAATTCGTTCTAAGAATACTTCAAATACTTGTAATAAAAAAGTAAATAAAGGTCAGAAAAAGTACTTGTTTGAAACTTATGTGCAGAACTTTGTCTAGATAGTTACTTGATAGCAGCAGGAGTAAAAAATCCTTTGGCTCTCCAATGTCTATTTGTTACCTAATTAGCAACTAAGCTAGGATAATTCATATCAAGATGTCAATATAAAAAGCCATGAAGAATAATAACAACTACTCATAATTTTGAAGGATTCTAAACTGAAAATGAAGCAGTAAACCGATCTAATTTTCACTCTTTTCCTAAAAAAAGACGTTTTTATAACAACAAAAAGAAGAAAAATCTCCCTGATTCTTCTATGATTACCTGAAAAATTTTCCACTCATTACAGGAACATACTTTTGACATTAAAAGAACCCTATTTTAATTGATTCAGACATTTTGAACTTGACCTGACTTGAGTTTTCCTTTAACCCTGGCCCAATGGCTTGCGTTAAATTTGTTCTACCTCTCAAGTAAATTTCCATCACCAAATAAAAAAATTAATGGCTTTTGAAATGGCTGATTCAATTAGCTATACACACCGTTGGGAAGAAATGGAAGAGGTACAATAAAATTTAAAATTCCATAATTTTCTAGGTTACAAAAAAAATTTCTGCATCATGTTTTCAAGGTCCTTAGCAACTTTGAATGATACTCCTAATTTCTTCAATTGGAGAGAGGAGCTCTTTTTAATATCGGAGTGTCTACAGAGTTACTTAGCGAGAAAAAATTCCCTGATCAAAATGATCAAAATTCCTTGAAAATGAAAAAATTTTGACATTCATTTTAGTGCAAGTTCAGAAACATGCAAACTTTTTTTGCTCGGGCATGAATCATTCAATAGACAAAAATTTTAATTTCTTTTAAAAATTATTCCTCTATTCACTGTTCAAAGTGTAGCTCAGAGCACTGAATCTTAAACCAGATTGAGACTCAGTTTAATTTGCAGTCAGCATGTGTTTTTACCAAGTTTCAGTATTTTTTAAATTTCTAGTCTTTTTTATAAAATTCCCTGAATTTTCTGCCCTAAAGGAATTCCCTAACAATGCCTGGTTTTCGGACTTGTAGACACCCTGAATATTTATCACAGTGATCAGAAATGAAGTTCAAATTAACTTTAAAAAACTTAGATCTACTTTAAAGCTACAAAAAACCTTAACTAAAATAGTGAAACTAACTTGCTCATTAAAACATGAGCTATGATAACCTGCATTACCATCAGCACTTGAACAAAAGAAAGCTCCGAGAAGACGTTACCGATGCATTGCAATTGATGTTGTACAATCTTTGTTGGTGTGAGCTGCAAAGCCTTGTCCAGAGTACCAACAGACTTCTTTAGAAAAAATTCTCCACTTGTGACCGTCTATAGCAAAAGAGGTTGTAGTGGTTTTAGAAAAACTCAAAATTTGGATGTTGGCACCAATACTCAAAAAGGTATTCCCGGAACAAGTAGCAACTAAATCATCCAAGAATGTCAAACTGGACCTAAGTTCATCCACTCACAGACGAAAGAACGTAACTAAATTTCAACGCTGCAGAATTTCCACCTACAAATTTCATTTTTGCTAGGACACTGTTAGGCGTTTCCAACCGATAGTCTAACTGATTTTTTCTTCTTCAAATCCCTTGCAAAAATCAGCGAAATTTTCAAATGGAATTCTGACAAAATCGAGTTATTGGAGTCAATTTTGCAACCTTGGTGTGAAGTCACATTCCTTCCGCTGGGATGTGATGAGGTTCTACAGTTTGAAGTTCCTCGTTCAAAATTGTAATTCTGAGAAACATCTGTTGGAAATATGTGTTTCTGGTTCAAAATTTTATAAATTCATGCCTTCTAGAGGCACAAAAGTAAACCAAATCCCTTGCAGTTCTTTTTTTAGGGACAAAAGCGACTGGTTTTTTTTTTTTTTTTTTTTGTCAAGAACTATAATTTTAGTTTTTTGACAGAACTTGACAAAAATTGCTCTCCAAATAGTAAAAGAAAAAAAAATCTAATATCATTGATCACACAGTGATCACTTGAAATTAGGCGACAAAAAAAAATTGCAAGATCCATCATAGCTTGCACACTGTGCATCCATAAAACACCTCAATTATAGAAATGTAGTATTTTGTCACAGAGAAGAAACTTAAACTAAGTTAAAAGATAGGTTACCTAGATCACATGATTTCTGGCGTTGCTTAAAGCATGCAAAAATGCGCAATTAGCGTATGCATGGCTAAATTGGACTAAATCAGGATACACCTGGATGAACAGAACAGCTGACAAAAATTTGTGCGATGACTTTCTCATGCGGAAATAAAATGTTGGTAGGAATACTGAAACAGCTCAGACAAGATACGCCCTTTCATGCGAGAGACGATGATATTTGTCTTTTATGTAAAAACTGAGAGATGTGAGAAAGCAGTAAATACAGAAATATTTTATGTTTCCCAAAAGACAGCAGTAAAATCGCTCTACCCTGTATAAGAGTGAAATAGGCACCAGGCTCTACTTAACTTCTATTCAATTTTCTCTGAACTCTTTTTGTGAACTCCCGTCAGACTTGTTCGATACTATTTTGATTTATAGCCTCTGGAGCAAGCAGAAGGTGCAAGATACCCCTGTCTTACGTAGAATGTGAAAAATAATTACCACCATTACAATTGAAGCAGAACTTGATCAATAACTAATAATTCTTGCAATTTCCAGAAGTCTAACTAATGCTCATGGCAGATTTTTTTCAACTTGGTGGTTTTGGTGATTTTGTCACTACCACATTCCTGTTTTCTACTTACAAACTACAAAGTACATTCTCTTAAAACTTTATTCATGCTTTTATTGCCCTTTCCAGTAACACGGCAGCATGAAAGATGACTAAAACAAAGACTTCAGTATTGCGGAATGTGAGATAATTGCTAACAATCATATCATTGGCTACTATGATGTTACCCAGAGGTACCGGTGATTCTTTTTCGAGCAGATGAGAAAACACCGAGATTTTCAAAAGCAAATTGGTGCCCGGTTGAAAAAATATTGGGCTGATAAAAATTCTACAGCATCACAGCCATGGTATCTTTCCACGCTTCAGCCAACGATATGACAATGCAACAAAATATGAGATCAGTGTAAAACATGATGTATTGCAGACTTTTGGAGAAAGATTCTAAGTTCATCTAGATTTTCAAAAAAAGAATAAACGAAAATTCATTAACTTTTGCCATGAACGATATACTAAAATGCATAGAAAAAATGAACCATTTCACCCAGTAATTTTCAAATTGAGCTCACAGTTTTTGGTAAACAATGGATAGATACTAATACGATACTCAAGTATTTCAATTCATAATTTTCGACATCTTCTTTTGGATGTTTTTAAAAACTTCTTTGGTTACAGACAGATAGGGGAGGATAAATTTGATCATTCTTCATGTACTGCCATGCAAAATAAGAACGCCGTATGAGTCCTCAGGCATTGCCATATTTCATTTAATAAAAAACGAGCTACTGACAACATTGTGAATCAGTATTCAGAAGACAGTTCTTTCAAATTTTTCAGACAGTTATGTTCGCATTTTCATCTAGAATACCTAATAATTTTAAGGAAAAATATGCGAAACTTTCCTCAAAAATACATGTTTTATCTGGGGAAGTTTTACAACTCTCCAATATTCATATAGCGTTCTTCCTTAGAATGGCAGTGTAGGTCCCCGACAATTTGGATAATATGTAGTTTACCCAGTTTTTATTTTTTGCTCAGTCGTTAGACACCTAGGAATGAGAACAATGGAATAACTAATTGGATCACATTAAATAGAATCAGCCTGAAAACATTTGACATTGCTAAATTTGCTCTCGTGTTCAATTTTTCATAAAAAAAACTACACAAGCATTGCTGTGCTAAAATTCTGTACAGACATTCTCCATAAATTGGAGTAATTTTACAGAAAACTCCAGGTTACAATGTTGCTTGGATTTTTGTTTAGAAAATTAAAAGTCACAAGAAATTGTACAAGACTTTAAAAACAGTTGCACTGATTCTGGCTAAAGCCATCAAATTAAGTTTAATTCATTTTCCTTTTGTCACACGAAGCGGTTCATTCAATTGTTCCTGTTAACGACGTTGATTTACAATATATTTGTGGACTATATTACTTAGGTATCAAATTGAAAACCATATCAATGGCTAAGGAATAATACCACCTTACTGGCAATTTTAGTGAAAATGCATTAGCAAGGGTGCTGCATTCTACAATATATAATACGCAAGTTATTAGTTTCTTTCAATGGGTCAGTTGCACGCGAAGAGATATAGCTAAATAAATTACAAATAAACAAACACGCTTTGTCAAGTTTCCCCCGTCTGCAGGCAGTTTTTATCAGTAACCGCCGACCAGGTTTGCACACCACACAGGCAGTAGTCAGAAAAACTAATCTGAGTAAACAAACGATTTCACTAACTTTATTTATTCTATGGTTTTAATCGTTTTCAAGCGTTTGTTTCCTTTTTCTTTCTATATTTTGCAAAAACAAAAGATTTGAAACAATTGAAATCGTACACAAGGAGAGTTTATAACAGTTAGCGAGACTGTTTGTTTATTTGGGTTAGGTCTCTCTCCAGGCAAACCTGACTGGTAGCCACCAAGAGAAACTGCTCGCATAATTTAAGAAAGGGTGTCACAAGCAAATTGCGTGCTAAGGAGTGAATTTTAGACCTTTTTGATGTGCCCAACGTGGTTTTCGAGGGAAGTTACATTCAGAGAGTGTATTCAGTTGGCTGTATCTCTTGCGTGGCTGACCTGTTCAGCATGGGGGCACTGCCATGACACCGTAAATTAAAAAAAAATTGCAAATCTAATCTCAAAATTGCAAAAATAGTGAAGTTTTTCCTTTGTCTTATGAAATCGTAAGTTGTGAGATATGCTGTATTGTTCCTTAACCATAGATATCTAATCCCCAAAAAGTTGGCGACAAAATATTCACTGTACCAATCTGTGAGGATAAGTTCTCTTTACGAAGCTTAAAAATAATTACTGATAGGGGGAGAAATTTGCCTACTATGATACAAATTTACAAGGGAGTGAGAATCCTCCCTAAAACATCAACGCTAAACTAAATGTTTGTAGGCGAAATCAATGCTGCAAATTCCTATGAAATTTTGAAGAGGATACGCTCCATGCTGACATTTCTGTTAGAATTGACGGCTGCAAGAAACCTGGGAAAGACAAGAAAAAACGTTAGCATCGATGAAGAAAACAGAAACAGAGAGATGATGCTATGGGTCGTTGGTTGTTCATTTCTTCATTCATTTTAATCGATGTTATCCTCACAAAGGAACGTAACTAATTTTCAATGTTGCCAAATTTCCCCTTGCTTTTAAATTGACCAGAGAATCTTGGGCATTTTTAAATAAAAATTGTTTTAATTTTTCTTCTAACCCTTCTCATGCAAAAATCTAGAAAATTTGGGACAAAAAGTGTACCAGCACATTCTTCCGAAAAATTAAATTGTTGTGGTCAATTTTGCAACCTTGAAATGGAATTACGTGCTTGATGATAATAGACCAGTAGACAGAGTATAAAATTAAGCGACGAAGTACATACATTTTTCTTTTTCGAAATTCCATGTAGAACACGATGGACGCATCAACCTTTCTGGAGGAATTTTTCTGCAACCTTGATTTTTCTGAGCACTAACTTTTTCTTAACAAGATTTATTTTTTTTTAGTCAAAAAAGGACGGAAATTTGTGTAACCAAGCTCTGGTTATATTTGCCTTACATACAGGTTGATTTTACTGCCTAGTTTGGCCTGCGTTAATAATTAATACATGTTTACATGCTGGAAGTTTGAATTTTCAGATCATAATGTAAACCACATACATTTATTTCTCACTTATGAATTAATTTTAATAGTTTTTGATGCATTTAATGTGTTATGTATGAAATTTGGATGAGAAAACATGTGCTGCAGTTTGTTATTTCTTGCACTGTCTAGAGGTCCATTGCAAACAAATTAACATATGATTGAAAAAAGAATTATCTAAGGCTAAACTTGAAGATAAGTTGTTTCGATTGCATTGTTTTGAAATCTTTGCACATATTTTGATTTTTATAGAAAATAAATTGACATCCATGCTTGACAACTCTGTTGGATAACTGTAGCTAGAAGTAAGAAAACTCGAGAGAAATTTCAAGCTATAATAATTTTAGTTTGTTTAAGTCTTCATCAAGAGAATCAGAAGCTCAGGGCTACCAACTAGTGTACAGGTCATAACTAACATTTTTAAGAAATCGAGTCATTCATATTTTCATTTTGTTAAGGCAGGGTTCTGCAAGGGTGTAAAAATTTGGTAATGATACCTAATCCAGATACAAGATGCAAGACTTCAAAATTTGCAAAGTAAAAAAGTAACAGTTGGGAAAATTCTAGGAGCATGTAGACGTCGCAGGCAAATAGTCAAATCAGGCATTTTATTAAATGCCACAGCAGATAGTCAAATTTTGATGGTTTGTGAAGTCTTGTATGTTTTTGACAAAGAGCTCAAATGTTTCATTGTTTGAATGAAAGAATTCATCAAATCTAAAAACTTTGCTTGTATGTTACTCTCCAAATGCTCCATATTTATTTCAATTGTCAAAGTTTTAAAAATTCTGCATTTAATGACATGCTAAAAATCCCGGGACTGGATCTAATTTATTTACAATTCTATGATGCCAATTTTTACGGAAACTTTTTTGCTAGATGAGCAAATAATTATTCTGTCTATAATTAGCAAAAGAACCAGAATTTTAACGTAAGTACGAACAATTCTCATTAATTCTTGTGTCCACAATTTTCACGAAGAACTCGATATGCCTCGCTTTGTCATTCATTTCTCACTGAAAACTTTACGCAAACATTCTTAAAGGCTCAAAAACAATTTTTTATTAAAAGAAAAAACGTTATTCGTAAAAATTGCGGAATTTTACTATCGCAACATCTGCTACTGTCACAGATACAGTCTCATTCATAAAGGAAATAATGAAGCAATTGTTATAAATGCGGAAAACAACTCTGTAAGCCAGAAAGAAATGATAATGATGAGGCTGATATGATGAATGTAATAAAGACCAAAAACTTTCTAGATCCTGCCTTGATCACTGAATTTTCCTTACAAATAACAATTTAATAAATTTATTCCAAACATTGCGAGAAAGTTTTTATCAACTGACGATGTCTGAATTAAGGCACCATCATGGGGGAAAAAAGACAAAAAGAGAACTTCTTTCAAAACAAAACTTACTTTTGATTTTAAAAAGAAATACTAACCTGGCTCTAAGGTGTTTACTTGGACTTTGATTTTGCCTTCTTTTTGGCTGCATTTTTCTTTGAGGGTTTCTTCTTGTAAACGTAAAACTGAGCAACAATGATGAAGTTGGCGAGGGAGGCCAACACATACATTAAAATCACAGTGAAGTCACCGGTTTCCTGAACTGAAGTGAAGACGCGAATGACTGATCCAACGAACAGCATGATGAAAGTCGTGTGAGACAACTGACCGGTTCCTTTAGCTTTGTAGTTCGTGTAAGCCTGCACCAGCTGCAGAGGAAGAAAGAACCAGGAAATTTAACAATTAACATAATGATTTTTAAAATTGTAGGTTGAACGAGAAATTCCATGATCGAATCGATCATTTTCAAAAAAACTTAACCCTCCATGGCATAGCGTTACAAATTCGTAACAATGTATTTTCAGGGTTTTTTAAAAATTGAATCTTTCCCTTGTGCCATGATGTTGCAAAATTTCATTAGTTTCTTCTTTTTTGGAAAAATTGACTACCTTAACCTTAAAATTTTGAAAACTTTGGTACTCTACTTTTTTAAATGCTTTAGGAGTTTTCCAATATGTTAAGAAAGTTATGCGCAAAATGTTGATGAGGATACATGAATGGTGCTTACAGGTTTCCCAGTCGAAAGGTCATGATATTTCATGATCTCTCAACTTTAAATGGTCTTATCTGACCAGGCAAAATTGGCCTATTGATCAAGAGCAAGAATGGATTTTCTCTGCTACTTGCTAGATGTGGAAATGTGTCTTGAAATGTTACGACCTGGTCATCCCAGGAACTTGGTTGTCTTGGACTTCTTCGCTAACAATGTGTTTTGACCAAAATTCTCCTGTCGGGCCAGAAAAACAAGACTCAAGTGCTTTGAGCCACCATTTCTACACATCGTTGCAATGCTATCATTTCTTCTTGGCTACATACGTAATTTGTACCAATTGAGGCATTTTCCAGTAAAAAAGTATGTGAGACTTCTAATGCTGCTTAGATTATGCAACACAGTTTTTTAGCTGTAACTTATTTGACAGTTTTGCTTTGAATTTTTCCCTGAACTGCTTCAAGTTTTTCCTTGTTATTAAAAGGAAGTAAGTTGACTGTGAATGAATTTCATTTGCCGCAAACGCTATTAAAAACTGCACAATATTAGCAGCACTGCAAGCCTCATACGCCCTTTTACCAAAAAAGTAGGTCCTTGGTGACGAGCATACAGCCCTTTTATTACAGAACTGTATGATAGAAATACGCTAATCAAAACGTTGGTCATTATGAACACTCTGGCCAGGGGTGACTGATAAAAACACTGTCCTTGTGACCAAATCGGCAAAGAAGAAGTTAATATACACAAACGTAAAAATGAACAGTTCATTTCTGAAATTGTATTATGCTGACAGGGAAAAGAATCCTCACTTTTCCTGGTGTTTCTAGGTCTTCTACGTCTTAGTTTGCCCTAATGCTTGCTGTCCTATGGAAAAGTCTGGGGCCAGAGATAGAGATTGACGGTGAAACTACCAAACCATGTACCTCATTTGCAGTGTTCAAAAATCTTGACTCCCATTTTATTTTTTAGAGGGGGAACACATCGATATCATTTCTTATAATTTTCACAGAAGCTTCTTTGCACGAGAAGAAAAAACACGGAAGTTTTCAAGAATCAGGGTTGCCACATAATTTAGAGGCTGGAATTCCCTGACATTTTCCTAACACATTTTGGTGAAATTCCCTGACAATTGAGCAAATGCCAGATTGTTCAAAAGACATACAGGAAAAGCTCGCTAAGTTGAACTACCATTAAGACGAAATGCCGATTAAGTCGAATTTTTTTTCGGTCCCTACACAATTCGACTTAGCAAGCTTTCACTGTAAAAAGAAATTGTTTTCAGGCAAAATTTGTTGTTCAAAACATCATACCCACTCTGGAAAGCAAATAAAGGTGACTTGACGATTTTTCCCTAACATTCCCAGGTTTTCCCTGACATTTCCCAGTATTCCCTGACTGTGGCAACCCTAAGGAATTGACGTGAAGTCGTTTTCCATTGAAAAAATAAAGTATGACAGGAAGTCTACAACGTCGCAAACTGAGATAAAAGATCTGGTAGTTTAACTGTCGAAATGCTTACCTTGCTCGTGAACATGAAAGGGATGCTGAGGGCTTGCAGAGTCCAGATGGCTTGAAAAGGCACTCCTCCGTTGAGCAAAGCGTACAGAGTCGGGAAGAAAGCAACAGCAAAAGATATCGTGAGACTTTTAGAGACTGAATAGTAAAGGACTAACAGGACGATGATGAGAGTTTGGATCAAAAGGAATAGAGAGTCTCCCCAAGCACTGAAAAAAAAGCATACATTACTTCAGATTTAAAGCTCTAAATTGGTAAAGATTTCACTTCTGAGTAGCAGAGCAGGGACTCCTGAGTTCAGTAGAGTTTTAGAGCACCCCAATTTTACCCTGTACTCTGTTCTATTTCGGAATGTGTCCGACTACCAGTTGATTTCTGCACGTGGTTGCAACACCGTAAACACCCCTGGTCATTGGATCAGGAACACGTTAGTGCTTATGTCCTTCTTGATGAGCCAAGCAGACTTTTGTTGCTGACCGTTTTCTCCTTGTTGAGTATTGAAACTAAAATTTCAAATTTCTCAGAATGTTACTGATTTCACCTTGGAATGAGTACTAATGTGTAAATTCTAAAGATAAGTGTCCGAAAAAAAAAAAACCCAAGTGACAGAATTTAAAAGAATTTTGAAGATTGCACCGATCAATTCAGAAAAAACCGTTGATGCTTCTAAATCAGTTTTTATAATGAATATACCTACTTGAAAATTTTAGCTTTAATTCAACAGTGCAAGTGCTTGCAGGGTTCTTGAAATAAAAAAAGGGGCCCACTGGTCTTGGCCTCTATCTACAGTGCTTATTTCCTTACCGCTGCCATTAGTTTAGTTTATGTTTTATTTTCCAGGGACGCTCCGAAATGGAGCAGCGTTTGGCTGCATTTCTAAAAAATGAGTTCATTGCAAACAAAAGAAAAAGCAAATTGAATGGACTTTAAAAACCCATTCAAATCTTGTTGAGTGCATTAGAAAAATCTAAAATCCACTCCTTAGCACACAGCTTATGTAGTTCATATTGCTCATTCAGAAATGACGCAGGAAAAAAGCCTAATCAGGCATTTTATCAAATTCATACGCAGATAGTCAAATTTCGAAAGTTAATGAAATTTTATATGATACTGCTTCATTACATAGAATAGGTTTTCTTTCTACAAATCTAGTTGCCAGAAACCAAGAAAAAAATGTTAGCAGATACTAAAATTTGAAGATGAGCTACACAAAATAAACTTTGACAGGGTGTCTTATATAATTTCAGTTTAAATTTTCCAGATATTTTCCTGACATTTTTTTCTGTTATTTTGCCTTGAAAATTGGCACTCATTTGATTTAAAAGAAACGTAATTTATCGACTGAATCAAATGTTTAAAAAATGCATGAATATTTCCTGATCCACAATCAAATTTCCTGACAGCATAAAATTTCCTGATATTTTTCGGTTTTAACTGTTGACAGACACCCTGCCTTATGGAGAGATAAAAGTCTAAAATTAGTATATTAGACTTTTAAAGATCTTTTTCAGATTTCAGAACGATCCGCCCGGAACTCACCTGAATGGAAATTGCTTCACATAGCTGTATGCAACAACAGAGGTGACGGCAAAAAGATCAAAGAAAACTCCAAGAATGCTGATTCCTTTTGCACTCTTGCTGCTCAGAATCTTCAAAATCTGGGGGACTTTTACTGAAAAAAAAAAAACATAAAAGAAATTTAGGCAAGAAGCAGTCGCCTTTGAAAAAGCTCAGTGTCAGATGAGAAACAGCATGATGAAGTTTTGAAGAAATTTTGGCTTGAATTTTTTAATCTTCTTGTTAGGTATGGTGATAAAAATGACTGGAAACATACCAATGACATAACTAGAAAAGCGCTTTTGTAAAATAGCAGAGTCACAAATTTCCTACTTTAATCTATGCTTTAAATGGACATATTTCTGCTAAGTGGAACTCAGCACCAATTTCAGTCCCTCTTGAGGATTTTAAAATTTCGGATAGTGCCTTCTGTCAAGCGGAACTAAGCACCATGGAAGAGCATTGTGAGCATGGTTCAGAATGGGCTACTCAATTCGCAACACTCGCTAAGCCAACCCGCATTCCCCTTCTCCCCCATTGGCGCTTCCTTCCGTTTAGCAGAAAAAAAGCCTTCATTCTAAAAATTTCCTCCCGAGTTTATGTTTAGTTTTTTTTTTCATGTGAAGAGGTCAGTGGCAAGACTTTTCCCCAGCGTATCTAACAGTTGATCCGTAAGTAAAATTCCATGAAAATACCAAAAAGTTTAATGTAAAGTTTAAAAAGCACTTCCAAGGGGAGAAAAAGCTTATTCAATCTGATCAACCAGAGGCCGACAATTGTTATGACACAACTTGACCATGTCTTTGGCTGGGCTTGAGCCAATCAGCAAATGAGGACTCCCTTGCCTGCTTGCGCAATGACGGATAGCCAAAACTATTGTTTCGAATGGATTCAGATTTTGGGAACTTGAAATAGATTTTTCCCGTCATTTTGAGTACAAGAAAAAATGAAAAAAGTTACTTACTAGGAACCTTACTTTGTGCTTTAAGAAAATTAATTTTTAAAAATAGATATCTCTAATGATAAATGAGGTCATGACATTGAAAAACAGGTATTAATCTTGTCTTAAAAGTTTAGTTTCCACTGGTGGACTGAAATTTGAGACATTTTGTAAATCAAATTAGGCACGCTTAAGAAATGAGAAATGCAAAACCTAGATTGAGGGCTTTTTGCAAAGACTAACACTTGTTTTGAGAGTGATGATTTCACTTAACGACTCAATTTTTTGGGGGAAAAAAAATGTTTTAAAAATTAAAGCAAAAAAATTTAAAATTATATATTATTTTGAAGGACCAATGAATGTTCGTTCCAATAGACCAAGTTTGGCAGAAAAGAACAAAGCCTCATATATAAAGTTAAAACCAGAGGAGGTTCTAGCCACTCTTTTGTTGATGAATCAAAGAACTGCAAATGATGAGTGTTAAACGAAATCAGATAAAGAAGGTTGTTCATAAAAAAATGCAAAAGCTGTGTTTCCTGACTACACTCAAATCATAGTCTTACTAAGGAGGCAAATAATTACTAGCTAGTGTTTTAAGATCAAAGTGAGCCCTCAGATGGATAATAAGGTAAGCAGCCTGCGGGCTGCTGGTATTTGAAAAAAATTATCTGACCTTGTCTTTTTGACGTCTCGATTTGATCATGTGACAGTAGCTATTTACTATTTATTAGAAACAATAACTAAGACAGTCGACTTGCATCAGAACTGAACGGCTTGTGCCTTCACATTCTTCTGTTTAGTGTCCCATTTTCTCTTGGATCCTTCCTCATTTCTTTCTTTATTTTTTATGTTTGCTGCTTGCATGGCTCTAATAAAGAAACTTGAGACTTACCCAAGACTGACCCAGCAACTATGGCTAGACCTAATCCTTTGCTCGCAGCAAGCTTGAGACAAGGAACTAAAACAAAAAGCACTCAAAATTAATAAAATGACAAGGCCAAAGGTGATTGTAGGTGTGATCTGGTCCGAAAATCTTAAGACAAGATATCTTAATAACATTCTCACCTCTCTAAGTTGCTTATAAATCAATTGGAAAAACAATGACTAAATAAGTTCATGCCGTTGGATACCTCTATTTCAATGATGATAGAAGAACACATTTCTAGAATAGTTGCGTTGCAGATTTATTGTTACATTTTATTTTTTGCAACAAAAACGAAATATTCCTGAAAATTTTTAATGATTCCTCCTCATTCTAAAAAAAAAAAAAAAAAAATTCAACATCTCGTAATATTGCTACGAAAGTGTCAAGAAATCACATCCTTCATCTGTCTTTTGACAAAAATATGATGGAAGCAAAAATTTTACAACATGACGATCCTGTTACATTTTTTGAACTGTTACTGTCGATTTCTCATTTCACTAGAACTTGCGTCAAATGAGCTGGTAGTTGTTTACTTTCTCTGTCTCCAAGCAATTCCATTGTAGTTGTCCATTAGTCATTAAGGGTTGACCGCAGACAACTATGCCACTATACGCAGAAACGAAAATCCATGTACTGCGGATGACAGTCAAAAGGACACAACTGTCAACTTTTCTGACACAAGATCTCCTGAGCTTTAAAACTTCAAAAATATTTAAATCAAACAGGAAATGGAGACGCATATACAAGGCTTGAGTCCAGTAATTCGTTCCTGGGGGCCAATTGTTGAATTGTTATCGACTGATCCTGGTCAATGCGTCCCTATCTTAGCAGTGTCATTTATCGATAAAGGTCGTTGGATAACGATTCGACAATCCAGGTGCTGGACTGAAATGTTTCAAGATCTTCGATCAAGTTTTATTTCTTCGGAAGAAAGCTAACTGAGATTAAGGAGGGTTTTGAAAGAAGGGCTTATAGAACATGAACAAGTTCATTTCTCTAAAATATCTTTTCTGGAAAAGCAGATAGTGATGGTCTCAGCTGCACTATTGTTTGTTCAGATGGCTGCTCCTCGGAGGAACAAGCGTACCTGGACTGCTCTGCCATGCAACGCAAAAACGCCTTTTTACATTTCTTGAAAACAATGTATCATAGCAGAAAAACTTGTGTGCCTTGAGACAATTTTTAAAGAATTCTTTCGCAAATACTGTCAAGAACTTAACCTGAAATTTTGGATGCATGGGTAAAATAGATTTTAATTTATAAAGTGTTAAGTTCCAAAAAACGAGGGAAAATCTTGATGAATTTACGGCGTTTTTGCTTAGCACAGTAGTGCTAGGGGCCTTTCTGGAACCCTCGTAAATTAATATCTGAATTTTGAATTTTTTTTTTTTTTTTTTTTAATAGTCTTGAATGAAGAAAATTTTCAGAAGGATTAGAAAAAACTTAGGGTTCGATTTCTCGGAGGAAAATGAAAGGTGGTTAGCCAAGGCGGATAAAGAATGGTGGTCGCATTTCGATTTTGGCTGCCATCTTGAAGATGTGTGACGTGCAGAGGGTACGGGCTTTACGGGCGCGATTTGAAATGTACCCGCAGTGTACCCGATGCGATGCTGCGGCGCGAGGCTCATACAACTTCCAAACGGAATTAAGTATGAGTTTTCCTTCCTAATGAAACGCTTTCAGATCGTAGTCTGAGTTAAAATTTTTACTGAGAATTTGCAAGGAAGTTACAATCATTCTAATGTTTAATATTTCTGGCTGAAATTTGTGTTTAAAGAAATGTACCCGATGGGCTCGTTCCTTCACGCACATGTGCAACTTTCTGACAAAACTGGACCTATCATTTTGGACTTAGTATATTTCGGATTTTTGAGAGCTGTAATGCGGTAGTTTTTCCTTAGAAATTTGGAAATAACGTCCAATCATTCTTCTTTTTGATGCTTCCAGGAGAAATTTGTACTTTCGGAAATTTGGGAGACAAGTGTGAAAATTGGAAAAACGGAGAGGGGGTCGGGGATTTCTGAAAAACAAAGGGAGGTCTCCCCCCAGATAAGGGGGTTCGGGGGATCCCCCGAAAAATTATATTGATAATCAGGTACCCATGGAGAAAATAAGAAATATTAAAAAAAAAATAAATAAAAAAAATAAATAAAAAAAATTAAACCTCTCACGGTTTTTAAATTATTTACTGATAAGGATAGCAAAATAAAATACACCGCAGTAATTTCACTTTAAATTCGGGCTATCAACGCCAAAAATACTTACAATGATAAGTGACTATACAATACCTTGTAGAGTTAGAGTGCAGCGTAAACCTCAAACCCCCTAACTTTGCAGTTGGGTTTGTTTACAATCGTGACGTCAAGAGGGTACGAGATGCGACCACCATTCTTTATCCGCCTTGGTGGTTAGCAACAAAGTGGTCGGAGATGCTTGTTCAGCAACTCTTCCCATCCTTTTGACACAGCTAGAGTTTGGGACTCACGCCGGCCAAACAGCAAATAGCTGGTAAGAAATCGCCTTAGGCCGCTAAGAAATGAAACTAGCGGTTAAGCCTTGGCCGCTATGAAAATCGTTGTTAAACTACATTTTCGGGATTGTAAGGCATATTCCTGACTCGAGGCATTTTGAAAGGGCAATTTCTCATTTTGGTCCCTAAGAAATCTGAGATGGCCCCTAAAAAAAAAAGTTGCAGGCCAGACGGCTGCTAAGACTTCATGCCGAGTTTCAAACACTGGTTACAGCCATCAACTCATTGGAAACTTCGGCTCCAAAAATGAAACATGATATGAGGATTTACATGCCCTGCTAAAAACTGAGGAAATATGAGATATATTACCGTCAAAAAATTCTTGACGCACGAAGAGAGTATCGTAGCATTCCTGTGGTATGAGGAGGAGCAGAGTCCTTTGGAACAGGGCAGCTAAAAATGCCTGGCTCATTTTGCGCTGGAACTGATGGTCCCTTCACAAGTAAGATAACACTAAGTTGAAATTACAAAATCTAAATAATTCCTGATGGAAATAATTTTCCAGTTAATCCGGAAAAATGCACTGGCTTGGGATTCAGACTAACACCAACACTCGAGATAAGGTTAAGTTGATAACCGGCGCGGGGCAGCGGCGGCAGTTGAGCACATCGATGGCTCCACATCACCCCGTGTTGGACAGAGTTGCAAAGTTGCACAAATTTAATAAAAATTTGTTAAAAGATATCTACTCCGTTCTAAGCCAGTTGGCAACGTTTCAAAGAAAGACCGCCAACTCAACAAAAATTACGTGGATGGGAGAATTTACATAAATTATTTCTCAGACTTAACCACGCAATCACGCATTAAATCACAAAATATGTCCTCATTAATGACCATACTTTCTGTTAATCAGAATCAGATTCATGTGAAATACCTACGTGTTTCTCCACTCTACTACTGAAATGTTAACAACGGGTGTTTGCCAGACCTTCTTTCAATTCGCCTTCAATACGTTATGTGGCAATTGTTGCTGCACGAATTTCATGTACGGTGATCTAAACGTGATATAGGCATACTTATTTTCTTTTTAAACATGGTTTCTTATTTTTAAATGTATAGGAGCGTGCTTACTCTCTCAAAGCATAAATCGTCACCTTCCAGGCAAAGTATCACAAGCGCCATGCGACGTTTAAAAATTTCCGCCGCCATTATATTTTTTTACAGAGAAATTGTTGGTTGAATCTGTTTGGAAATTTCACTAAATTTTATCGGCAGCACAAAGAAAATTCAGTGAAATTTTCGGACAGCTTCGTTGAACAATTTCTCTGTAAAAAAATATAATGGCGGCGGAAATTTTTAAACGTCGCATGGCGCCGGAAGGATATCCGTCGCGGATACTTTGCCTGGAAGGTGACGAAATGAGGTTTACATCTTTGGCTCCTGTCATGAAATGCGTAACTTGGATTGGGACATAGTAAATCTCTGCTTAGGTTTCATTTCATTGAATAAAAACGAGGGCCGGTTTCAGATAACTTGTTCTTTTTCACTGTAAGTGACAGTAAGAAAGGAATAGTTATCTGAAACAGACTCTAGCCACAGTTTACTAAAATATTCCCAGAAAATTTCAGAGAAAAACTTCAGTTAGTTTCTTTGGGGGGATACCTATATTTAGAGAATTTCAAACTATGTACCTAGTGAAGATGATTCTTCAACTTTAAATGTCGATACTTGTGCCGCTACTACAGTTTTGACCGTTAAGACCGTAGTTTAGGGGCGCTAAAGCCAGGATTGTATTTCGCAAACAGATAATTTTTGCAGAATAATTAAGAATTAAGAAGCAGCTGTAATTTAACTAAATAGTAAACGGAACTAAAATCTACAGTATAATGCAAAACAATTTGGAAAGTCTCGTCATGTAAATACAGAAGATTCGAAAACGCCTTCAATTGAAGCGTGATATCTCACACGTTCCGGAGAGTTCAAATAGTTGTATCCCTGCGCCTTAGCTAGGCGATGGAAGCTTAATATTGAAGTAGCGTCCCCACGTTGTTTTACGGTTTTCCCGTGCCGCTACTGTAGTTTCGACCGTTAAAGCCGTAGTTTAAGGGCGCTAAAGCCGGGATTGTACTTCGCAAACAGAGAATTGTTGCAGAATAATTAAAAATTAAGGAGCAGGAATAATATTACTAGATAATAAAAGGAACTCAAATCTACAATATAATGCAAAACAATTTGGAAAGTCTCGTCATGTAAATACAGAGGATTCGAAAACGCCTTCAATTGAAGCGTGATACCTCACGCGTTCCGGAGAGTTCGAATAGTTGTATCCCTGCGCCTTAGCAAGGCGATGGAAGTTTTATATTGAAGTAGCGTCCCTGCTTGGCTTTCCTGTGCCGCCAGGGCGGACTGGCCATGGGGGCGGGGAGGCGATCGCCCCCTAACAATTTGCCGCGGAGGTCCCGAAGGAGCCCCCGCGGCGAATTTTTTTTGGGTCTTCGTTTTTTTCCCGTAATGTTGTAATTTTCTTATCCTTTTCAATCACTAAAAGGCCCCGAATTCCTTGATTTGTCTCTAAGAGACATGGAAGGTCGCCAAAAGCATTTGTGATGAAGGGTCCCCCGATGAATCCTGAGAATGGGTTATTTTGAAGTTCAAGTACTGTAGATTCCAACTCCAATGATGCCTACGTGCTTAAAAAGTGTGAAATTTTCAAAAATTTCTGGGGGAGGGCCCCCGGACCTTCTTAGAGGGGCCCCTGAACGACAGGAGGGGCCCTTACATTGAGGTCTCCTCCCAACTTTTCGACTACCAGTCCGCCCCTCGGTCCTGGATACTTCGAATTGATTTTGGATTCGTGCGATCACTTCAGCTAGTAGCTGCAAGAATAGCTCTGAGGAACACTCAGAACCTAAATAATTAAAAATTTTCTCAAGTTAAACCTCAATTTATTCCCTAGTAGCAATGGCTCTTAAAAAAAGTTATACAAAACGTTGTCCAAAAAAATGTGAAAAACTTGTTAATTGTAAGAGTTCATAAATTTTAAGTAAAACAACTCTTAAAATGCTCGTTTCAGGACACTCTTTTGGGGAATTCTTTTACGTAAAAAAATAGTGCTATTTTCATTAAAAGAAAACGTTAAATTCAGGTAAAAATCAATAAACTATATCCTCAATTTGTATGGGCTGCAACTGTTCTTTTTATACTTTCCTGTTCACCACTTTTTTTCCTCGTTTTTGTCTGCAGGAGGTTAAAAAAAAATAGGTATTTTACTTAAAATTTTTCTTCAAATTTGCGTAAAAAAATACCCAAAAAGGCTTTCCTGATACGAATATTTTAAGAGTTTTTTTTTACGTAATTTTCAAGTGGTTTTAAAGTAAATTTTAAGAGATCTCTTAAAATTTACGAGTTTTTTACAACTTTTCTCAACAGCCACTGCTATACTAGGGTTTTCCAAAAGTTCAGACAGTCGGACTGTCGGAGGGTTGATCATGTCGAGAGTGGAAAGAACTTTCTGCGATATGGACGATGGGGCTTCCTCAAAGAGAATGATAGCTGCAGGGCAATGAACAAAGTCGCAAAAGTAGATCTGCTTTCTTCTTTTACTAGCAACACTTCGGAACAGGGTGAACCTGAATATCTACGTTAGCCCTGTGCTCTCTCTCCTTATGACTCCATACCTTTCAGGTCTCATGTGGAAATAGAGATATGCCCTTGTGTCAGTGAAGCAACGTAATGTGTCAATCAGTTCAGTAAATTTAAATACCTTTCATTCAAAACTTGACCCATACACGGGTAAATTGCTCGCAGGTTGATTACTTTATGAGAAGTGCAAATGATAACAAACAATTAATTAAAATAATAGATTATTATTAGGATATACATCATCAATGACACGGTATTTCTAAATATATCTCGATACATTACTCCTACGTAAATGGTACAGACTATGTACAAATTTCATACAGCGCATGCTTCAAATAAAAAATCGTTAAAAAAGGAAAAACATAATTAAAAACATGAATGGTGATAAAATTTACGAATCAGTCTACCCGCATTCAGCCAGGTGCTTTGTACAAAACTAAATTCCTCGATGGCATTTGCTGGGAGGAAAATCTTGCAATGTATAAAAATAAGTACAAAAGTAGTGAGAAATATTTTCAGGTTGATGCAACTACATGGAAGGGGTTGAACAAACAAATCATGCTAAAACTTCATGAGTTTCGTAACCTGAAGAGTTCAGAAACCTCATTGTGACCAACGTCAAGAGGATTTAATCAAACTTCACAGGCTCAATTCACCTTAATAATATGCCAGAATTCTAGCAAAAGAATCCCTTTTGAAAAATAAGTGACACACTGGAGTATTTTGAATGCTTCATACGTTATTAAGTGATGCTGTGTTGGTGCATGTACTAAAATATCACTCGTATAGATTTGTGATGATTCTTACTGCTTAGAATTTGTGAACCCAGTGAACAGTAGAGTGCTTTTACAGGAAAAATATTGCTGAAGTAAAATATTGTAAAGTCAGTTTCCATTACTGATCAGGTCTCCTATTGTGGTGTTGGGCATGCAATAAGTAAAAAGAAAGTAAGACAAAATATATTTGTCAGTTAAAGTAATTTTGGACTTGACTTGATTAATAAAAACTGGGGATGGATTGCCAATTTTTATGAACCAATTTTAGCTATAAAAAGAAGGATTTTAAATGTATCAATTTCATAACAACTGTCTTACAGATTAGACACATCTCATGCGAGAGGAAAACTGGCACTTTTTTATGAGACTGGCTAGCAACTTGGTGAAACAAGATTTTCAATATGACAAGTTTCAAAGACTGAATCATTTTTTCAAATCAATTTTTGCAAATAACAGTGGAGTACGCCCAAAGGATAAATTCTTATGTATAAAATTAACTAAGGTATTGCCGTTTAAAGAAGTGAGATCATCTCAGTTTTTCAACAGATGATATCTCCGTTCATATTGGACACACCTTGCAAAGAATCATTGAACAATGGGATAGTTTATTATGCAAGAATTAAAGAACCAAATGACTCACTTTCCTCATGAGCCCCAGAGAGCATGGATTTACATATAAAATAGGGCTCACATGGAAATCGAGGTAGGCCCTTACATCAGAAGAGCGACAATTTAATACGAGGAACCAAAGTGATTACAGCATTTTCAAAATCAAGCATCTTCATCTATATCTGAAAAATGCCTACAGTAGTTAATAATTCATGTTTTTCTACAAAATAATTGTTAGCTTTCAAGGGAAACGATCGCGGAAATTTTAATGCTATACGTAAATTCAGAATTTTTTGATGCAATGAAGAAATTATATGATTTTGAAAACAATGCAATAGCATTGTTTCCCTTCTGCTCGAAATGATCCAACTTACAAATGAGATAGAGGTATATTATTGCCTATCAGGAAAGTCAAACTCCTCCTTTCTAAACAATCGAAATCAACATAGGTAGGTCAAGTTAGCGATTAAAACAAACTTCTTCTTTGATGCTCAGTTCTCAACTTCTGGTTTCCGAGTTGTTAGGTAAAATTCAGAACCCTGATAGAGAATTCTCATTATAAATTACACTGAAAGTAGTTTGAGGCCAGATTTGCCTTATGCAGACTAAGGTCTTTAAACAGGCAGGAAGTTGACATTTTTCAGCAAAGAAAACATTGGTTCCTTAATCGAGAAATGAATGTGGAAATTTTTGGTAGGCTCACTGTGTTTAACTTGAATTTTGAGGAGAAAACATGTATGGTAGTGCTTAAAATCTCTCTTAAATGAATAGTCTATTCAATCTATGGACTAAGGGATCTACACATGTGTGAAACCATTGATCTACTTGGGGTGCTTGTCCAAATAAGTTTCCTCCATCACAGTTGAGTTGAAAAAAAAAAAAAAAAAAAAAAAAAAAAAACAATTTTTCACATTTTCAAGTAGGTAGATTCAGAATTTGTTATATTACTAGGATAAACATTGATTCACCTGAAACTGAAAGTATGAATTTTTTAAGACAAAATTTGAAATTCATTTTTCTGATGGCCTGTAACAAATGTTACTTACATGTATTTTTTTAAATTTAAGTAATCAATACTTAGTCCTTACAATAAAACTCAAAAGACTCTACTATCTTATAATTAACGTCCAATTGATTTCATAGGCTTCACTATGAATAACGGAGACATTGCTAATTTAACCATCTCAAAACCGAGTAATTTATTACCAATAAAGTTATTTTGCAGAGCAATAAAAATTATCACCTGCTTTGAGACTTTTGAAAGCAAATGAAAAAGGTGGGTCTGAGAAAAGTTATCAGTGGTTGAAAGTTTTTTTACAACTGAGAAGGTCTACACTTGATCACAGCTAACTCTTTAATGAAATTAAAACCCCTCTTAATTTGTTAGTGGGCTCCTTTCAAGATTTCCATCGGTGTATTCACATTTAAAAAATAAATCAATGGAACTTGAAATCAGCACAAAGAATTTTACAAGTTTTAGAACAATTACGTTACAAAAGAGTCAAGGCACAATGATCAATTTCCAAGTAAAGGACATGAAAATACTGAACAGAGTAATACACAAATAGCGTGTGTGTAAAAAAGTTTCTCTACGGCCCGATTATTGAAAATATGTCAGCCTGATATGACAAGACATAGCCCTGTCACAGCCATGTCTAATTTGATGTCTAATCCCGCTGCTTTAAACTTTCAATAGTCGGCTCGCTGGGGAAGAAAATTTTACAGGGCTGTTAAGAAAGAAGCAGCTGTAAATTCCACCGAGTTGAATCTAATAGAATATTGCTGGAAAAATTGAACCAATATTTTTCTTAGAGGCCCAAGTGCTGAAATCCAAGTTCTCAGAAAAACGAAAAAAAGTATGCCATTCAACATACGTTCAATCTTTTGAGCCCAGTTTCAACAGGTATTTTTTAGCTACATACATATTTGGACCGCGTTAAACAGAAAGGAACCAAGCCACATCAGCTATTGCCGAATTTAACAGGGAAATTTGATTTTTTACAAGAGAACGTTTGAAAATTTTAAAGAATTTGCTATGTATTATGGAGAAAATTCATCAAAATTTGCACAAAAATCCGCTCTCCCGTTTTCACGGGAAAAATTAAATTGCCCGATTAAATTTGGCAATAGCTGATGTGGCTTGGTTCCTTTCTATTTAACTTTGCCCATTTAGGGCTCAAAATATCAAGGGCAGGCAGAATAGCACAATTTTTCCTGCTTTTTCTGAAACTTGGATTTTGGCAGTTGGGTCCTTAAGAAAAATATTAAAACATTTGTGAGAGTAGGGTCCAATTGGAGCTGAATTTCAATTTTAATAGGATGCAAATATAATAATATTATTGAAAGTAAAAAGGTGACAGGGAAGAGTGCGCTAAAAGATAAACTCTAAAATGAATGTAAAATTGGTTTTCTACCTTCGTCACTACACTGGGCAAGCCAAACTGGCCTTCAAGTTTGATTTTAAAGGAAACTTTGATTTCTAGCATTAGCTGTATGCACATTCCTGGCACTGAAACCTAAAAAATACATTCCAGATGCAACTACTGAAGGCAGATAATAAGTAAAATATTTTCCATGTTTACTGTCTTGCAAAAACTAATTTCGTACAAATTCAAAATTTTTTTGAAAAACAATAACAAAAAAAAAAAACACTCCTTGGGTAAGAAAAAAGTTAAATAGGACAATCAACAACTGCTCAGAAAATTGGTTGGCAGTATACCTATGATCAGCTCTGCTGCAAAAGCACTTTCTTGGGCAAAAAACCTTCATCACATTCAAGATTGCAAAACCAGCCCCCGATTTTTACACAGCAAGTATTTGAAAAAAAGAAGGTAGTTTTAAAATTCAACACTAAAATTTTGTTCAAAAAAACCTCCCTCATTGAGCAAAATTTTTCACATTATAATTCAAATTCCTCCATTAGCTGTAAAAGCTTGTCCTCTTTTGAAAAATGCTCAGATTGAATTATGATTGTATCAGATCTGATACTAAAATTATGAAAAATACTCTTCTGAGTTTTGGGAGCATAGGAGAACTGTGTTGGCTTAGGAATAACCGGTCAGGAAACTTAAATCTACCAACGCTACATTTGATTGAAGTTTCAAACTTAACTTCTTTTGTATGAGGTCCTTTGGACTTCTATTGCTTCGGGAGAAAAAAAACTGACATTAGAAAAATCAATAATGGGCTTTTTTAAGGGAAGAGAGCTGGTGGAAAGATAGGAATGATGGAAAAAAATTTAAATTAAGCAAGAATTTTCCCTCAAAGCAAGCAACACTTCCTTGCTGTTGGAAAGTGCGGGTAACATAAGGTCTACGATAGGAGAGTGCTTACTCACAGCTTCCATTGGGGAGATAAAACTACATCCTGTACAATCTGTACAAAATACAAAATAAAAATAATTTCAAAACATAACAGTGTTTTTACAATAACTTACAAACATGGAAAGAAAAACACAAAACAAAAAAATAAACCTTGAGGAGCGGAAAAGGCTTTCTTGGTAGACACAGAAATTTGCTACATGTGACACATAATGTGCATCATCAAATCTGTATTTGAATCAAACTTGGCGTTGCATAATGCGCAGATCGTTTCCGGTTCTGGTTCAGGGAACAGCTCTTCCACAACACTCAGAGATTTGTCCAGATCAGTCAAATTGTCCTTCACTGGTGTGCTGTGGGTGCTCGAATCGCTGAAATCTTTCTGCCGTTCATAGTAGACAGACGGCAATAAGTGACCTATATCATCAAGCAAAACAACTGGCTGGGAACTGATGATGCTGGAATAAGGAGAATCTGATCGATCACTACCAGAGAACGAATCATTAACGACATCGTCCAAACCATTACTAAATTCATCTGCAATTTCAAGGCCTTTCAAACAGCGGGTCTTCTTCGGTGTAACTTTCTTAGGAGAAATGAGATCATTGGAAGAATAGGAGGAGACATGGTACGCCGGGCTAATGCTGCTGATGTATTCACCAGGAATTTCAGGTTCCTCCATAATTGGAGGATCTACAGGAGCCTCAGGGAAGCAATCTTGGAGTAAAACCTGGTGTTTGTCTCTGATGACAAATATCTGCAATTTTAGGTGAGAGTTGAGCGCTTGCAGCCGTGAGAATTTCCGTCCGCACACTGTACAACACAAAGACAATGAGTCTGACTGGTTTTGCTTGAAATTATCGATGACAGCCTGGATCAACGTCTCTTGAGGAATATCATCCAGGTCAAAGCTTTTGGCTTTGGGAGGATTTCGTTTTTTGGGGACAACTGGCTCAGTTTGAGTGATAGAGGGTGGTACGGAACTGGAGGCATCAGCCGTTGGAGTAGTTTTGATCATCTTTTCAGGGGTCTCACCATGTTTGGGTGGTTGCACTTCCGACATCCCATCAACCTCAATCAACGCTGACACTCTTCGCTTTCTTCCTGCCTTTTCATGCGGTTTAGAGGTGCTTTCTTGCTTTTCTGATGTTATAGTTTGCGGACTGTCTACATCTTTCTTAATCTTGGCAACTTTGATTTTTCTCACCTTCGGCTGTAAACTAGTTTGATTTAAAATTTCAGACTCAGAGGTCACTGGTATTTCAGGATCAGTCAAAGTTTTCTCCAGAGAACGCTTACCCTTTTTCTTCTGGCTTTTCTTGTCAGTGCTTTCGGTCGCCTTTTTTTCAGCTTCAGATTCTGTTTCGCTAAAGTCCCGCAAAGTGGACAGCATCTTTGCCCTGGATCTACCTGGCTTTCCCCTCTTTTCTAGTTTTGTACTCTTGAAAATAGACTGATCATCAAACCCATTTTCTTCATCTTCTTCATTCCCCTTCTTGCCATTTTTGATTGATTTTCTACTATTAGAGCTTTTCGAAGTTGACAAATCGTCAAATCCATTTTCTTCAGCTTCATCTGTCTCCTTTTTGGCGTTTTTGGTGAATTTCTTCTTGTTATTAGAGCTCTTGGAAACGGAATCCTCACACCCATTTTCTTCAATTTCAACTGTTTGCTCCTTGGCATTTTTGAGAGATTTCTTGCTACCTTTCTTCACCTTTTTCTTATCTTCTTTCTTTCCCTCCTTCTTTTGGATGGACTCAAATTCTTTGATGCACTGCTCCATGGACACAACTTTCTTCTTCGCAAATGCTCTAGCGCTATCGGTCGTTGTTGGAAGAATGAGACTGCAGTTTTGTGGAACTCCTGCATCCAAACTGTCTTTCGTCACACCCAGGCTTTGAAGTTTGCGTGTTAATTCCATACTTACTTGCCTCTTGAGTTCAGAGACCAAATCCACTTTCACATCAGTCTTACTCTCCTCTTCATTCAATTTCTCCTCACCTGAGTTTTCTCCTCCCGTCGGACAACCATCTACGACAGGCTTGTCAATTTGTCTTGAACAACTGTCTACCACTAGCTCTTCCGTTCCACTTTGTATTTCTTTCGAAGTATTCATTTCTTCTTCATTTTCAAGCTCGCCATTAGAAGACACTGTTGAGACTTCAAACACCACTTGAGATTCATCAAAGTTCATTTCAACTTGACTAGGTTCTGTTTCTTCGAGCAAATCTTCCGGGTTAAGAGTAAAGAGACTCTTACGCACCCTCTTAGGCCTGGAATTCACCATGAGAGACATGTCTTTGGAATTTTCTACTGCTGCAGGTTGAGACTGAACTTTTTCATCAAAGGGCATTGGAGAGGTAACTTTAGGAGAAATTTTGACTCCTGACTCACTAATCTTCTGGGTTGACGGCAATTCTGCAGGGACAGAGACAGGTTCCTTTTCTGTGCATGGCCTGAGTTGATCTGAACTGTGAGAATTCATAGTATGCGACTCACAAACTTGGTTTGTCGAGGAGTCTAAGTTCTGTCCCATTTTCTTACATTTAACGGATGATGAAGAGACGGTTCCTTTAGATGGTGTGGTTTTTTGATTAGACAATTTTGTAAGCCTAATGGATACATTTTTTGGTACACTTAGTTCTGAAATGTCTTGTTCAGATGGTGATTTCTCAAGTCCTTTCGTTGATTTCGGTGAGAGCTCAGTGCCAGAAATTTTGGATTTGACCGAAGTTTTAGAACCTTTCAGTAGAGAAGAACCATGCTTGCTCTTTGAAAGTAAAGATACCCCAGGTTTGAGATGACACTGGATGATCTTCACTCCTTTTTTATGGATCTTTTTGGTCGGATGATTACTGACATGCTTACTTTCTGAGTTGGCAGAGGTTATTGGATCAGAAATTACTGATTTTTTCCCTGAGTCACCAGTCTGACTTTTCATTTCTGAACCTGAAGGATGCGTTGTATCAACAAGGATAGATTTTCTCCTCTCGGTACCTGACGGAATCAGTGAATCAGCCTGTTTTTTTCGTGAAGAAGAGGTCGCCAAGTCGGCTGATGATTTTTTACGTTCCACAGCTGATATTGTAACAGGACGATCCACTAGTTTTTTCCGCTCCGCAACAGAGAGAGCTTTGAGATCTTCTTTCTTTCTCTCTGGGTTGGTAAGAGTCATAGGATCTAGGACAATAGCCTTTTTCCTCTCGATAGGTGGATGAGTCAATGAGTCGATGTTAGACCTTCTTCGCTCTGCAGCCACAGGGTTAGGGACACACTTTTTCCCATCTACAGGAGACGAATTCATATGATCTACTGACTTACCACTTTTTGAGTCTTTCGGTTTACTTTTTGGGTCGACGCTTGCACATAGCACTGCTGCAAAATCTGGACTTTCGAAGAGAACTGCCTTGGAGATGCTGCTGTTTTTCCTTTCTTTGATGGCACCAGCTGAACTTGGCTTCACTACTGCATTTGGGGAAATTTTGTGGCCTGAGGGCTTTGAATTCGAAGTAGGGGCAGGGTTCGGCGTCAGCGGGCTTTTTGTATCGCTTGGAGGTGTCTTTGATTTTTCCACGTTCACTGTTGGTGAGGTCCTGGAACAAACAAAAGTTGCTTTAATAGGTTTTCTCATCTTTTATAGAAAAATAATTAGACGGAAAACAATTTGACGAATCCTGCAAAGATAATTCTGTACAAGAATAAAAGACAGCAGTTATTTTGAAACATAGCAATACTGATTTGCCATTCTGAAAATTCAGCGTCTATTTCTTCTTTGTTTTCCATTTATTTGGATTTTGTTGCTGTTTCTTTCGGATCTTAAACACACTAATATATGACGGTCGAAAAGGAAACTGAAGAACATTTTTACACACCTCAAAATTTTAAACGAAACAGGAGTTGTACCTTGCAAGTTTGCGACCCAGAGGACAAAACTTTGAGAAAACGCACTTCCAATTTTTAACATGTCATGTTCAGGGCTTAGAATCGTTAGATTCAACACTTCATGTATTACAAAGAGGCGTTCGTATAAGTACATGTGCACGTTGGAGTAGTTATTCTTTTCTATGAAAAATAGTACAGTACAGTGCTAAAATACAGTTCTTTGTACAGTATTAAAATTTGCATGAATATTTTACTTTCACATGAATACTTTTTTGGTGGAAAAGTAGGAACTAGTACCTGTAATTATGAGAATTGTTCTAAATAAAGATGAGGATGCACGATTAATGGAAAAAGAGAGCAAAAAAATTACTATCTCAACGAATTGCTGTTCTGACAGCCATGAAAATTTCTGAATACATCAAGTTCCAAAAGAGGCGTAAATCATTTTTATGAAACTTACTGAGCTTTTAGTGTCTTCACTAACATGATGAGTAAAAATTTCTTTGCTGAATTTTTCCGTATAACTACTTGGAGGATGTTTCTAAAGATTTACAATTCTAATTTCAAAATTTTGTAATTTCCTCTGATTATATTCATCAACTCTCTCCTAGGTATCAGAAAATACATGCCAAAGTTATCAGAAGTGCCTGGTTGGATCTCAAGCATTCCTTTAAAAAATTACAACCAAAGTCTACCATTTCTTTTAGGCAAGACCAACAAGTCTCTAATTGAACATGCGACTGTGCGGAGGAGAGGAAACTACTGCAAAAAAAAAACCTAAAATTGAGAGAGGAAAGCTGCTGTTTAGAAGAGTGTTTTATCAATAATTTGGCATAAATAACGCTCAAAAATATTGTTTCAAACCAGAGGCTCAATTGTAAGAAATCTTTGGTTCAAAAGACGTATTTTTGAGAAGAAATTATCATGTTCTATGCCCTGTTTGGGGGCCAAACTTGGCACATTATGAACAATTATTCGCATTATTTTGGTACCCTCTACTTACACAAAAATTGACTGAACATATTGGGTCATATTCATGGTCGTTCCTTAAAAAGCTCCTTTCCATAAGAAGCCCTATATGGTTTACATTGTGATTTCTCTTCCGGTAAATATCAGGTTATTAAATAAATTGATTTAATTAAAAATTGCTTTATTAAACGGTATAACCAGAGTTTTAGTTAAAAACAATTTATATTTTTGGAAGATAATTACTGAAACAAAATAAATTAAAATCGAGGTTTATAACTGAATAAATTTAGTAATTTTTAATTTAAGAAAATATAAATCTACAGTAACTTGATTGAAATGTTGATCTTAATTAAATGTCTATTAGGTTCATTCTTTCCGAAGTTATACTGCTGAATTTCACTTGAGATATGCAAAAATTCCCCTCATTATGATGCTACGTTCAGAACCTTTTTGAACCACCTTTAATCACAATTTAAACCATCGGGGCCCCCTAGGAAAATGACCTTTTTCGAGAACAACTATGAACGCGACCCTTATTCTGAGGGATACGAGAAGCAGCTTTTCTTCCATGGTGTCGACTAAAATAGTGGGGCCGATAAGCATAACAATCGTGCACTTCTGGAAGAAAGCATGAGAATTTCAGGGATTCATCTCTACCCTATAGACATTCGATTTAGACATAGACCCCAAAAATCTGAGCCCCCTGGGGGGGCAGGGGGGGCCCCAAATTTTGAATTTTGAATAACTATTGAACGGCTAATGTTAGCGTAATTTTTCTTTAACAGAACGATGGGAAATTTTATTAGAAACAAAAATGATTCTTATGAATTTTTCTGTGGGATCGATATTTAAGGCTCCAGACGGGAAAAACCATCGGGGGACGGGGAGTCGGCCCTTCTGATGCAGATCCGCGCGCTACGCTGCCTGCCCGGGACGCGCGCCGCGGCGCAGTACGGTGTTACCGACGACACAGCCGCTTGTATTGGTTTAATCTCAACGATGCGTGGTTTTAAAAATATTATGAATTTACCGTAATGCCTAAATACCTTAAAATAGGGCTTAACTTTTGCTGGTAATATAGGTATACAAGCAAAGCGCACGGCAACAGAAGGAGAATGGGGTTAAGTGCTGGAGTTCCGGACTGTTTTGTTGTATGGGTTTGTCAAGTTTTATTAAAGCATCCGAAATAACTGTATCAGACATCAGTTGAACGGAATAGAATCTGACGCACAGTTGTCTCGCGAAGGGGGGGGAGGGCTAAAAATCACAAATCTTATTTGTATACCACGATGACCTGAAAAATGATTTTAAAATATTTTTTTTTTCTTTTTCTCGGTGCTGCGCCACCAGAATGGTATCTAAATATGCTTACATACCCTAAAGTTCCTGGGAGACGGCTTCCAGCCAGACTTTGAAGACGGAGAACTTAATTTTGTAAAAAATGAGCTTACATAAAAACATGCTTATTCTCCTCTATTTAAGGAACATTTTGGTACATCATTGCTACGTTTAGGCATTTTTTAAGAGGACCAAAACCACCTTCAAAACTTGCTCCGAAAAAACGTCAAAAGAATCTTGAGAAAGCTTGATACGGATAAAAGACCCCTATAAAACCTTTGTTGGACTGTTTCTTGTACAGTACAAAGAATATTATTAAGTAATAATTAGCCGCCAATATCCGCTAATCTGTAAAGACGGTCCATTTGAGTGATAGGAAGTCGCGCCTACTGGGAACCTATCCTGCTCTTATGTCATCAATTAAATCGCGCATCATACGATATCCCGTAATCTAGGTAATTTTGCAACTGATTACTGATTACTGATTATTGATTTTGACTGATTTGTTGATATTTTGACCAGAAATTGACCTTTTGATAATCTCTAAAGCTAATTCGATCAGTGCTATACTTTACGATAAAGTTTAAGGTGTACGTTTTCTGCATTGCATATTTTGCAAGTCCCGTTTCTTGACAATTGTCTCCATCTTAGTTACCTATAACTCTTCCATGAGCTCCATACAAATCAAAAATCAGTACGAGATTTGCGGGTTGAAAAAAAAGAAATGCAATTAATTTCTTCCTGAGGTACTGGTCCTTCTCAGAGGTTCTTTAAAGGATCAGAACCTGCATGATAAATAAATTTCCTCCCATATTAATATTTTTTTCAATACAAATGTTACCAACTCCACTCCAAACTCCAAAGAACAAAATAAAAGATAACATACATGGATTTTTTGAACTGCTCATTCCATTTTTTATGTCTCCTGGTAAGGACCAATAATATCTTCAAGGGTGACTCGATAAAAAGAAGCGATAGTATTCAGATATCTTCTTTTTTTAATTCATTTAATATATTTTTTCTATTTGTTGAAAAATGCATATTTGTTGAATGACTGAAAGAGTGGGGAGTTCATGAAAATAAAAACTTCTATTGACTGGTTGGAGGGAAAAGAGGAGAAAAGAACATTGTTGGAATGTTCCGTATATATCAGTACCTATGCAATTGCGAGAAACCATTTAACATGGACGAAAAACGATATTAGAGGAAAGTGAGGGAAATCTGGTAACCTTAGTGGCGAAGGGACTGTGAAGCCCCCCCACCCTCTCCACACTCCTCAAGTAATGCCTTTGCATCAACTTTTTCGAAATTCTTGCTTACGTAAGCAGCTCATGGTCCCATTCGCCGAAAGTAACATGAAAAATAAGCTAAAAATAAGTTATCAAGGATCCGCCATTTCCAATAGTCATGAAAAAGTGGGTCAAAATCGTATTAAAACTTGTTATGTCGCTCTAGTATCTTAAAAAAATGTAATTTTTTACAAATCTTACGTGAGGAAGAGGTAATTTACTCTGTACTGAAGTCGGAAAAGCTCTGTATTCAGAGAAAACAAGACGCGTGATGTGCGATAACCGACCCCTCCCATTGACTCGGCGCTCTCACATTGGAGTATTTCCCGTTTTGCTTGTTTTCATGTATTACTAATAAAAAGTGGGGCTTATATTACTAAGGCAAATTATTTAGGCATTACGGTAAATTCATAATATTTTTAAAACCACGCATCGTTGAGATTAAACCAATACAAGCGGCTGTGTCGTCGGTAACACCGTACTGCGCCGCGGCGCGCGTCCCGGGCAGGCAGCGTAGCGCGCGGATCTGCATCAGAAGGGCCGACTCCCCGTCCCCCGATGGTTTTTCCCGTCTGGAGCCTTAAATATCGATCCCACAGAAAAATTCATAAGAATCATTTTTGTTTCTAATAAAATTTCCCATCGTTCTGTTAAAGAAAAATTACGCTAACATTAGCCGTTCAATAGTTATTCAAACTTCAAAATTTGGGGCCCCCCCTGCCCCCCCAGGGGGCTCAGATTTTTGGGGTCTATGTCTAAATCGAATGTCTATAGGGTAGAGATGAATCCCTGATATTTTCATGCTTTCTTCCAGAAGTGCACGATTGTTATGATATTTTCCACTTATCGGCCCCACTAAAACAGGCTGGCCAATAATCAGTTCTTTTCCAGTACATTCCTAAGAAATTCAGTACCTCCTCAACAAAAGAATTCAGTACTTATTCAGTACCTCCAATTGACGAAATTCAAAGAATTTCAAAAATTTGAATTTCTCGCTCAAATTGTAAAAAAAATTCCGGAACTTATTGCCAAATTTCCGCACTTTTTCAATACTTCCGGACCGCGCTTAAAAAATCAAAACTATTTCCGGACTTTCCGAAAATTCCGGACATGTAGACACCCTGTTCTACGGTTCAAATTCTTAATTCTCTACCTCGTAGAAAATGGTTCTCTTAAAAAATGTGCCATCATGCACAAGGGCCCCTTTTCCCATGTGCCTCATAAACCCAGTGTCTTGACAATTGCTGAAAATATTTAGATTCAATACATCAAGCAACACAAGCCAATAGGCACGGCTTCTAAAAGGCATCATTTGCTATCAAAAGAATCTCTCGACTCTAGTTGATTTAAATCTTATCTCCCTATCAATCATTTATCACTTGATTACAATGATTGTACAGCATAGTTATATAATTTGCTGTAAACAAAATCAATTATTAAGGAAAAATAATAGTTAAGGTGATTTTTGACTAGAAATCAGTAAATATTTGGCTAAAAGAAAACTTTTGTTTGTCCGAAAGAAGGTCTGAGACTTCAAAAAAAAGTATTACCGAGTTTATTTCCTTATGTAGTGCTTTCATTGAATCCATCCGCATTTCCATTTCAATTAAGAAGTGCAACTGGCAATAGGTCAGAATTTGAATGAGTAAAACATTCTTTGATTATATAGGATAACCCAAAAGGCCCGCACCACCTTCCTGCCTGTAACCTCTAAGTTTTGCCCCTTTTCTAGTGGCTTTTTTTAAATTTTGGGAGTCCCCAAAAGTCGTTTCCTTTGACCTAAAGTTTCAAGTCTTTCCTTGTTTTGTTCAGAATTTAAAGGGATGATGCCTGCTTCGAATGATGGCAGACTTTTTGATGACCCTTTATTTGCAGTCTGCAAGATGAACTCGCCTATGAACTTACTTCATCATGATTACTCTGTGACGGCTGAGAAATTTATGCTCATTGGAGTTGAGAGAAAGTTGAAAATATGATGGATGACTTGTCTCAAAAAAGGTAAAGTGAATGCTGTGTTATTTCAACAGGGTTTTATTCCATGAAAATTCTGAAATATTTTTGGTAGTGCAACAAGCGAAAAACATTTCAGAGTTTTTATCTAATAAAAGCTGAGGAAAATAACGTGACATTTACTTGATGAGGACATAGTTTACCGAGTAGGCACCAAGTGACTTCAAAACTGAACCAAAATAAAGACTTTCAAAAATTTATTCCTCCATTGAGTCTCACTGTTACCACTGTTTTACTGTTCGAGGTACTCTTTCTAGACTTTGAATTTTTGACGGAAGAAAATTCACGACTTGTTGAACTCAAAACTACTCCTGGCTTATTTTTTCCTAAAACGCAACTTGGTACATTGGTAAACTCAATCCATTGACATGAAGGAAGTAGTGATATCATATGATGTCACTACTTCCTTCAAGATGAGTCATCTATTACGTTTTTAACTTGGAGGCACAATTTGACTCACTAGTGTTTTGATGGGATTTTTATTTTTTTATTTGTTCTACTTGATATTTTGATGAGAAAGCTGACATCATAATGTTTAGAGCTTCATTAAGAGATCTCAAGATGCTTAAATGAGACAGAAATACCTAATAATTGACAAAATGTTCTGCGGCAGCTTCTAATCAGTGCTAAAGTCCATAGAAATACACAGATCATTGATAAGTATTAGTTATTGAAACTTGATTCACGAGTTGGGGCTCATAATTTTCATATCCCAACATGAACCGTTATTTTATGACCTGCATTTGGACTTACAACAAAAACAAAAAAAGACAACCGCTTTGCAAACTGCATAATAAAGCAATGTCAAGGTAGGCGTAGGCCTCAAAGAATTTTGAAAACATGATAACAAAAGAGCCCTCAGCTTATAAATCTAAAATATAGAATTTTCACTGAAATATTTAAGTACCATTTGAACAGATATTTTTAATTTTTTCCTGGGAGTGACAACCTTAGGAATTTTTTCCAAAAATTAGAAAATTTTTGTTCATGATTTCAATTGATTTGGAGTTCTAAGTCGTTTAAACTTCAATTCTCTAATATGTGGCAATGATTGGAATGGGGAGATAAGCATTACCTATTTGGAGGAGATGACTCCGAGTGAGAGGTACTGGTAGCTTGCTGAGATCGGGTTGGCGCATCATTTTCTGGCGGCTTACTTGGTGTGGAAGGTGCTTTGGCAGGTAACTGACAGCTGGTAACATCATCGACATTCCTTGAAATTTTTTCACTGAGACTTTGATTGCTTTTAGAGGTCGGGGAGGAGTTTTTCAGTTTATTTACATGATTATCTGACTTTGAGACAGCTAAGGGAGTAGAATTCTTTTTCGATTTAAATGTACACGATTGTTTGGATTTGTGCGTTAATCTGTGCTCCATGTATTCAGACTTCGACTCAAACTTTTTTGAACAGTCAGGGCACGATTTCGACTTCTTCTTGAAACTCATGTTGCGATGGACTTTCTGGAAGTGCACCAATAACTGATTCTGAGAGGAGAGAGTCATCTGGCACTTGTCACAGTGGTTGGAATGAGTTTTGATGTGTTTTATTAGACTGACTCCCGAATCAAATTCTGCGAAGCACATTATGCATCCCACGGTACTTGCATGGGCACTCTCCATGTGTTGCTTTAACTGATCGTAATGGGAGAAAGCCTTGAAGCAAACAGCACAGATTTCACTGTCAGAGTTTGCTTCTGGATCATTGGAAATGTCTTTCGATACATCGTCTCCACCTTCAACATCTGGTGTCCGCATGACAGATCTGAAAAAGAGAGAAATGTCATGAGTGATTATGATAAAATTATCATCATCAGTTTGTCCGTCAAATTCATTGGGAGTTTCTTAAGGGCAAATTTAATGCCCAAGGACTTTCATTGACAATGAAGAAAGTAGTAATTGAACATGACCACTCACTTGGCATGAGCAGATAGACTTCTTTCAGCATACTCAATGATACTGTAAGAGAGAGGTCTATCTGCAGGCAAGCTTACCGCAAGCAACTGGCTTTGAATTTTAATAGAGTCTTAACATTTAAACAAATTTCTTAACCCACTTAAGATTTTTTGAGAGCCAAATTATAATTGTGCCGTAATATCAACGCATGTCATTTGGATTGCATTTTGCAAAAAGGAACCACTAGCATTGCAATGATGCTAAGATTGTGCAACTTCATCCTTTGCAATAAAATTGCGGAAATTGTGAAATTTAGACGGTAATTTTTGTTTTAAATTTACAGTTTTTAGCGAGTAAAATAGAAACTATTAAGGGATAATCGGGTTTTTCCTCCAAGACAAAAGAAGTTGCACAATCTTAGGAACATTGCAATGCTAGTGGTTCCTTTTTGCAAAATGCAATCCATTTGTCCCTTCCTGTCATCTCCTTCTTGATTTCTAGCAAGATCCGTGGTGCCACAAGTACAACTACTTGCTTTGCAAGTACAGCTACAAAAAGACTGACAAAACTTCCCTATCAGACAAATTTGGATTGAGGCAACTTCTTAGAGGAGATGGCTGGATTTTTTGGGAGCATTTCTGTACAGCTTTGAATTTTACACATTTAGCATACATGGACTCAGCAATAATCTAGAGACTTGTGTGTCAATCTTCTACACTGATGTGCTTCCCTGCAGTTAGTTAGAACACTAAGTCTGCTGAACTGTAATTTTTGTAAGGACCACGAGCCTTGTTCATCTACGGTTCGTCACTTAGCGACCTTGAATTCTATACTGACACTCACTGTTTCAGGAAGCTTGGAACAATCAGGGTCACCAAACTTACTGACTTGCCATATTATTGGCAGTGTTGTCCTACAACAAGCAACAAGATTGTTCTTCTATAATGATAAAAAATGGTCGCAGAAATGGGGATTCCACCATTGCCATATATTCGATCATTTGGCTTACCTAGGTACCACTGATCACATGGTGAAATTGTGGTGACATGATTTGCATCCACAACAAAACAAAGAAAATTTGAAATGCACACTCGGTCTGTTTACGGACAGATATCCTTGATATATCAGGGATCCTCTCTTGGAGATAGATCCCTGTCGAAGTTGGGGCGCTCATGTGTGGAGTATATCCTTGATTATAATGAGACCTCAAGGGCAAAGATGCACAGTATGAAATCATGCTAATGGTAGCTAAGATAGAAGAGTAATTGGAAGATAAAGAAGAACATCAAACACTTGATAACAGTTAAGGGACAGAATATAAACAAGTAAGTAGGGTTCTAGATCGATTGAAATCTTTATAAAAATCAGACGTTAAAGTTTACAAAAATCCTTGCAAGCTCTTGAAATTGAGAGACATTATTGAGCCATTTAGCTTTTGGTTGTGCTCAGCATTTGAGAGCTTTCAACTTTTTGACAATAACCTTAACCTTGAAATGTACCTACAATCAATGAGCTTTGAGGTTAGGAAGAGAGACCAAAACAAAGGAGAAAAATAATTTTTCACATAGAAAGATGCAGAAATCTATGACACAAGAGCAACTACTATCAAACCCAAAAACAAGAAAATATTAAGCAAGCAGTATTGAAACACTAAATATTTTCAAGGTACGAGGGACTTCAATTACATTGTTATGGTTAAAGTTCATTAACTCTCATTCAATGCTGATTTTACTTCGGGCAGACCATGATAAAAATGGATTACATGAAAAATATCAAAGCATAATTTTTCCTTTCATGTAAACTATAGCCATTTAAAGCTTCTTAATCGGGGCTTTCAATCTTATTACCGTTAGCACAACTCTTCTAAACAATCAATTCAGACACCTTCATTCTGGATAACGAGATACTCTAGCTCAGTTACAAAAAGAGCACTTTTCTCTATTTGAATCTTGCCTTTATCAATTGGCTGAAAATCACAGATATACGCTCCATACAATGAGATGAAACAAGAAAATTTTCTGCATCATGTCCAGGTGAACACGAAAGATTTTGATGGAGGAAGGTAAAAACATCATCAACAACCACCAATGGAGTCCTTATGGTAACCTTGGATTTTCATCAATTTGAAAGGTACCGAGTATTCCTACCCCGCAAAAGAGGCTGTCAGAATTTGATGCCAAGCAAGTTTTCGAGGAAGGATGTGTTGTGTAAGTAAGTGAACAAATGAAATTGGTAGTAAAAAGTTCAAGTACACAGAGGTGCATGCCAAAAACACGAAGTTTCCGTGCTATTGGGATCAGAATGTCTACATCTGAAGGAGTAGTTGACAGAAGAAACTTCTGTACCAAACAATTGCGACGGTATTAACTCATGGATGAACAACCAGAGGTCAAGGAACCTAGGAGCTCGTGAAGTCTCCAGGGCATTATTGATCACATTTCTGGAGACTGATGCAACACTTTCATCATTTACGTTTTCGCTCTAGCCAAGATATAAACATGGCGATGAAAGTTTCCAAGACATATCAGAAACTAAAAATGGAAATAATGGGTTTTAAAGGGTTCTGATAGGGGTGTGAGGAGCGATGGCATTGAAGCAAAAGCCAGTAGTCTTGTCTGCTATGAACAAACTTGGCGCACCAAAACAACATAGTTTCACACGGAATGAGACTCAGCGAGCACCTTAGCAAGAGTGCGCTTTGCAGCTGAGGTGATGCACGAAATCAGATGAAGTGGAAACAATTTCTCACAGACAAGAACCTAACGTCATGGGAAAATAATACTGATTGGGAAAGTACTAACCTGCAATGATCATTGTCGACAGCTTTAGTGCCGTTCGGAATTTGTTTGGGTGGCTGGTGTTTCAGTATGGGAAGGACTACGCTTAGCCTTTTAGCCATTTCTGAGGGAACTATCGGTTTCCGGAGAGATTAACACTTCGCGCATGAAAATGATTTGGCAGAATTCAAGTGTTTATGTATCTATGCAACTGCTGATCGGCAAACGAAAAGGAGATACACGGAAAGGCGACAAGAACTCACAGAATTTCAAACGCATGCTTGGGTTAAACACTTAAAGGTTCAAGTTGATCGCGGAATGTAAAACCTTTGCGAAACGAATGATAACGTTGAAAAGCCGAACGAATTACTACGCACGTGAACGCAAGCCCGTGAACGAAAGGCCTTGCAAAAACGCTGAAAAGCACGAACTTTCGCAGGAGCACCAAACCAATACCAAACAATCACCGACCGCGCTAAACATTCAACAAACACTAGCGCCATCTACCTACGACACGATTGGTCCATTCTTCCGACGACTTCCAGTAGCGGGAGATTTCAAAATCAGCGCCCCTTGGTCAAAATTCATAGTCAAAATTCGAGACTACCGTTTCAGAATGGGATGAGATTATTTATTCTGGCACATGAGAGCACCGGTGATGGAGTTCTAACACACGTTGTCTAGAATACTTAAATTATCTCGATCTATAATTAATGGAAGCAAATCCTTGGACTCGAAGCAGATAAAGAGATTTTCTGTTGTAAGATTTGTTTCTTTGAGAATTTTTTCAATTTGCTGGGGATTTGAGTGTTCCCTGATTGGATCCTGATTTTCAAAAATCGCGAAGCCATATTCTACAATGTATGAACCTAAACGACCCGCTGGATACTGTGATGTTACGGAATGTCCACTCATAAGTATTCCATTTTCTTTTAAACTGTTAATGCACCATCAATAATGTGAAGAGATATGATTAGGGAAAATAATATCCAGAAAAAAATGAGAAGGCCTGATTATGAACGAGTTTAGGAACATTTTCATAACAACTTGGTCACCAAGAGATCCTCACGCATTTTGTTTACGAGTGTATCGGGTGGTCTTGATCATATGGACAAAGAAAGACATAGAGGAGGGTGTGCCCATAAAGGCCTTGGGCTCTAAAACTGGTCCAAAATTTGAAAAGCTCAAAGAAAGTTTCCGTACAGCAACTTTTACTTTCTATTATTATTTCATGAGAACTTATCAAGTTCTCCCTGACCTCTGAAAGCTGTGTTGCATGAGAAAGATCGTTTTTGGTGTTCATGAATAGGGCTGTTTGTCTAAAAACAGGTACTTTTGTTACTTATCCTGCTGCAGTATGACATGAGTACAAAGTTACTCACTTTCCCTTTTAATCTGCAACTGAGTACTTACTTTGATAATAAGTACAAACCAAAACCGCACCTTAAAAACTGAGCCAGTCTTCCAGTAGTTAATTAATAGCAATATAACTTGATGTAGGAACTTAATAACATCAATTATGTACCTAGATAAAATGCTCGAATCAATATTAACCAATTTTGGGGCAAAAAAAGACCTATACGAGCACTCTTCCTCAAAAGAAGTTTTACGAAACATATAAAATCGATTGAGCTGATACACTTCAATCTTCGTTATCCCCAGTAGTTTTCAGAAGACTTTCAGCCTTCATCAAAGGTGGAAACTTAATATTTGTAGTAGAGTTAATTAAGAGCCCCGCACAGAACAGGGGGCTTGGTTGCTCCCGGTAGATTTTAATGAAACTTAAATACACAGATGGAAATAATGTTCATTATAAGCATAAGCATAAAGCCAAATAATTAGCTCATTCTAATGAGTAGAAACCGAAATATTCGCGATTATAACCCGGGCTATTTTCTGTGCAGAGGAGACAAATGGGCGCTCCTCGTTGCCTTTCCTTGTGCTTGATCACTTCAGACTTCAGCTGGGATACCCCCTCTCTCCTCCAGGTAGCTGCTCAGGCGGTGCGATATGCAGTCCTTTATCTCTTGCAGCTCTCTTCTGAAGTGACTAAAGAGTTGCCGAAACAGAATCGGCAGATGCGAGGAGAAGGAGGGCGTTCAACCTTCGCACCGGTCGAAAGTATGGGCCACTATGTGCGGTCTGATCAAAAACTTCAAACAACCAGAAGAGAGGGGATTTGTAGGTCTTCCATCGTGCTGTAATATGTTAGAAAATAGTACGGGTTCAATCGTAAATATCTCGGCTTCTACTCGTTAGAATGTGTTAATTTTTTGTCAATCTATCAAAATTTTAACAAAATCTACCGGGAGCCACAAGGCCCCCTGTTCTGTGCAGGGTTCTTTATAGATTCTGGAAGACTTGTGAGTGTGTGCTGTTTATATATGCCTATCTATACTGCTGTGCAACGCAAAAACGCCATTTTACATTTTTTGGAAACAATGTATCATAGCAGAAAAACTTGTGTACCTCAAAACAACGTTTTTACAGAATTTGTTCGCAAAGAACTTGACCCGAAAATTTGAGGAGCGTGGGTAAAACAGTTTCTATTCTATAGAGTGTTAAGTTCCAAAAAACGAGGGAAAATCTTGATGGATTTACAGCGTTCCTGCTTAGCGCGGCAGTATATCAGAATTTCTCCAGTGAGATTTAGGCTAGAAAATTGGCAGAAATTTTCACTGCAATCTATATCTAGAGAGTATCTTCAGAGTGAGCACTTTGCTATTTTAATAAAGTTGGGACCACCTACGAGAAACGGACCGCAGTTTTTACAGATGAGCTAAGCCAAGAGGTCAGTGATGTAGTTTTTTATGAAATTGAGACACTCTTCTGTTTCTCATAGCCTCCGTTACGGGTGGTCAGGCTCATTTTGGGGCCAATACAGGACATGAAGTTCTACTTTAATCTGACAATTTTTAGCTAAGCATTACACATAAAAACTATAATAAAATTTTATTCAAGCACCTCTTTTTTAACCACATAGTTGTACTTTGCACTGTCATAACACTGGTTTCATTTGAATAAAAGGGGAATTGCTGTGCCAAAATTTTGAAAAAACACTCATCTAAAGAATGATACAGATACCTTCATAGTGAGGTACCTTCGGCACAAAGGTCCATTTCTTTTACGCGGTCGCATTTAGAAGAATTCAAAAAATGCGAAATTCAGTTCTTGAGACTGCCCGCTTCACAGGTCTTGATTCAATGTAAATATTCAAGGGTTGAAGAAAACAGCATGAAAGAGTCCAATAATCTTACAAATTCTTTTAATCTTACCTTAATTTGAAAAACTGTGTAACAGCACTTTACGAATTTAGATTCGAGTTGATTTAAAACGGCTTCACAATAAAATCTAAAATGATCGTTACAGAGTAAAACTAACATCAATTAAAATGGTAGAGACAATATGCCAAGTTCTGCAGATAAGTTCTGAAGAGACAACCAGAAACGCGCGAACAAAATAAAGACATTTAATTCGTCCAGAGGACTCTCAATCACGGAGAAATTCGGACCTTAAAAGATTGCTTTTCCTGAATTTCGGGAATTTAAAAGAACAAGACGGAGTTTAAAATTGCTATTCTTTACAGAAAAAACACAAACGGTTAGCGGTGCTCCTCAGATTGTATTAACTCTTGAGTATTATTTGGATAATGTTTAGGGCAAAGATGTGAGTGGCATGTGATAGGAGCGAAGAGAAGAAGGATTTGATTTCTTCACATGAGTCTTTAAAAATCAAAATACAATCCAAAAAGTAACAAAATACATTCTCCCCAAACTTCAATTTTTTGTCAGGAGAAAATAGTGATTTCAGATGAGATCAAAACTATCTTCGGCTCATTTTATTTATAAAACGTTAACTGATTTTTTTCCCACTAAATGCTGTCGTTTGGAGCCAGATTATTTGATACCCTGCAAGAATTTACTCACAGAAATCATCCCTTTTTTGCTCATTTTTCCATTAAAATAACTTATGTGTGTTTTTCAGTTTACTACAAATTATAATTTTACAAAGTTGTTACAATCTGAGGAGCACTGAAAAATTGCAGTGCTATTTACGATTTTATGACCACCTTTACTATTTTCACCGGTTGAAATGAACATAAAGTCCACCGGATATCTTTTCTCCATGCATACAGTCTGTGAAAACCTAGTCTAGGATTTGACAATATGTAAGTGAGGACTTAGAGATTGATGTGAGCTGATCTAACAAGGCAGCACGAAAACCATAACCAGGGAATATCATAGCATTGAAATACAAATAAGACTAGAGGAAAATACAAATTTTTGCAATTCAGAAAAATAAAATTCAGTAAAATTAGAGACCAGAAAGATATTGAGATTAAGGGGGATACGTAGCCTTAAGCTGGGTTTTCTTCGACTAGGCACACGATGGACAAATTCACAGTGCCTTAGTTGCGCTCCTCTCTCCAGGGTTTTTGAAACCCTGTTGGTTTCTCGGACCACTGTTAAAGAAATGCAATACAAATAACTAGCGCTACCAGAGCGGCTACAATACAGCTATGCGCAGGTTGTGTCACATTCAAGTTTAAGAAAACACAGCTTAAAAACTGGTCGTATCTTCAGAACTTGGCGCAGACGGGCAGAGCTAATAAACTCTCCACTACAATCTATTCTGAAAATGTTTTTACACATAGGAACAAATTAGAAAAGAAAAATTTTACAAAAATAAAAATATTCAATTCCTTAATCGCTATGAACTAATTTAAAGATTCCGAAAATCGAGATAAAACTAAGCTTATTTCATTAATCAACAAAAAGTTAAGAACTTAAGATTCACTTATACAGCTACGCTAATTTGTGTCTGCCTCTCTCAACTGTCTCCTCAGTATGGGCTACTTTTCGCCGCTTCCAACAAACAGCAAAAGCTTAGGACATTTTACATTTTAAAAATTTATCATGAAAGAGAATAGAGGTTACAAGAAGTAGGAAATACAGAAATTCTAGAATAGCACCTCCCAATATTGGAAATGCAAGGGTTTTCTGGAAATTACTAAGTGCGATAGTTCTGTGAAACTTTGTGAAGCTGTGGCGCAGGAGTTTCATGTGTTAGAAAAAATCACAAGTCGATGAGTAAGTTAATTGTATCAATATCATTTCAAGGTGTACATGATTTTAGGATGATGCCACAGGTGATTCACAGCTAGTACGGTAAATCTCTCGTAAAATAAAAAAAAACTTCCGAACGTAAAAGCAAAATTGGTCAATCATGGTGTCATTAGGACTGAGCCTGAATTCTTGTAATATGAGGTTTCCATTAACAACCGCATACGGAATGATAGAAGGAAAGTGGATTTATTCCATCAGAACTAGTAAAATGTTATCCCTAAAAAACAAATAGACCTCTCGATGCTGTGCTGAGGAAATACGCCATGTGAGCATTTGAATGTAACCAAATTTTCTCTCCAAAAATACTTCTTTTTCTTGAAGAAAGTTACTGTTAATATTCCTTGAAATTTTTAGATACTGAAGATTAAAATGCAAACAAAATTTCCTGAAAACATTGAAGAAAAATACTTACAAAATTAGTGATTAGTCAAAGGCAATTCTGCAACGTTTAAAGGCTCTTACAGCGTTTTTCCTTGGCACACAATAGGAGACCTTGGCATAATCAGTTCAATAACAGACCAAAAAGAGAAGTAAACTTTGCAATGACCATGAAATTTTCTCACTTGCGTACCTGATACTGAGAGCCTGTGCCATGATGACAAATTTAATACACTTAGTTGATTTACAGATAATTTTTGCTTCTTAAAAAGGTGCCACTGGATTAGCTTTCTAAAAACATCATTTACGAGTAATGCCGAACAACTTCAAAATGACCCATTTTGACTCAACTTAAAAATAGTTGAGAAGTTTAATATTTACTAGAGATTTTCTGACAGGATCCGTGGGACTTGAAGAAAAACAGCACAGCTGTTTAGAACAAAACCAAGGCTCACGTAAGTCAACTGCAGGATTGAATTAGGAATCGGAAGAGAAATTGATGAAATATTGGATTGATATGATGGAAAAAAAACAAACCAAGAAGAAATGAATCCAATGATTATTATGAAAAATTGCGGAAAAGCCGAGCTGCTACTGGAAGAGCTCCAGAAAAACAAGCCGTGAGAGAAATCACTAGTGTAAACTCAATTTCCATTTCAAGATTCCCGAGAGAATTTATTTTAATGATGTTTAACTCAAGAAAGGAAAGCGTACAAATGTTCATGTACTTTTCGCTAAGAGCACTGAGCAAAATTACTAAAATATCTAGACACATATGTTATCAGCATCAGACATTTTTCAAGAAAATGTTACATGAAATTTTGAAACGGAAAAATGATCTTCTACTTTTCCGCAGGAAGTCAAATCAAATATCGTGACTAGGTATGCCAAACTGAAACCCCCAAAAAGCTTCTACTGGAGTTTTAAGCCATCTGTATCTTCAACAACATTATACAATGATTCACCGTAGAATTTCTTAACATTGAAATTTTCATGTCATTTACAATTTATAAAGTTTATTCTTTGCTGATGATTAGGCTCTTTCCATAAGAATAGCAGTGCCAGTAATGCTTAACTTTATCCTTGGAAATTCATAAATTAACCAGTATGTAATTACAAGGGAAGAAGGGAGGGGTGGTTATACTAGAGTAATTTTTAAAAATTTGGAAAACAAGTTTTACAGACAGTGTCAATTCTGGGAACATATCTAAAATATTTCAAACTTAGAGGTCTTGTGATCTATTTGTAGCTTTGGTTTGTGTTTAAATGCACTTTTAGGACTAAAAAAACATTTTAATCTCTTCCCACCTTAAGAATAAAATCGGTATGATCTAATACCTGAATTGTACTACACTGATTGGACCTCGCAATTAGAAAGTTACTGAGATGATTTTTTTCTCCAGGAAATTAAAACAGAGAGAAAAGAGTGAAGAATATTGATTCATTAGAGTAGACAGAAAAAAGAAAATAAATCAAATGGCTCCCCTGGTGCAAAGCCCACAATTTCAGTTTGAAGATGAGCCGCACAAACTCAGGAAAGGGTCAGTTCCAGGCGATTAGTGCTTCAGTCGGAGGGTTCTGTAAAAACACAAAAGGGGAAAGAAGCTGTCAGGTGGAAAAATCTCACTGAACAATCCATGTCTGATGTCAGGAAATAATGACAACAGTCTGAGAAAGAAAGAGAGAAAGAGCCGTTCTTCAGGAAATTGAGTTCCTGCGTTAAGCGTGATGTCAAGAGACATAATTTTTCCTGCGGCAACTTTGAAATTTTCAAAACAGATATGATATAGACAGATTTAGAAAATTTTTACTTAAATTGTTTTGGTTTCATAGCACCTAATGATGGATGAAACTTCAGACTCGTTTTTCTCCCATTCCTAGTCTATGTCTCCTGATTCTTTGCAGCAATTCAGGATGGTTCATTGTATTTGAAAAGTAATGTGGACTCCCTTGTCCCGTAACTTAAGAAAGCAAAAATTCTGGCCCTAACAGTTGTGAGAATTCATAAAATTGAGAGAACTAGAGGAAACAAAGAAATTTGCATACTTTCGTCCTGACATGAAAAAACAAAATAGACAAATCTAGTTTCTTTGGCTGGCAGAAATCGCGAAATGTTTGATTGTAATGTCTACTAACCATCAACTTTCCTCTAATTTTTGCCAAGTTCATGTTTTTTCCCCTTCAAAATTTACGAATAAAAATAAATTTGATATAAAAAGCTTTTTCTCTAAAGTATATTCCATGGACAGTAAATTTCGAACCGTCATTATACCTCAGGTTTGAACAGACATCTAAGGTGTCTTTTGGGCCAAAATGTTCCCAAAAAGATTCTTCGTGAGAGGTACCAACATTTTGTTCATGAGTTTTTCAGAGCTGAAGTCCCGTTTTTCCATGACAGCTACAAATCAATAGCTAAAGACAGTATCCCCTATCTGCAAACTGACGATTTTGCAGGATGAAGAAAAATCCTACCCATTTTTGTAGGTAATTATGAGTGAAGGTTTGCAATTTTTTTTTTTTTTTTTAGATAATTATGTCATCACAAACTCCCAGGCAGAATTAGAAAAAAGTAAACATGTCAGTCGCTAATTCATTTTTGCTAAAATAGTCAGATAGGCACTGTCAATTGTTCCTCAGCCATCAAAATGTATTCATCCTATTTCCTACCTCAAGAGATGAATTTCACAACTTGCGAAAAGAAGGAGTTAAAGAAAATACCTTCATCAATTTTTGACCTTTTTCTTGATGTATCATCAGTATCTGGTGATGCACAACGTTTTTCAGCCTCTGTCTTCGTTGCGGGAGAGACGGTGCTGGCTTCGGTGGATTCTGTGGGCTTTTTCTGCTCAGCTTCTTGCGCTACTTTTGTTTCGTTGGCAGAACCTGAGTTGATGCCATTGGTCTCACCAGGTTTCTTCCACCGGACGATAATACACGTCATGTTATCACAACCAGTTCCATCTCCGATGGTATTTGGGGCCAGACACCGATCAAAAAGCTGAAAGAAAAAATAATGAGCATAATTAATTTGGCTCGATCTCTTCACAAACTTCAACATGTCTTGCAAGAGTAGATTTTCTAAGCACCTTCAAACATCGATTGACAGTCAGGGTTGCCATAGACTTTAGGAGATGAATTTCCCTGACAACTTCGGTGAAATTCCCTGAGAGTTAAAGATGTGCCAATTGGTTAAAAATGCATAATGTGAAATGGCTTTCAGGCAGAATTTGTAGTTCAAAACATTAAACCCATTATGGAGAGCAAATAAAGGTCACTTGACAATTTTTCCCTTATTTTTTTGACATTTTCCCTGACATTACTGGATTTCCACGGACTTTCCCCAGTATTCCCTGTGTAGTAAATAAATCTCTGGCAGGCAGAAAAATCATTTAGATGCCAATAAAATCTGGCTATAATATTAGCATTGCGTTCCAATATTTAGCAAGACTAGACTAGTAATGCTCAAAGAATGCTTTCACTAATCATTTCACACAGACCTAATATTATAAGTCATTGCTGTCTGAACTCTGAATCCACTTTTCCATTTTACACATTGAGGTGAAATACTTCATGTTCATGCAATGACTTAGGATTCTTCTGAAATGATTACTGGGAGGTGGACGGCTGAAATATTTTTCCAGGCAAAAAGGATCCAATTTTCCACTGATGAATGACATTAAAGCCAGCATCCTGCCATGCTACAAGCAAACTCACCGATAACCTTTGAACGATACTTGATTGTTCCTCATAATACAGTAACTTGCTAAAATATTTAAGCATTTTTCCTTTCAATTCTTTCGCAAATTTTTATCACGGTTGAATTTGAAGTGTCTGAAAAACGTAGGAAAATATTCAGAGCTCTTCTTTAAATTAATTTGAAGAACTAACCCATCAAAATTGGCAACATTTGGACGTTCAAACAGTCTTAATGCTAAGCGTGACAGTATTTCAGCCAAGCGTGTTCAATATTTTGATTTTTGCGTACTCTCAGTAAGAATTCACCTTAAAATAATTTGCGAGGAAATATTTGACAGCACCGTATCTTGGTACTCTGATCAGATTCAGAGGTTGTGAAAAATGCATTTTTTCATGAGGCATCTCATACAAAAAAAAGGAAAAAAAGGGATTTTGTTTACTATCGTTGTATGTAAGTGTTTTACTATTGTTGGCTTACTCCTGATGAAATGGAACTTATTTTGGGCCCCTAAAGGCTATTCTTTACCAAATAGGCAATAACAGAGATCAAAACAGATTTTTTAAAGTAGATTCAGAAGGTTTTATATAAAATTTCCATGGTTGCCACAGAAAGTAGAACATGAAATTCCCTGACAATTGAAGATATGCAAGATGGTTCAAAATACATAATTTAAAATAGTTTCCTCACAAAATCTGTTGTTCGAAACATCAAACCCGTTCTAGAAAGCAAATAAAGGTGACTTAAAAATTTTCTTTGACACTTCCTCCTTTTTTCTTGATATTCCCAGGTTTTCCCTGACTTTTAAACTTTCCTCACAATTTTCAGTTTCTTTGGTGTTCCCGGACTATGGCAAGCCTGAATTTCAGCTGAAAATTTTTGCCTTATAGATAGCAAAGAACATCAACCGACCTCTTCAGATATGTCAGTGAGTTTCTTAACTCCTTTGTCTAACCGTTCATTGATAAAGTCAACAACTTCTTGGCTCGACATTGAGTTCCAGATTCCATCACAGGCTAAAACCATGAATTCATCTCTCGAGCGGTCGATGTCTAACGTTTTGATGTCTGGCAGTGCTGATATCATTTGTTCTGTTGGCCCTAGTGATTTGTTTTGTTTGTAGGAATGATCACCTGCAGACAGATGCAATGAGATATTAAAGCCAGGAAAATAAGATAAAATAAAGACTAATCAGGACTAAAAATCTTAAATTATCTAGAGACATGCACAAAAAGAAGAAAAAGATAGTAATAATTCAGCTTTCAATTTCAAAATTAGCCAATTAACTTTCAATTAGGTGCTCTTACCTGAGCTTTAATTTTATGAAATTAAAATTTTGAAAGCTTAAAAAAAGGGGGACAAACTTTCTATGCTACTCATAAAAATGTTTTCTTTGACATTTCATGACATTTTTGGGGAAAAACAGTGTCCCTTGCTTCTCGAAGTTCTTCAATTAATAATTTCGATATTCAAAGAAATTCACAAAATAAGTTGAGACTGTAGATTTAAAAAATAATTTACAACAAAATCAAGTCTTCACAAAATGACGACAATAAATTGGATAAGTATTTTACGAAGCTTTCCACAATGACAAAAAAATGCTCACAAACGCATAACCAAACCAGAACTAGGTTGGCTCTAATTCCTTTGTTCAAAAACAGGAGTTATGAGAAAAAACTACTTGAGGTTTGACTCTACCTTGATTAAGGCTCAAAATCAATAGACAATAAAGCAACCTCTTACTCTATGTAGACACAAGAACTCAATACACCACTGAAACTTCATACTTTCGAAAGATATCAAGAGTTCTCTGTTGATGGGTAATATTCTGCTTTAATGGCTCATCTTAAAAAAATTGCTACCCTAGAAAATTTGCCAGATTGCATGAAGGTCCTCTGCTCGAGGACAGTCACAGATACAAAGATAAAAATACTACTGACCTAGTGCACGAGATAAATTCAATCCTCCATTCACTCTACCATCAGGAGTTACTTTACCACCAGCATTGACTATCCTGGTCTTCTCGGGTGGGTCCTCTGGTTTATGGTCGAATGACATCTCCACAGCCTCTCTGTTGCGGGAGACAACGCATCGCGAATCACCAGCATTAGCTACATACAAAGTATCTTTGTGTATAAGGGCGACAACTGCTGTGCACCCACTGTCTTCACCGACCTGCAAGAAAGAAAACACAGCGCACTTTAAATTCTGAGCTGAAAATTGAGGGAAAGGGCATAAGCAGTAGTTTAGGCTGTCTATTAAAGGCTTATTTTTTATTTTCCTCATTCTCTCAGGTATTTAAAATGAGAATTCCTAATTTTTTGCATGAATAAAGTGACACTCATTCGATTCTACAAACCAATGTATTCAATTAATTTAATCAAATGATTTACTTTTGCAGGTGCTAGACTGCATGTACATAATTGAAAAATGCTCGACACATTCTGTATTTCCTGATTCATGACTGATTTCCTTGATTCTTCCTGCTGACATCGAATTTTCTGATACTCTCTAGTTTTTCCGGTTTCTTACTGACAGAAGACACCCTGTACAGAAGGGAGCATTGCAGCTTAAATCAGTGTCTTCATATTGATGGTAAAAGTAAAAAAGTGTGTATCCTAAATTGCAAAATTAAAAGTCTCCGCTTATATTTTAGTTCTTTAGAGGCAAACAATTCCACAAATTCCAGAGAAATTTTCTGTAATTTTTTTCACTCCTTCTTGAAAAATCACACAAATCTGCAAGGAAACAACTTGATGGGTTATTCTTGAAGAAAATAAGACATGATCTGAAAGCAGTAAAAGTTGCATTTGAAGTACAAATGCATTTTTCGTTTATAGCCATTGCTAAGACTTCAGTAAACCTGCATATTCAATTTGTTTAATCTTCCACTATTCTGTTGCTTTGCATTCCTTGAATCCCAGGTAGTTTTCTTCAGACCATGCCTATCGGAAACATAATCTCACTCACTTGCTACACCTTTGTTGAGGCTGTGCAAACATACACAAACTCATTTCTTTCTCTTGATCAGAGAATTTTTCCACATGGTCAAATTTCCAATCTGCCTTGTTTGAAAATTCTCGATTTCACAGCAAAAAGTACAATGTGCTCCTCTTTTATAGAATTAATAAGGGGGGGGGGGCGGATGTGAGACAGGCATTTTCACTCCCCTGCCTACCACTTGAACCAGGATGGGAAAATTCCATGAAAAATTAAAACGTGAAATTTCACACGAGATACTTCATGAGATTTTAGAAATATATGGAAGATACTGAAAGATAAATCTCTGCCGTTGATTATCACCTCAGGCTAAATAATTGTCAAAATACTGCCGCAATTGTGAAGAAGCATTTACTCGCTTTTATCACTTGCGTTTCCCACAGGCTAAAAAGAAATAAAAATCTTGAGTTAGGTAGATGAAAAATTTGAGGATTTTTTGTGTTTTTTGGATTGTATAGTGCAGATTTTATATCTTGTCCCGGAATTGGATGTTTCATATTCATCAAAAATTTCAGCCTTGTGAAATTTTAAGAATTATTTCCAATTTTTTCATGCCACCCTCACTGGTGCTGTTGAGTTACCGCCATAGAACGTAAGAAAAATGGCAAAATACCTTTGTTCTTTTCAACAGAAGTTCGTAGATAAAAGAAGCTGCATAACAGCTGCAGAGTAATAATGTATAGTCTAACCTTCTCCTTCCCGCAAAACCCATCATCGTCATCATCCTCAAGATCCTCGTCATCATCCGAGTCTTCTTCGTCTTCGTCTTCCAATTCATCAGAATCATCTTCCAAATCATCTTCCTCATCCTCGTCTAGGGCACCCTCATCATCATCGTCATCATCATCACTGAAAGCGGTAAAATTACAGGGGTTTAAAGTTGGGAAAATACGACTGGTTGTCTTACTGCCCTTGAAAATAGATATTCCTAATATTGAAATACATGCTTCCCCAAGAGAGCATAAGTAAGAACTTGACAACGGCTAGACTTGAAACTTCGCATCTTGACTGTATTGTTTGGAAATGTTTGCTCCTATGTATTTAATTTTTCTGAAGAGATAAGGGAAAACTCTTTTCAAACGCATTGAACCTCTAAATACGGTAAAAGTTAAAGATTGCAGCTCATGATTTTTCATGAAAACGTCATGCAGAAAACATTGAATTTGTCAAAGATTTCAGATATCAACCTGAAAAGGAGACATTGGCATGTACAGTTTACATTAGGATCAATTAATTCTAATTTCCTGCCAGCAAAAAGCAACCAAGATTGATGATTGTCATGCGGCTAATGAATTTAGCCAAATGACAAGCATAGGAATTTACAAAAATGTATCTTCTTCTCTAATACAAAGAATCTGTGAACTTTCCATAACACAGTGAAAATTGCTTAAAAATTTTTGAGTACTTTTAGAATATTGACGTGACCAATTTGATTCCAAACAACTGTGGTTTTTTAATAAGCAATAAGAATGAATTCATAGGTAAGAAAAATACTAATTTCTCAAATACATGTTACATTTGAAATTTCCGAACTCTTCATCATTTTTATATTATTTTTTGCTTTTTTAATTCAGATGGCAAAGCATGAATTGTGCCACTTAGCTCAATACAGCTAATCTCCAAAGGCGTTTTTGGCAATTAATTGTTCCTTCTTGATATCTTGATTTTTTTTTTATTCTCAGAATGCTGCGATACTGATTGTTTGAGCTATAAATTGCTCAAAAAATTCTTGGCAGATATGGGCAAATACCATCTTGGCATACTATTCACCGATGAGAAAAACTCATGAAACTTAGAATCTTTTAGTCAAGAAACACGGGAACTTTTGTTCAAGCCAATGCAAATTTCCTTGACATTTTGAAGAAACAAAGTAACATTTTACGTTCAGAGTGATTTCCTGATGGTGTAAGACGTGTTCTAAATAATATGGTTGTGTAAATTGTGCCTGTCTTGATTTTAGACACAGACGACAGTTTTGCTTTTTAATCAAAAGGAGCTGTAACTTTTTTGTGGAATGTATGATAAATTTATTTAGAGTCTGACAACAATTTTAAATGGAGCGGAAAGCTTCAAGGCGCATTCCCCCTCTTAGTGGGATTTACATCAATTTTGACCAACAGTTAATTTCTTGCATGCTAGAAAATCCAATGTTTATGACAAAGAAGTTTTAACCTAACCTCTCGCTGGCTGAACGGTATGTTAGGATGGTACTGTATGAGCCCTTGAACAAAAGGAAGTAGAAGACTGTTCAAATTTTGTCTGCTTTCCCCTGTCTTACCTATCGGCCGCAGCTCCAGGAAATGCTGGGTCGTCCTCCTCATCCGACTCGCTAGAGTCAACTCCGTTGCCTTGCGTTAGTAATTTCTCATACAATTTGGTCGAGCCTACACGTGTGGGTACAACACGCTTTTTGTGGGGTGATTTGCCTGAGGGGCTGTCACTTGATGAAATTGTGTCATCATTGCTACTTTTTGCCGACTTTCCAGCATCGCCGCTTCCTTGACATTCACTTTCTGCCTCCATCTTGCTTCCTTTGCTGTTCTGCGAGCTTGACACCGAGTCACCAGAGGCCCCATGAGCGATGCCATTCACCATGACTTTTTCAGCTGTCTCTTTTTTGGAGGAGGAACTGGCTTCTGGAAAAAAGAATAAAATGTTCATAGAGATAAAATAAGCAGACACTGTTAGTTTAAAAAAGAATAGAGTAAGATAGAATAGAAAATTGAAAACCATAGATTGAAAACCATGTATACGAGGCAAACTTTTATACAGCGTCCTCAATTGACTAAAGAATCTTTGAACTTATTTTATAATGCAAAAAATTGTCCTCACAGATGTTCTCCACATTTTATTGACTACATAAGGGTTTATATCAACTCACACCCACAATACAAACTCGCTTAGAAAAATAATCTGCTAACAGGTGGTGAGGATGTTATCCGCACTGCTGTTCAAAGCAAAAACGCCAAGAACTACATTCCAGATATTGAAATTTTTCTTCTGACAAAATGCTCTACGACAACACAAAAGCCTTGTCATCTCCATGCTTCATTCGAATATAATTTCAATATGATTTTTCAGTGGTATAACACAGCTATTCTACAAGTACAAAGGATGTGCAAACGTACAAAGGTACAAGGATGTGCGGCTTTCCTTGTGCTGGAACAATTTTTCTCAGAAAAATGAGCCAAATATAGAATGGAGACAACGCTTTTGCTGAGAATGGCATTGCAGACAGGTTTTCAATTAGAGTGTCTACTAAAATTTCATTTTTTATTTTCCTAATTTATCATGATATTTTAGAAAAAGAAATTTCCTACTTTTTGGAATAAATAAATTGAAACTTGTTCGATTTTACGAACAAACACATAAAATGAATTGGTATAAATGATTCACTTTTACACAAGCTAAACTGCATGTATGTAGTTGTAAAAGGCTTAATTAATTCAATATTTCCTGATCTTTGACCAGTTTTCCTGATATTTTCCTGTTTTTTACGGACAGTAGACTACCTGTCTGGGAAACTAATCATCATCAAGAGACCAAGATTTGGAAAATTCAGTCATTGCCATGCTCTCCGATATCAAAGTAATAAATCTGTTTTCACTGATTCCCGGTGGCTAAATCTTTTATATGTCTCCTAATGTTGAAACCATTTTAACATACCAGAAGCAATATTATTACAGCTACTACTGTCAGGAGCGCTATTGGAAACTTCTTTTGCGTGTGATGATGATGAAGGTGCGGAGGACGACGACGATGGCCCTGCCCCCGACCCAGACGATGAGGCAGCCTCAACATTGTTCTTGGATTCACTCTTTGAAGAGGAGGCTCCACCACTTGAACTGCTGACTTCACTTTCTGAAAATTTCAAGAGGTGTTTAAAATTCAAATTTCGACAAAAGTGATGCTTGGGAGATAAGGACACTTAATATTCTTGCGAGGGTACCAGGGTGTCTACCAGTTATAAAAGACCGTAATTCGGGACTTTCGAGGACCTCTAAGGGTGTTTCTTGGAGAAAATTGGGGACTTTTTTCCCCGAAATAGGAAGAGAAAGAGAGCTGGTTAGAGCATTAAAAGGCGTATTTTATGCAACAAATTTTACAAGTTATGTTGAACTGATGAAAACATATGAAAAACCAAGCAACACTTCAGTTTTTTTATTCCTAGGTTATACCACGCCGCCACGGCTAGTGGGAAAATCTGAAAATGCAAGTGTTTAAGACAATTTTGGTCAATTTTTGGGGACCTGAACGAGAAAATTGGGGACTTTCAGGATATCGAGGACAACCTTCCAAAATGAGGGATAATCGGGGACATTAGGGACTTTTGGGGACCAGTAGACACCCTCGGTATGCTGACATTGAGTTGATGGTGATTAAAACCATGGCACCTAGCTTTAGAAGACTTCAAGAAGCTTCAGGCCCAACAGTTGGCATCGGGCTACTACAACTTTAAATCTCTCTTTTCATTTAAAAAAAATAGCTTCTTGCTATAGTACGATTTTCGTTAAAATTACCATAGAAACTCTTACTTTAAAGGCAAATAGAGAATTTGCTGGTGTTTCTAGTTTTAAGAATTTCATATTCAAAAAGAAACTACAGAGTGAACTGGGCATGAAAAATTCCTGGTTCATAAAATGACAATTCATAGAGGAGATATGACCGAATTACTTTATGTGCTAAAATGCATGTGTTCAGATGGGAAATGCTGTCTGATTTCGTCACAAAGCTGTAGATCTTTGAACTTTTGTACCTGCGTTTCTATTTCCCATATCAGAAAAACATTGGGAAGAACACTACAAACTCAGCTTATTAACCCTCTATGGCATAGCGTTACAAATTCGCAACAACGAATTTTTCACGTTTTTAAAAATTGAATCTTTCCTCTGTGGCATGATTTTGCACAATTTCATTAGTTTTTTCTTTTATTGAATAACTGGTTCCCGAAAATGTTTAAATTTTGAAAACAAATTTAGAACTCCATGTTTTAAATACAAGATATAAAACACATTCAAGTGCCTGTTTGAGCTAGAATATTGGGAACAACATGTGATTTTCATGGCAGTTGAGAAAAAAGAACCACGATTTTGCAAGCCTTCCTGTTCTTAAAACCTGTTTTCAGGACCTTCCCATTTTTACACGAGACCTTTCGAAGGCGAGTAATTTATACAGCCTAGAATTCCTCGATGAGATATCAATTCAGATAAGAGATAAAAAAGGTTGAAGTCTCACCAGAATTTGATACATTGCTGCTACTGCTACAGCCTGCGTCTGCGGAGGATGAGGATGCACCAGGGTCATCCTTTTTAGCTCGAAGGAACGGAGAGGCTGGGAGTTTACCCTGAAGACTTGGGTTCCTGTAGCGGGCCATAACATCGGCCAGCGGCATTGAGGCTTCTTTGTAGAGATCGTTCACACTTTCCTCATCATCTTCATCTTCGTTCTCATTGTCTTCTGAAACATACAAGAAAAATAAAATGCTATTGGAAAACCTCTAGCAGATTCAAATTTGAGGCACTAAACTACATGTGACTTTCCTCAGAAAAAAAGTTCTTAATACTGAAAACTCCGAATTGAGCAATGAGGATAACAGAACACACTGTTTTGATATTTTTTTGCTCACATTTACGTACAAAAAATCCCCAAAAGTATTCAACGAATCCAAAGGAGGGATGCTTAGACACGTAGTTTCAAAAACATTGTTTTGATAAAAAAAAAAAAAAAAACGGTTGAAGTTAAAATCAAAGGTAAAGATAGTGATAAAGAGCAAAAATCAGTTGAAATCTCAGCTTTAGGGAAAATTCCAAATCAATCGTGAAAAATTATTGCTCTAGAGGTGTTAGTTTACATCAGTCGCGTCTCATCCATTAAGTTGGAGATTAAAAGTGCCTTAAACACATTACACTGAAATAAAAAAATCTTAAATTGGCCCCTCAGGAAATATTATTTCTTGAACCATGTATGTTGCTGCTTGATCTAAGCTACTTGTTTTTACAAAAATTCAGTTTCGAATAAGATTAAAAAAAAACCCTAGGCCGCAAATTTAGGAATGATCAGGCTTGAGACAAGCAATTCTTTTCAGTGTTGCTGCAATTTATAAATTGCCAAAAATACATGAAAAAGAAAAAAAGTCACCTTCGGCTTCACCATTGTGTTTCTGAGCTATTTTTTCCAGCTCTTTCACCACTTTGTCAGTAATCAGAGTAGCATCAAACTCAAGGAAAGCGTCCTTCAAGGCCTGACTGTAATCGCCTTTGGCATAGCTCTCTGTTTGTTTGATTGCGTCAGGAAGGTGAAGTGAACTGTAAATGGCAACATCTGCTCCTCCGTGTCCGTCATAAACAGCAAACAAAGATGTTTCTTTGTCGAAGTTTAATACGCAGTTATGGGCATCCTGAAAAAACAAGAAAGGAATAAAATGGATCCTTCAATGAAAGAATTGCAAAATTGCGAGACAAAAATGAAATTAAACATTGACATTTAATAATGTCTTTGAATCACACCGTTAGGCTGTAAACCAAGAATTGTTTTAAGAGTCCACATTAAATAAGTTTACTTTCAGTCTCTTGCGGTAGTTCAAATGTGAAAATTTTCATTATAAAATCTAACTACCCCTTGAGCAGAGTCATTTTATGTTGAGACAAATGTCAATCTCTGATTACCTCTGAGCCAGCACCACTCAATAGATTAATACATGCAGTCAGATGGCACGAGTGATCAACAATACTTGACTTTTGTCTCAACATGGTTGACTCCGCTCTAAGCTTTTCGACCAGCACCATCATCAGGATTTTCAAATAATTAGAACAGAGCCATCGTATGTTGAGACGAATGTCAATCTCTGACTAGCTCTGAATGAGCTCTACTCAACAGGTTAATACATGCAGTCAGAAGGCACCACTGATGGGTGGTGACATAAATAATACTTGACTTCAGTCTCAACACACGATAACTCCTCTCTATCGAGGTATTAGCAATACATGTCAAGTGTATTAGCAAACTGACTCGTCCACACGAGTGAACTCATGGATGAGGGAAGTTGATTGTTTTTATTTGTTGTGTATTGTAAATTGAAGAATTTGAATAAATTGAATTGAATTGACACGTACTGAACTGCACATTAAAGTGCTGAAAGTAGAAAGACAGTGTAATAATGGAGTATTCTGAACTTATCATCACTGATAACTGTGTAAAGCTGATAAACCTGACTTCTTTTTCCATTTTTAAATTCATGACTGCCAAATTTTTAAAACCGGCCCTTTTTAACAGCGATACGTTTAATGACATAACTTTGATTCAATTGGGTCTGATCCGTTTTTGGTCATACTGAGAAAAACTTAAGTTGTTTGCATAATGCAATTACACCCCTTGCACATGTTCTTCAGCAAGTTCCCTCCAGCTATAAGAAGAGACCTCAACTTCAGAATGTTCCTTTTGGAAATACTGGCAATTTTTAGAACAACAGTATCGCAATAAATAGAAACAGAAGTTAGTTGCTTAAAATGTCAGCTCAGAATGGACCTGAGTCTGTAATTTTCGTACAATTAGTGAAGCCTGGTTTTCATTGGAAGCAACAGTTAACATTTGCCACGGCGCAACAATGCTGAGCCTCATTGTTTTCAACACTGTCATTAGAAAGACAGGGAGTCTTGTGACCCACCATCATAGAATGTAATGCACGTCCAGTAACAAAAGTGAGGGAAATATTTAGCTAAGAAGTCAGAAATTTCAGAGTGCAGCACTCCGTTAGTAAAATCCAATCTAGATAAGAAAAGGCGGGAAAATCCATATAATAACTGATCAACTCATAAGCATGATGAAATGGAGGAGATACTGGTGACTTTTCCGGATATTTAGACGGGAGAGATTCATTTGAGAGATAGTCAAGATTGAACAGAAGATTAAACAAGTAATGGCTTCTGAAGCAGGCATGTTGCGGCATGCAAGCATCCCGATGTCACATGTGTACATCGACACACATTTAGAACGAGATCCTACGAAGATCTGAGGCAGGAGATAACGAATTGATTTGAAGAAGATGGTTTGGATTTGCTGTTCTGAACTTCTACAGCCTCGTTGATTAGAAACTAAGAAATAGGTTGTCGAGAAGGATGGATACGAGCTTCGGCAGACACTCATTTGCATACTTAACACACGATGGGCGAGTGTTGAGGCTGGCTAAAAAACGGATGATTTTCATAGTATTAATAGAGATGGTGAGGTTGCAGACTACGAGTGTCTAAAAGAGAATCTGTTTAGGCACAGTTAAACTTACTTCTTGTGTTGATCGCCATCCTTGCATGGAACTGCCGCCACAAATCAAGTCCTCGTTCTCGGCGTTCTCAGAAATCTTCTCGGTTACAGGAGTCGCCAAGAATGCACCCATGATGACCGGCAAACATTCATATAATCAAAAGTTGGTGTTAACACTATGTTATCGATTGAAAAACCATAAATCCCGGTAAAATTATCAAAATTAAAGCGCCACCACGCCAGCAAGCAATAATGACGGTTTGAATTGGTGATCGTTGGCGCGACGGTGCTCAGCATTTCCATCGGCAGCAACGGCAATAGCATTTTGGCGGTAAATTTGAATGTTGAGCAAATTCATGGCGGTGCGCGGAGTAGGGTGGGAGGGGAGCGGTGTAGCTATGGTCCCGTGATCATATTTATTTACTTTTTATTATTTTATGACTCTATTATGTAATATTTATAAAATTCCGTTCATGAGTATACTTTTAATGACTTTAATTATTATTGCTTAATCCACACATTATAATTATTTAAATTTACAAATGAGTTTAATAAAATTATTAATCTGTGACATTAATGGTGATTATAATTTATAAATTATTGTAATAATAGTTATATTTTAATTCAAAACAAGAAAAAAAGTGTTGCTCCAATAATCGAGGGAAAACCCACCGATAATTCCATCAAATATAATTTGCTTTTCATTAAGTATTGGTTAGAAAATCATCTACTCTCATTTATTTCTTTTGGGAGGGTTGTCCGGTTCAAATCCAACCCCATCGTTCTTTTTGGCCTAACAACTTGAAGTTTTTTTGTTCCTTTTTCTCTGTGGAGATAATGGTAAAACTTGTATTTCCATTTTACATACTTATCTTGCTTCGTAAATTGAAAGTTGCCAAAAATTTTAGAACGGACTCTGAATGAGTGAGAGACCTGAAATTTATTATAATCCGAAATTGCTTTTTTTATTAATTCACGGAAAAAATCTTTGGTGCTTATAGCCAGATAGTAGGTGACATTTACCATCTTGGATTTCCAGATTCGACCCCTGAGAACAATTTTGTTACGAGCACAAATGTATGATGGTTAGAAACCTCAAACCGCGATCGGGTAGGCGTTGACAATAAAGATGGTAATTCGCACCAACACTGCTGGGCGGGCGCGCCGTTCTCCGTAGACGTCCCGCACAACGTTGCTGAGATAGACCTTCAAAGATGGTGAACTGACCCATCTGGATGTTTAGTGTATCAATCATGAACGCAAGGAGAACCTAATATTTCGTGTTTTTAGCCATAAAGAGGAGTATTTTCTTGCGAAACGTACAGCTAAAAAAATTGAATACAAAGGTGTGCAATGTCGGGGTTCGCAGCTAGGGGATGGTGGAAAAGGGTTAATCGCATAAATAAATTTCGAAATCGAGTAAAATGAGACTATAGTACTTACTGTGAGGTGCTGTAGTCATATCCGACCTATCAAATTTTTTTGCCTACCGCGGGGATTGAACCTGGGACCTATCTAACCCTAGCCGAAGACCCTAAACAATGGACCTATACAGTATGATGAGAATCTTGACTGAAGAACCTGTACATAGCTTCGATTTGAACGGAAAACCAGCATATTCAATCTACATACTTAGATTGGCTCATTCATTTTTCTAATTTTTGTATTTCATTTCATTTTTTAACGTTATTTAAGTTTTTTACTTTATTCTATTTCGTTACTTCATTTTAAATTTTTTACTTTATATTTTTTTCTTTACGTAATATAATTTTTCTTGGATTATTTCTTTTTCATTTATTTACTTTATTTTAATTTTTTTCCTTTGTTTCTTTACTTAATTTTAATGTTTTACTCGTACTTTATTGTTTTTTCTTTACTTAATATTATTTTTCTTTGATTATTTATTCTTTATTTCTTCCCTGTATTTTACCGTTACTTACTTTATTTTATTTCTTGCAATTTTTTATTTTTTTACTTTAATTCAGTCACTTCATTTCAATTTTTATACTTCATTAAACATCTCTTCGTTGTTATTTATAACTGCATTTTATTTATCTATTTTTTCTTTTTTTCTTTTTATGTCGAGAATCAATTCAAAATTTTCAAACTAGGATTATTTTTATGATTGGCTAAAGGGCCTCTAGCATTGGACAAATAAGCCCAGGCTACTTACTTGAACAAGTGAGATTATGTAGAATAGAAAATAAAAAACGCAATAGTGTATTTCCTTCGGAAAATACACTAAAAATGGACATATATAGTGCATGCCTAGCCTACTGGTAACCCTGGTTTGTTTAGCTTAACGACAGCATACAATTGACAAGAAACATTGTTAAAACATTAGTAACAATTGATTTATTTCTGCCATTTCCTTGGAATTTTGAATGTAGAAAAAAAATTGATTTTGAAAACTATTATTAGTACCAGGGGCCTTTGGCCGCTACGCTGCCGACAACCAATGCGGAAGAAAACAACATACGTAAAAAGTCGTAGAACTACGGTGTTCAAGTTATCTCGGAGATGAATGGATTCAAATACCGTCAATGTTTTGTTTTTGATCAATGTTTTTAAAAGAATACACACTGTTATTCTAATGAGTTTCCGCAAATTTTCCTGAGTGATTTAAAATAGATAAAAGAAAATTTGAATTAAAACGCACAATATCCGAAATCTAAGCTCAGATTCGGCTTCCTCGTGAAAAATCGATGCAATTTTATTTTATGTATCATATGTCACCATATCATGAAGGAAAGAGATTAACGTAGGCGTGTGGATTCTAACATATCAGTCCGACGTGGCAACATGGGTGATTCGGAGTGGGTCAGCTGATGAGTAAGAAGAAGTTTGTTTTCTCGGAAACGGACGAACCAAATGCTTGGCGCCTGGCGCCTGGCGGCGTAGCTCAAACGTTTGAATTCTGTGCCTACTTCCGCATACCGGCCGGCTTTGATAGAATCTTTACGCCTACGATTACCCTCTTTTCTTTATGTTATGGCAACATATGATACATGATATAGCATCGATTTTTCACGAGGAAGCCGAATCTGAGCTTAGATTTTGGGTATGATGCTTTTCAAGTTGAATTTTCTGAATTTGAAAATTTAAGACGGCGGACGTGGCCTAAATTGATACATCGGCTCCCATTCCATCGATTAAATTCGAATTTTTAGTCTAATTTCGAAAATTCAAAAAACCAAGGTGGCGGGCGTGGCCCAAAACTCTATCTCGGTTCCTGCTCGTCGGATTTTCGTAAAACTTGGTGCCAAGGGGAGGGGGGGGGGAAAGAAATTTTCAAACACTGCAATCGATATGCCGCAGGCAAGTAGTAAAATTAGGCATTTTTTCAAATGCCTAGGCAAATAGTCAAATACTAGGAGGTGGAGGCTATGCCCCCTGACCGCTACGCGGTCAAACCCCCTGAAGGCGTTATGAGGTATACTTTACTTTTAGAATGAAATAATTTTTGGTTTTGATGAATATTTTAGTTCGTTTTAATCCGGTTTTTTTAAATCAGTGAAAAATTTAACATCGTCCGAGTTTCTAAATTGTTGTAATAAATGCCCTTTAATTATCATTAAAACCGAGCAGAGTCAAGAATAATTAATTGCGCGAAGTCATATAGTTTTGCGGCGACTTTACCGTCGCCCGAGCCAGGGACGGGAAAAGGAGTACGCTCCACGAACATGATATTACACGCTTATCAGTCACACAAGGTGGGTTGAATATGAATTTTTGAAAATTTATCAACATACTTTCCCTAATCATCCCATATCTGATTGCTTTCTTTGGTGAGGTGACTCAATGTTGGTAAAGCGTAAAAAATTGAGGGGGCAGACTACTAACAAAATACTTTAATTGAGATGGTGACCTTCATAATCTGATCAACAAGTTTATAATTTGCACAAACGCATTCTGTAGTTCAATGAGCCCACTTAACCGAGTAGCATCAACCAAAAACAAGATAGGTGAAGCGCAAGCGCACTCTTTGGTGCAATGAGTCAACTTGATGGAGCAGTTTACCATCAATTTTGTCTCGGTGAACAGATTTGTAGCTAGTAGCAACTAATTGAATATGATTGATTTCCCTAAAGACGTTGTGGATAATACAATGCCGTTGGTCATTCTATCAATTTTTTCATGTATACGGCACCAACTTTTAATTAACAAAACCAAGATGGTTATCCGCGCACAGTCATTTTTTCCGTGTTGTTGCATGGGATTTCTTGGAAATATAACTACACATTCATCTCCCCTACAAATTTATTGCCTATCCGAAAAATTTGAAGGCGAACTGCAAATAGACTCACACGTCACACATAGTCTACTATATTCTATCAAAGATGGTACGAGTTGGTTGTATGTTTCCTGGGTTCTCTGTTATCAGTTTGTTGCCTATTGAAAATGTTGGATGAACTTCAATAGATCTACTACACATGCTGATAGATTTTTTGTCAATAGGCTTGGGATATCGTTCATCGAGTTTCCGTGTAGGCTTGTTGCATATCCGGTGAAACTGAAGGCGAACTTCCAGTGGACGCTATTTATAGAAAAATTTATGCATCTGGGGAGGTTCCGAGGCGACAATAACGCAAGAAAATATTACGTGGGTTCGAAGGTAATGAACAAGAGGAAGACTTTTTGCAAACGATTTATTGATGGAGAAGAAAAATTTACATGCAAGGAAAACCTTAACGCAATAACATTGGGTGATAAATCGTCGCAAAAATCAACATTGAAATTCCTACACGATGGCATAAGGCGCTCAACATGTTTGAAACAGTCTGAAGTCAGATTGTGAGATTTGCTATACAGAATCGTGTTTATGAAAGTAGAATTAACTCAAGGATAGAGTTTCTTTTTACTTTTCTATTCTTTTTAATTCTCTATTTTAATTTACCGCATTCGCGATTGACTCCATGTAAAGAGAAGTAATTTATAACGTGATTGTAAAAAAGCCTGGGTCCTATTTCCAAAATCTGATTAAAGCGGGCTCATCTACGGACCATCACCTTTCAAATGTCGCAAAAATCATTGAAATCGGCCCAGTAGAACGCTCAAACGAACTGTGACACAAAATAAAAATTTACATTGTTTAAATGGGAGAAATCGCAACTTTACAACGTAACATAGGAAAACCTAAGTCATATTTTCAAAATCTGAAAAAAAAGGACTTATCTTGAGACAATTGCCTATCGATAGTGGCAAAAATCATGAAAATCGGCTTGGTAGAACTTTGGAACTTAGCGTTACCAGAGATTTTAGGAGGTTTCGGAGCTTATAGGATAGATATTAGTTGCCCTGTACACGCTCAAGTGTTTTTACGGATGAGCCAGGAATTGCAGTTTCTAATTGCTGCAAACCTCAAATCGGTATATTCTCTAGGTTTCCAAAAAAAGGGGCAACTTTGAGAGGGTATTTGCAATCCTTAGTAGCAGAACAAATTTTTGTTTTTCTAAAAAAAGTATTAAAAAAACATATCTGTTATCTAAATGATCGTTTAATATAAAAAACGTGTAACGCTTCATGTAAAAAAAAAAAATCAAAATTCAGACCTGACCATAATATATGAAAAATGATAAAAGCTAGATAAGGTACTTTTTTTTACATACAAATGTTTTATTTTTTTATATAACGCATGCATACGAAAGTGTTAAAAGTGAACATTTTTTGTAACTATTATATAAAAAAATAGGTCATCATTTTCGTGAGCTTTTAGCGAATTAGAAGAATTTTTAATATGTTTGCGAAAAGCTCACGAAAATTATGACATTTTTTATATAATGGTTACATAAAAATGTTCACTTTTAACACTTTTATATGCATGCATTATATAAAAAAAAATTAACTTTCGTACATAATATTTATCATTTCCTTCTCTGGTTCTGCTACTATAGGGATAGTGAAAGGAAAACGCAACGAAGTTACTACTCTAGTTACCTTGAGTAAACAATTTAGGTACAACTCGTCCTGAAGTTGCGACTGATATACGAATGAAAATCTAGGAGGTTTGCTGTTCCCTGATTGGGACAGGGATCGTAGCGATGGAATCCTGATGCTGAGCTTGAATTACATTCTGATCTATGCATTAAGCTCTAATGCATCCAGTACCTCTTGCTGCTCAACCTGTGTCCTCAGGAGTGATTCATGTTCAATCCGTAACCTCTCGATTTCCAAAGATTTTTCAATGATCAAAGACTGAAACAGGTAATAACGATAGGATGAAAAAATTATCACTAGGACGAATACACTGCCGTAATAGCGATGAAGAGAGCAGTAAGTGCATATCTGTATGAGCCACGGTTAACACATGCTTCTAAGTGTCATCAAGGTTCATCCACTTACTGCTCTTTTCGCTATCCTGGCAGTACAAAGGTTTACTTTATCGCCGATGAATTTACGGAAATGCGTAGATTGGTTGTGGTGCGTGTTTCAAAATCTCGGCTCCCTTGTAAAATTGGCAATAGGAGCTGTGCTTCAAAATACCATAGGAATTCTTATATAGCTGGCTGTAGAAGGCGATAGAAAATCATATAGCTGACTGTAGAAAGCGAAGGAAATCATACAATCGGACCATACGAAGCGATAAAAAAATATACAGTCGGGCTATAGCTCCTATCGCTGGACTATAGCTCCTATCGCCGGACTATAGCTCCTATCGCCGGACTATAGCTCCTATCGCCGGGCTATACAATTTATCGCCTGGCTGAAGCTTTATCGCCGTCGGCTATAATAGGCCATAAGAATTTGTATAGCCGGCTATAGAAGCTATGGGAAATCTTACAGCTGGCTGTAGGTGTATACTATTTTGAAACACTCATCCTACTGTCAATTTTTACCAGGGCTCCTATTTTTTTTTTTTTTTTTTTTTTTTTTTTTTTTTTTTTTTTTTTTTTTTTAAGAAAAAAAACGGCGACTAAACCAACATCGTGGCTTGAAATTTTCGCAGAGTATTCCTTACATAGAGAAGAAACATCGCACCGAAGTTTCCAAAAAAAAGACGTTTTAAATTTAGCAGTTTTTCCACGTTAAAAATGACGTGTACCAGGAAGTCTGCAACGCCGCAAACCGAAATACACAATTCTGAAATTTTACCATCTGCATGCACCTGGGAACGTCTGTAAAGTCAAAGCATCTGAAAATGTAGGTTTTAAAGACTTCCATTCACTATTCATGTCCTGAATCTGGAACTTAAAGGAGAAGTACATAACGACGCGGTTTAATTCGGTAATCACGTATCTCGTTTGCGGTGTCTGAAAGTCTCCGCCAGTATGTTATTTTTTTTTAAAGGAGAACAAATTGGCATCATTCCTTGAAAATTCTGCAGATTTTTCTTCGCACAGAGAAGAAAAATCACGGCAGTTTTAAAGAATTGCCGTTGAGTAGTTTTCCGTTTAAAAAAAAAGTATGACAGGAAGTCTGCGACGTTGCAAACCGAGTTATGTGATTGCCGACTTACACAGTCGATAAGTAAAAGTTTCCTCAAAAATAAATAGATGATGGACACATTTGATAAAATTTAAATGTTCTTACGGAGTTCTTCCCTAGCGTGACGGTGGTATAACGGTCTGATGATTGGACTACATGTTGCCATTAGGAACTACAATATTTCGCTAATTCAAAAACACTTATGTGCATAGGATTACTAATGATGCATATCGACGGTGAAACTACCAAACCACGTATCTCGTTTGCGGTGTTTAAAAATCTACGCTCACATTTTATTTTTTTGAAGTAGACCAAATCAATATCATTCCTTGAAATTTTCACGGAATTTTCTCCGCACAAAGAGGAAAAATCACAGAAATTTTCAAGACTGGATGTTAAGTAGTTTTTCATTTAAAAAATAAAGTATGACAGGAAGTCTGCGACGCCGCAAACCGAGATACGTGGTTTGGTAGTTTCACCGTCGATATGTTGCTTCTAAACTAAGCAACGGTGTGTAGCTCCTAATTGCAAAGGGTAGTCCAACTACTGAATAGGTATGCACATTGATTCAGCGCAGAAGTGCCATGGAAAAAATAATTATATAGGGCTATATACCTGCAACTCCGATTGAAGGGTTTCCCTCTGCTTTGAGAGAGACTGGATGTAATTCCGAGATCCAATCGCTTTCAGTTTTTCCCTCTCCACGTCCTCACCTAATTTCTCAGCGGCACCGATCAGATCGTCCACCGTTTTTTGAAAACTTGTCACGGCTTCAACAAAATGTTAGAATATTAATTGAGAGGCTAATTTTGATTTTTTTTTTCTTTCAATAACGTATTTATTGACATCTACACAGTCAGGGGTCTCAATGTCGAAAAAGTAAAAATGGAATATCAGTAGGGTATGAGCATGATATTTAGTAGAGATTGTGGTATCCGTCAAGTTGTTAGTATGTATTGCTAGGGAGATTTGCCCTAGTAGGTCGTGAAGCCTGGTTGGGCACTTGTTAGCTTATCAATAAAATGTGATCTTCTTCTTAGACCAGTGTCTCCCTTTTTCACCTTTCCCCTCAAAGGCATCTTCTGCGATATTATAGAGATCTCCAGAAAAATTTCCTCAAACATTTTAGCTTGATAAACTATCAAACATTTCATACCAGTCTGGAGCTATGACGGCTTGAATTCAGCGGCGTGGCGTGTTTCGCACATTTTGCTGACTTCAGTCAAAAATCATCACCTTAACTAACTAAGCGTTTCAACATTGCGTGGTGCATCAAAATTTCAGCCCTCAGATTAATCTTTTTGAGGAGCCAAGCTATGTGTATTATTTTTAAAAATACTCGCAATTTTGTATGTGCTATTTTTGAAAACTAATCAACTACACAAAGCAACCATTTGTTGCTTTTTTAAGCGTTCCCTTCTGTCTAATTGTTGGGGGGGGGGAGAGAGGTTATTGAATTGGTATCAAATATTTCAATTAGACGTATTTAAATTAAACAGAACTATATCGATTCTGACACGAGCCCTATCATAAATGTATTCTAATGGATCTCAGGGCTCATCTCAGAGTGGTCATCTTCCTTTGTCTGTGAAAATACGTCCAATTTGTCAGAGCACAGCGAGCATTATTTTTTTTTTTTTTTAATTCAATTTCCTTTTTTATCAGGACCTTTGATTATGAAATGCTGCTCTTTGGAAAGAAAATTGAACTCAAAATTAAGACAAAGTAAAAAAAAACTTCAGCGAAAGAGTTTCATTACATTCGCGAGAGAGATGGAAATCAATAGCTAATAGTTGCGTTTAATGAGATTTTGAGGAAAGAAAAGCGATCACATTCAGAGAGTAGAAAATACACAATAGTAGAAAAAGAACACATTTTCACCATCAAGAAATTGTCCCGCTTCATTCTTCAGTTGCAGGGTTTTATCGAAAATCTGAGGATCCAGAATATGAATTTTGTTAAGCTCGTCAAACACAATGCCCTCCATCCTCCTTCAGTTCAACAGCCGTAGCCTCCTAGAAGCAGTTTAAAAAAAAAAAAAAAAAAAAAAAAAAAAAAAAAGTATTGGAGATAAAATTTAAAACCTGACGAAACGATAACGATTTTTAAGGACATCTTCCGTACCAGAATTTCAACTTAAAAACTTTTAGCTTAAAAAAAGTTGAGTGAATGTCAATTAAATGAGGATTTTCAGATAGGAAAACTCAAATTTGTCATTGCTACGTAGGTAGCCATCAACCCGTGCTTCGCAAGGAACACAATCGCATGCGCTAATACTGCCGTGCTGAGGAAGAACGCCATGAGAACATTCGAGAGTTGCCAAATTTCCCTCAATAAAATGTTTATTTTTAAGGAGAGTTATGAATATTTTCCCTTAAAATTTTCAGACACTTCAGATCAAATTACAAGCAAAATTATCTGAGAAATTGGCAGAAATATATTCAAAAAAAATTCTGAAAATTAGTGATTTGCCAGAGGAAATTTAACAAAGCTTGAAGGCTCATGAGGCATTTTTCCTTAGCACGGCAGAATCTTGGCGAGCTTTAATCCAATATAGCGATACAGTTAACCTACTTGGGGGTTGATAAAATTGCACCATGCATTCAAGTCTATCACTTTCACGTCATGAGCCTGGACGAATTGATTTACCTAAGAGCAAGAAATATACGATTCATCGTAGAAGTCAAAATCTAAAAATTGTTAGCACCTAGCTTTGGAGACTTAAACGCAAGGCAAGAAAAGTTAGACAAGTAATTTTTGTCGTAAGGGGCATTCATAAAATATATACCGCTATACAATTTCGATTTATCGACCCCCTTCATCTCCTCCTTGACGCTTTTTCGACTTAAGACCCAACCCTGTTACATGTAAAAACGAAATGGCGTAACCTCTTTTTGACTTTCTCTAGAAATTTTCTCAGTATTCTTCAAACTGAAAAGAAACTTAACGAGCATTATCAAACATTTCTGTTCATTAATTTTACATGCCTAAAGCAAAGTATGACAGAAAATCTTCAACCTTGAAACTTTGAGACTGATAACGTTAGAAAAGCAAATGGACCACTAGACAAGTTACGAATTTCAGCATTCTGATACATGCTAATCAACCAAAATTTCACGTAAAACACGATACGCACAACGAAAATTACATAAATTAACTCCTTACGAAGCTATTTAGTGATTCTTGATGCGTGAATTCAAACCACCCGCTCATGAAAACTCAATGCTCTACGTGATTCACATCGAGCGCTAAACGTTATCATGGCAGTCTCTGCTATATAAAAATCTGGCAACCTCAATCTTGACACTCTGGCTCACCTATAGCAAATTGCTCGTAATTTAAACAACACGTGGTGGGAAATGTATATTGCTTGACTGAGAGGCTTGCTGAAACCGTTGTAGTGCTCGATTTGACTCACGTAGAGCTTTGAGTTTCTTGTGAGCGGGCAGTTCAAATTTCTCGTAACCAATGTGAAATAAAAACGTTAATATCCTCTTTAGGAGTTGGTTTCAGTAATTTTCGTTGCACGAATCGTGTTCTACGTGAAATTCTTGTTAAGAAACATGTATCAGATTGTTTAAATTCGTACCTTGTCTAGTGGTCCATTATGGAGTCATTGATTTGGGGAGAGGGAGGGGGGGGAGGGTGAGAAAAAACTGAAGAACACAAATTTACCGAAAAATATTTGTACTCCTGAGGCTTAAATGTAGCGAGACAGAACACGCAGGATTCGGAGACTTAATTGACTAAGTCTCAACGAAACTATCAGGATGGGTAACGTCTTACGGTCTCTGAGAGCGCTAAAAACTGCTCCTAGTGCTCCTGGTTCAATTCGCCAGGGCAACCCTGTGAACGGTCCTCCTCCGCGGCGACTTCCCCTGCTTTCTGGTTAGTTTCGCATTCACCTGCGGTGCAGAATTCATCAGAAAATCAAAATTTTAAATTTTATGCAAGAATACTCCACGATAAGATAAAAAATATGCATTAAAAGAACAACCGTAAAAAAGTAAAAAGTGATGCAGGAGACATCATGGATTGAGTAAACCGGGATTAGTCTAAGGAAATCAAAATCCAGGATCAAACGCTGTTTGCAGTACAGAAAACTTTCTAATTGATTAAGCCAAGCCGCAGCTACGGTAGTTTGAAAATTTGCACATTGAAAAACGCAATTTTGAGCCAAAAAGGGTCCAGACTTTCAATTTTCTATGTCCTTCTTGGAAATGTTAAAACTATCTAGTGCGACATACAAAAAGAAAAAAATTGTCCACGGCAAATTTTCAGAGGGTACAAATTTCCGCCCTCTGTTGACACAAAAATGAAACCAACGTATTCTTAAGAACACCAGAGGTTCCCGTTCAACATCAAAAGCTGATATTTTCGATCTATCTCGAGGTGTATCGCTCTGCCAAAAATGTTAACTTCGTGGCCTCTTCCCTCTTGCACGTCAAAAATAGGTACTCAGATTTGTACATCGGGCATGATCGGAACAAGGGGAACGGGCCCTTCACCCAACAATGTCCCTAGACCCCCCCTCCTTATGAAATGCCCTTTCCCCCCCCCCCCCCCAAAGTTCCTCATTCCGCCTATGAACTTGAACACTCACCAGGAACCGCTTCTTCATTCGCCTCCGTGCTTTTTTTGAGGATATTTCGCACGAATCTGGGCAAAAGGTTGAGGTCAACCTCTCGCATCACCGGACGAATCGGACTCTCCGAACACCGGTCATCGCTCCTGAGCCGTCCGCCCTCTGACCCGGAGGTCAACCGGCTTGCGAGACGCTCAGTTTCCGGGCTACCACCCCTGGAGGTGAAACTGGCGCAGTCGTTACCGGTGCGATCGTAACTGGAGCAGCCGTTACCGGTTCGATCGTTACCGGTGCGATCGTAACTGGCGCAGTCGTAAGCATCTGAAGTTTCGGCCTCCTTACGACTTGGAACGTAGGAGAATCTCTTGAAATTCTGACGGTAAACTCGGGGGTCTCCGGTTGTTAGACACCCGTTTCCAAAGGCTCCCGGGTCGACGCATTTGGTTCTAGCTGTCTGGTGACATTCGAGGTTTCTAGCCCCCGCGTAGCCGCCTCTAAAAGACTGCTGAGCGCAACGAAGGTTCTCCGCACGGTCCGTCTCAATTCTTTGCTCCCTGAGCGGGTACTCGTAACCGCTTTGCCAGTTCTGCAGGGGCATGTGGGATGTAAAAATTAAATTTTGAAATTCCATGAAGGCCGAGAAATTTTTCTGAAACGCCCTACTCTACTGACATAATTACGGCTTATTTTTCAATATTTGAGGCAATTTCTCTCTTTACTGTGCACTGTCAATTAACTGAGGCGTACTTAAAATATATTATTCGGTATCTGTTCCAATTTTGAAGTGTTCAGATTAAAGTTCTGAGAGTTTGCTTAAGCCGGATATCCATGGCTACAGTGCGAGACCATGTTTCTCAGTTTGCGACGTTGCAGACTTCCGGTCATACTTTATTTTTTCTTTAGGAAACTAGTCAACGTAACTTTTTGAAAACCTCCTAGATTCCCTTAATCTGTTCGTAGATTAAATCTGTATATATTTCAAGCCATAAACTTGACTTGTTCTTCTTCGAAAAAATAAAGTAGGAGCAGAGGTTTTGAAACGTCGCAATGTAGATACATGGTGTCGCACTTTAGCTATCGATATGCAACCCGTAGCACCCGATACCTACGTACATGGACGAATGGATTAGTTCATTTTCATTTCCTAAGGAAAAGTCGCAAAAGGTTTTAGGATATAATGTTCTTTATTATTTAAAAAAAAGGGCCCTGGTAAAAATTGGCTATAGGAGTTGCGTTTCAAAATACCATAGGAGTTCTTATAGCCAACTGAAGAAGGCGACAGAGAATCATATAGCTGGCTGTAGAAAGTGGAAAAACTCATACGGCCGGGCTACACGAAGCGATAAAAAATTATACAGCCGGGCTATAGTTCCTATCGCCGGACTTTACACTTTATCGCCTGGCTGTTGCTTTTTCGCCATTGGCTATAAAAGGCTATAAGAAATTGTGTAGAAATTCGTGTGCTTTGTAAATCCTTAAGTTTGTACGGAATCACCATAATATTTACAAAACGCACATTATATTTTCCTTTACTACATATTTTTTGTCATCAATTAAAATGAGAATAATCCATACTGAGTGTGAAAACATATCAAAGTCATGAGTTGAAAAACGCTGACTCCACGAGATTAAATATTAAAGCCTAACACAAAGCGGAGCGGCGGCGCACTGGCGCCTACAAACCTAACAGGGATACCTCACGCATTGCGCAATGCGTGAAGTATCCCTTTTAGGTTTGTAGGCGCCAATGCGCGTTTCGCGCTGACTGCCCGCCCGCCGCGCCGCGCCGCAGCGTACCACGGCGCTTGAAGCAACTATTTCACACCAGAGGTATTGCGCAGTATCATACGAAATTCAAGGCGCTCCAACATATTAGGAATGGCAGGCATCCTTCAAAAGTGCGGAGCTTTCCTCGCAAAATAAATCAAGGTACTACGGCCCAAAAAGAGAGCGGTAGTCCCAAAACTCACTAAGTCCTAGCATCCGTAAGTAGTAACGTTTAGCTTACACTTTATCGCCATCGGCTGTAAAAGGCTATAAGAAATTGTGTTGCCGGCTATAGAAGCTATTGGAAAATTTTACAGCCGGCTGTAGGTCTATGGTATTTTGGAACACAGATTTTACTGCCAATTTTTACCAGGGTACTGCTGGATTATTGCTGATCGGAATTTCCAGAAGTCGCAGAAGTTTGATCGATTTTCATTTATAAGGGGGGGGGGGGGGGGGGGGACACGGGATGAAATGAAGCACCTTGAATTTCAGTTGGGCTGATTCTTATAAAATCTATCTAGGTAACAGAGAAAAAATGAAATTTTGTCAATCTAAAGTGAGGAATTATTTCGTTCGAATTTAATTTTTGTCTTTAAAGAGCCAGATTAATCTATGAATAGACTCTAGATGGTTAATAAAGATGATTTTAAATCTGATGTCTGGCAAAGTAACCATACGTGTAGGTAGGGTGGATATTGCAATCTAATCCTTTCAACACAGAAAGACTGCGCCGCTGTCTGATAAATCCCAAAGTTTCAGCGTTTTTTGGATATGAGCCCTGAGTGATGCCGAATGTAAACGGACACGGTGGCGACGAAGTTCTAGACGTGTTAGGAAATCGTTGGTTTCTAACTTCTGACCTAAACTCGCGATAAACTCTGATAGATATTTTAAACAACAATTGCACTTCTACTGTCGGTATATCATTCATTTCTGCCTGAAAAGGGCGAATTCTTCAAGCTGAGGTTTGTTGACATTGGACTTGGAGAACTCCGTGAAAACTGTGAAACTGACGAACAAGCAAGAGAGTGGTTTAGTAATAGCAAAACTCCTCCCGTACAGATACTCTATAGTCTGTTCGAGATGGGAAGAACCGTGTAAAGTCGGAATTAATTGCACTATGTAGAAGCAAGGGTAGCGTTCGAGCCATTGTCCGCGATGAAGCACCAAACTAACCCTGGACCGTGGCGCACCGCACAGAGGGCTGGCTCCTCATGAGTCGCTTGCCGCTCGGCGCCTAGCACAGGAATTAGCGGCTCCAGGTTCGTATCCCGGGGAAAACCGCCGCTCCGAGGCCCATAGCCTCCTATGCGGTGGCTGCAGCGTGCGCGAAACATCGAAAAGTGACAGTTGACGAGGGTCGAGACACCCTCCACGGTTCTTCCCATCTCGAACAGACTATAGTGCCTAAAAAATTATGAATTTCGAAAATTCCTCGAGAGGAGGGGTATTGATAATAAGGGCCGTTTCTGGGCCCACCCTGAATTTCCTCAATTCTACGATTTTTGCTCTTTAAACGTCAACTTTTTATTGAATTCATCATGATTTGGCCATCATCGGTCTCTTTTTGGGTCTAATACTGGCCTAAACAAAGGACTAGTGGCCGCGGTTTTGGCGGAAAGTGCGGGTCCTGCGGCTTGCGGTCGAATGTCGAAAAATCTGCATTTTTCGCCAAAATCGGCCCTCAGACCCATGTGTAGGCCAGTGCTATACCTGAAAAGAGAGTACCTACTAGAAAAGTGAGTAGTACTAGACTCGAAGTACCCGAATACCACAAATGACCCAATTATGATGCATTCCACAAAATACATATCGACGATGTAAGCCCGCAACCACGTATCTCGTTTGCGGTTTTTATTTTTTTTGAAGGATAACAAATCGACATCCTTCCCGAAGTTTTCACAGAATTTTATTCGCACGAGGAAAAAAAAGTCACGGCGGTTTTTTAAAAAATTGAGTACTCGTAGTTTTCCATTTAAAAAATAGAGTTTGACAGGAAGTTTGCAACGTTGCACACCGAGCTACGTGGTTGCGGACTCTACACTGTCGATATATGTAGGTAGGCCTCCATTGAGCAAAAAATCGCAGAGTTTAAATAATTGAGGGTGGGCTCATAAACGACCCTATTCAATATCCCTCCCTCTCACAATGGACCACTAGACAAGGTACGATTTCCAGCATTCTGATACATGCTTCGTAACAAAAATTTCACGCAGAACACGATAAGCACAACGAAAGTTACCGAAATCAACTCCCTACGAAGATATTTAATGATTCTTGATGCGTGAATTCAAACCACCCGCTCATGAAAGCTCAATGCTCTACGTGATTCACATCGCGCACTAAACGTCTATCATCACAGTCTCTGCGATATAAAAAGCTGGCAACCTCAATCTTGACGCTTTGGCTCAGCTACAGCAAATTGCTCATAGTTTGGACTACACATGGTGGGAAATGTACATTGCTCGATTGAGAAGATTGCTGAAACCGTTGTAGTGTGCGCAATTTGACTCACGTAGAGCTTTGAGTTTCTTGTGAGCGGGCAGTTCAAATTCCTCGTAACCAATGTGAAATAAAAACGTTAATACCTTCGTTAGGAGTTGGGTTCAGTCATTTTCGTTGCGCGAATCGTGTTTTGCGTGAAATTTTAGACAAGAAACATGTATCAGCTTGCTTTAATTCGTACCTTGTCTAGTAGTCCATTCATGGAATATAGTAGGTAGGAATGAATTTGATTAAATTTTACGTTTCTATACTGAGGAAGAAACTCGTATCCTCGGCGTTCTTCTTTGAACGCGTGCTCACTGCTCGGAGGTCGAAGAGGTTGAGTTCTCACGAATTCTGATTTAGGTGGTTGCTGACTTCTCGCGCCCTGAAACCATCTTGTTCCCGCGTTTTCTACTCCATTCCTCGACCAGTTTGTGAGAAATTGGATGTGCGGATCCTCTACTGGTCCGGGGATTTCCGATGCACCATTTACGTGGAGATCACTCTCCTCATTGAGGTTGGAGGTATTTCGTTGGTCCTGGTGCATTAAAAACACACGGTATAAGAGCAATCAGAAGCAGGGATCGGCCAGAGAGTTCGGTGCATCCTCCCCTCTCCCCTATTTCAAATTTGAACCTCTCTATGGAGGAGGTCAGTTTTTGAGATTTATGGGAAAGTTGGGAAGGGATCCTCCCAACGCCAGATTTTAAGGCCCGGATACACCTGCCAGTTGCAATTGCTTGTTGAAAGTGGGACACCAATACTGCCGTGCTAAGGAACTAGAGACCTGTGGGAAAGATGGGGTGTGCTTATAAAAGCTGCAGAAGAAACAATGCAAAAGTGGGCGTGACTCCTTTTGGAAAAATGGAAAAGTGGGGATTGACCTTGAATCAAAAGGAACTCCGCGCCAAAATATGCTAAATTATGAGCCGCGAGTATGTGGTAAGAGTGTCGTGGACAGGGCTCATGAGAAAGAGCGTCAACGTTGACCTCCTCGTCGCCGTCGTCGCCGCTGACGTCACAGTCGCTTTATAATTCCCATTCATTTTTACGGCCGTCAACTATAACGAGCACACTCCTTCTTTCCCACCCGTCTCTGGTTCCTTTTAGCATAAATACATCAACATGACCAAACAGGTTGTCTATAGTGCGGTCATGTTGACAGGATGATGGAAGAGAGGCTGCCAAAGGAGATGCTTGATTTGGTTCCTCCTGGGAGGAGATGAAGGGAACGCCCAGTGATAGGATGGCGACAGGGGGGTCTAAATGAAATAGTGCCAACTCCTTGACGGGTTGTGGGAGGGCCGGGTGCGGTGGCGGTTAGACGTCGCAGAGCACCAGAGAGCGCCTAGATAGTGACTCTTATGTATGTATTACTGATATTGGAGTCTCTGAAAGTTTCAATTAAACATATTCACAACTTTCCGGCGATTCAAAAATTTTATCGAGGGAAATTTTGCAGCGCTCGAATCCTCTAACGAAGTTATTCCTTATCGTGGCAGCGTTGTGCATGTATTGCGATGCGCAAAAAGGAACCAACTTTCTAGCAGATACTACAGGACCAACGTATTTGCCCTGAGCTCCCTACACATATAGGTATTTTTCCACTAGCGGTCAAAAAGTCGGTTCTTTTTAACGCAATGCAGAATGCTGTTCAGTATTATAATCTGAGTTATGAAACTATTTATGTATTTTACCGATTCAGACACTCTTTGTTGAGATGGATGCTCTTCAGGGGCGGGTAGTGAGAAAGAAATTCTGCGTTTCACTTTTTTCGCATCTTTCAAGTCATCACACGCTGGGCACTTCTTGAAGCAATTTGTAAAAACAAACTAAAGAAACAGCAAGAATGGAAAAAAGGGGAAAAGTTACAAGAAGACTCAAATTTTTTATACATGCTCGCTGCATCGTCAATTTTTGACGTAGGTACTAAATTCTAATTTTATCCTCGAGAGTAAGAAAAGAAGGAGCAACCGAATGTGAACGCATAAGTGAAATTTTAAAATGTTCAAATGAAGTAAGCGTTTCTTCGCTATGACTCATCGTTTTCGAGATAATGGGGACTGAATGGGGCGCGGGTGGGCGCGAAGGAGATGGGGGGGGGGTGGCCCCCAAGGAAAGCGTTTTTGGAAAAAAAAAATTATACCATAAAAACGTCTTTTTTTAACTCAAAGAATAGACTCCTTCAATATTCGTACTTAATCCTGGGGCACTCTGTATAATAAATATAAGACTATTTTCTGTCTTGTGGTCATTTAAACTAAAACATTATTTTTTATGAAGGTCCTCCCGCATTTATGTATAACGCTGAAAACATTTTAGGTTTGTCGCATTTGATTCAAGTTAAGAAATAATAAAAAGACCAATAGGAACTTACTCGACCGAAGGAAAAAATCTTGTAAAATAAAACATCATATAAAAACAATGCAGCGAGACAACCGAAATAAACATAATTGAACAAGATAAAAATCTTCATCACCGGTTGAGTGGAATTGTTCGACAATTTCTTGCAGGCTTGTTTACCGATAAAGCCATCATGGTAATTAAATAAACAGGGAGGTAGAGGTCCTCTTGCCATGATACACTGATTCTAGACATTTTTATTTACAGCATGGCCCGAATCTTGATAGCGCAGAGAGAGCACAGCATGAACAAACGCTTGCATCGAAGTGAGTACACAATTTATAAACAAAGAAAAGATCTCAACTAAAAATTTAGAAACTACGAAGACTAACCTTAAATTTTAACGTTTCCGAACAGTGTTGATCACTTACAAACAGGACGCACCGCGCACACCACACTGTTACAGTAGTATGGCACGTCACATTGCTTTATTATGAGGGCAGCTGTTTTTGTTTATACTCGAGGACACAAGTTGCCATGGCAACGCACTGCATCGCGCGGTAACAAACCCCATGATGCTAGAGTTCACAATATAATCTAATTAATTTACACTTTCGAAATATATCTCGGAGAATATGGCGACGTTTTACATTTTACTCATGAATGATTTCTCTCAGTCTCTGAATGCATCTGGATTATTTCGCTCTTGACGGCATCTCTCAGCGCCAGAGGCGGATCCAGCAATTTGGCAACACCGGATTGTCTCCATTTAAAGCTATGCTAAAAGATCGATTCTTGTCGGAACACCTGGCCTATCCAATAATCGATACATTTCCATAGGTTTAAATGGAGCAAATACATTGTTGCCAATTAGCTGGATCCGCCAATGCTCAGCGCTGATAGATCTGAAATGAAGGTCAATATTTATGTGTTATCAATATGGCTGGGCGTGCAAAAGAAGTGTATTTAGTACCGAAGAGTTATAAAGGTTAAGCAAGTAGTTAGTTCGCCTTCAATTATCTAAGTATGTTGTACGCGTTGCAAGAGTCATCATTTCAAGAGCCCCTGTTCTGCGAACCTGCTCTGGCAATAAACTATATGAATTCCATCTACCAATTTTGACGAATCTTTGAACAGGGGTATCAAAAGAATCATTAGTGATTTTGAAGATATGAATACAGTGATTTCAAAAGCAGGCCCACGTCTCTCTTGTCAATGTTAATTAAGGATTTTTAATATGTGAAATATATATTCACTCCTGAGAAAAATTCACATTTAAAAACCTACAGTCAATGAAAGTCAATCTGGTCCCAGCAGGAAGTCTTAAAACTGAAAAGGCTTGTAAGAAATATCGAGTAAAAAATCGATGGAATTTCATTTCTCCGATGTATTTTGAGTGTGAGTTTTAATTCCAGCTCCTGAAAATGTTCAAGATTTTCTTCTGAACACTTTAAAATTGTACGAAATTTCTGGCAAATGTGTGTTATGTATTAGTTACATGGCAGATCAATGCTTACAAAAAAGAAAATTGCTTTGAAAATTGAAAAATGAACAAATGCGTCCGTGAAGCCAAAGAGGGAGTACATTTCGAAGTTTGTGAGATAATGAAAGGTCGAGTGTTTTAAAACGTGATATCGATGGCTAAAGAATGAAACCACGTATCTCCTTTGCGGTGTCTCAAAATTTCCTCTCCTGGATTATTTTTTCGAAGAGGAGCAAGTCAATTTAATAGCTTAAAATTTTTACAGAATCTTCTGCTAGCAGAGAAAGAAGATCAACAAAGTTTTCAAGTAATTATTTCGACTAGTTTACCCCTCCACCCCCTCCTAAAAACAAGAAGTATGTCAAGAAGTCTGCAACGTCGCAAGCGAATATACGCGATTTTACTTCTCGAGCCAGCGGCGTGGCGTGAGTTGCGATAAATCGATCGTTATGCCATTTAAATCTATGGGAAAGGATCGATAAACAGGGTGTTCGCAGCGAACACCTTAATAATCGATTCTTTATCATAGGTTTAAATGGCATAACAATCTATATATCGCAATTCACGCCACGCCACTGCGACTTGTGGTTGTGCACCATGGACGCGGAAAATACGGTCGTTAGTTGTCACGCGTCCAGCGGTCAATACTGCAGAGCGCGAGGAAAGTTAAAACGCCTTCAATTAAGTGCGCATGCAACACGCACATCCATCAAGTACGAACAGTTGTATGCAGCGCCTTGGTTGACGTCGCATCCTCGCAGTGCGGTCATTGCACGTCGTCTACAGCGGTGCTGTGCCGCACAGAGGATGGAGTCAATGGGCAAGGTCGGACAAAATTTGGAAACTTTAAACGCTTATGACTCCGTTAACACAAAACTTTGAGGTTCTAAAAATGGCGCCATTGGTTTCCTCGTGGAATTTTCTGCAGGAGCCACCCCTTGTTTAAAATTTGAGGAAATAAACATCAATATTTACAGCTTTATTAAACAATTTTACGTCCGACCTCTCTAATTGACTCGATCCACCGTGTGCCGAGTATGTAGGGTCGGTACATAGAGCTTTAGCATATAGAGACAAAAAAAAGGAGGTGTTAGCATTTCGGGCATCTTGGATTTTTTTGATGACGTAGATCGGTACGGTCGAATTTATCGGAAATTGTGTAGTTTATGGAAAAAAGTAATTTTATGTAAAGTGTTTGAGCTTATATCATGAGTTGATTGAAGCAAAGAAATCGGACCTCACGGTCCGTTTTTCATTTTTTAAAATTCGGATTTACTTGAACATCGATGCGATGTTGCACCGACCTAAGCCACGGGGTAAACAATCCTCAAGATGCAAACATCTCCTTTTCTCTCTCTATGGAGATATAGTGTAGGTCAGCAAATACATCGTATAAAAGGATCGTGCATCAAATTGAAAAAAGGAGGAAAATCGAGTGTCAGGGTGTTTTGACAACTACCCCTAGATATTCTAAGCCGGGTACAATTGACCCAACTACTTATCTGGGGGAGTTATGCGGCCGGTACGTGGTATACATATGAGCCTTAGATACAAGTCTACTTACATCCTGAAAAAACAGTTAGACATCAAATGGAAAAAAAAGAAAAACTCTCCAATCGAAGATAGGAAAAAACGTACTTTAGGGACTCGTTTTTTACTTTTTCTCCCAAATGAGCGACATCTTACCAGCAGCGTGGAGTGGAGCATTGCGAGTTCATACCCCGCGCCTTTTCCCATGTGTTTTTTTTGTTGTTTTGTTTTTTTACTATCATTTCATCGTCTTGTATAATATTTGTTAAAATCCTGTACTTGCACCCTGAGGGTGGCGTTTAGCCGAAAAGCGCATCGATCATGCCTATATGCCGACGCATTCATTGTTTTCAATAGGTCATAAAAATATATTCCTTGCATCAAGACCTATAAAAAAATAAAATTAGAATAGATTAGGTTTATTAAAATAGATGCTCCACCTTGCATCAGGAATCCACTCGTTGGAAGAAAAGGTTTTTTTTTTTTTTTTTTTTTTTTTTTTTTTTTTTTTTTTTTTTTGTCGTCAATTTTTAGGGGGAGTTTTTTAGGATTGGGCCGGGGTGGCTACCGCCACCTAGAATTCACTTATTCAGCTGAAAGAGCGTCGCCTGATCGAGTCGAAGAGCAGAACGGTAACAAGATTAAAAGATCCTGAGAATCGCCATGCTTAAACTTATTTGCCTCTCTGATTTTGCTTACGACACTCCAAATTATTTTTCTGAGCGCTTTGGATGTATTTATCAGTCAAAAACAACAATTCACGGTGAAAAATTGAATAAGAGTTATTATCCCTTAAGTTTAAGGGGGGGGGGGCAATGGAGCTGTTGCACGAGGGAGGAATTTGCGATTTGACTACTGGTTCTTATGTAAAAGTTAGCGAGAAATACGATAGTGCCACTGGTTTCTCCTGAAATCAACTCCCAAGTTCGAAAAATGCTCTCAAAGTTGAAGCTGTAATGGAGAGGATATCCCACGCAATCCTGAGAGTCCACCTCTATTTTAAGACAAACTCTCCATGCAAAGATAGGGAGCAAATACATTGACAGGGCTGCCACTTTATTTGGGGACTCCAAAACTGAAAACTCGGCATCACTGCTAATGTATTTGCTCCCTATCTTTGCATGGAGAGTTCGCCTTGATGTAGACGTGCACTCTCAGGATAGCGTGGGATATCCCCTCCATTTTCGCCTTAACTTGAGAGCTTTTTTTTTGAGCTTGGGAGTTGATTCCAGAGAAAATCGGTGGCACCATCGTGTTTTACACGAACTTTTACGTAAGAATCAATGGTCAAATCGCAAATTCTTCACACACGCAACATCTCCATTGCCAATGAGCCCATGATACTACATTCTTGGCAACAGGGCAACATTCAAATGCAGCGTGAACTACCAGCCAATCAGAGCCCGTCTTGGATTTTGGATTCAGCACGATTGGTCAATGATCAAGGGGTGCCACACACGGGAGGGATGAGGCGCCCAAAAGTGAGGCTCTGCTGCGCGCGCACGTCGCATGTTTGGATTGTAATTTCGCGGCAGATTCGAACCTAAGGGGCGAGTTCCATAATACATTCTTCTCAAATGCACAGTATTAAAGTAAAAAAAGTCCAGAGTTTTAATCACGATTACTTTAATTAAATTTAACCTCTCGTAAATCCATACGTAAAAAGGGTTTCCTTCTCCGTAAATTTTAACAGTTTTATAGTGAGTTTAGTGATTAAAATTTACAATTTTTAGGAGATTTTTTAAAGTTCTTACTACAAGGGAATGTCTTGGCGAAGATTCTTTACTTTAACTCGCTTGCTCTTGACTTTCACATGGATGAAGCTAGCAGAACTTTTCGTGGAAGGGAGGGGGAGGATACGCTCCCAGGTCGCTCCCTCAAAAAAAGAAGAAAAACCGCAACAATGATGCTGTGGGATGTTTCTTTTGTGGGGGGGGGGGGGCTCTCGAGAAGGACTGGGCAGTGGGCTCCTCTGATGCCAGCTTTGCTCTCTCTCTCTGATATTTTGGTACCCTGCTACGAAATTTCTTTTCCATTTTACTGTTAGCCTTTCATCCTTACTGCTACACGAATTGTTAATTTGAGAGAATAAGATTGAAGGAAATTCATTTGTGAGCTGTCTGGAAAAGAGAATTGGACGTATTTATGCTACAAGGAAATATGTGCAAATGAGTGAAAGCAAAAAGATTAGTGTAGCTTGTGAGCCCTATGCACATAGATCCTCTTGATTCGATTTATTTTCGCATAATTCTTCTCAGCATAAATACGTTCAATTTTACTTTAGCACTTTCTCGTCTCTTTTCTAAATCCTTAAGCTTCAAAAATCTCAAACAATATTTCCTCGATAAAAGCAATAGGTACCTGCACCCGCTATAATTATGATTATAGGCATAAGTCTATTGCTATAGCGTACCTACATTTAGAAACACATAGGTACCTACCTCAATTACTAAGTTTAATAAATGTATGTGTCTCCTGAGTATCTTTGCAGAAAAACGTCTGAAATTTTTACAGGATATTCTTTCTGTCTTGAAGAGAAATCAACGGAAATTAAAAGAGAAAACTGGGATCATTTCTCCTTAGAAAAAATAAACATGTTGGAAAATGACTAACGTCTTGAATCCAAAATGCATGTTTTTGGACTTAGGCCATCAGTGTGCTCAAGAAGCAGTATTCTGATTAAGTGATGATTAAAGTATTAATGGCAATATTTGTTGAATTCGTAATTTGTATGAATTATTACATTTTGAATTTTGCTTTTCTTTTGAATTTCTTTTGAAAAATCTTTTTGCTTTCACTCATTTGCACATATTTCCTTGTAGCATAAATACGTCCAATTCTCTTTTCCAGACAGCTCACAAATGAATTTCCTTCAATCTTATTCTCTCAAATTAACAATTCGTGTAGCAGTAAGGATGAAAGGCTAACAGTAAAATGGAAAAGAAATTTCGTAGCAGGGTACCAAAATATCAGAGAGAGAGAGCAAAGCTGGCATCAGAGGAGCCCACTGCCCAGTCCTTCTCGAGAGGCTCCCCCCCCCCCCCAAAAGAAACATCCCACAGCATCATTGTTGCGGTTTTTCTTCTTTTTTTGAGGGAGCGACCTGGGAGCGTATCCTCCCCCTCCCTTCCACGAAAAGTTCTGCTAGCTTCATCCATGTGAAAGTCAAGAGCAAGCGAGTTAAAGTAAAGAATCTTCGCCAAGACATTCCCTTGTAGTAAGAACTTTAAAAAATCTCCTAAAAATTGTAAATTTTAATCACTAAACTCACTATAAAACTGTTAAAATTTACGGAGAAGGAAACCCTTTTTACGTATGGATTTACGAGAGGTTAAATTTAATTAAAGTAATCGTGATTAAAACTCTGGACTTTTTTTACTTTAATACTGTGCATTTGAGAAGAATGTATTATGGAACTCGCCCCTTGGGTTCGAATCTGCCGCGAAATTACAATCCAAACATGCGACGTGCGCGCGCAGCAGAGCCTCACTTTTGGGCGCCTCATCCCTCCCGTGTGTGGCACTCAATGAGCAAGCTTTGTGGTCAAGTCGGATTTTAAGGTTATGTTATTATGTTTACCATTAACAGAACAAACTAACGTTCTCCATCCTCGTTTATCGATTTGTTTCATTATTTATTGTACCACCCAATCTTTCTTTGATTTTTTTAAAGAGCCGCCATTTGAAATCAAATAGCTCTGGACTCTGCATCGTGCACATTGTGCCATTGTGCCAATTCGTGCTTGGCAAGCTCGGCGTTCCACGTGCGTTCTCAAACACATTGTCGGTAGTTAATGTAGTGCCATGAGCTCTCTTTCATATTAATCAGAATGAATTTCGTTGTTCGCGAATCGAATTGTTTTGTCCCTGGGTGCATTAATTCATCCACCAGTGATTCTGGAAAACTGTTCTTTCCTCTTCCACGGGAAACTTCTGCAAGGAGTAATTGGTGTGTTACGGTAGGGCTTTCTCCCAGCTCCACACACGGCACGAGCTACTGTTGCGAGGATCACTTTAATGTAAGTATCTTTTCTTTTCTCAATATATCGAGTCTGTTCCTCTGTTGTTTTCCTCCACACATACATACGTAGGAGGCGCTTTCTCAGCGCTCTCTACGCCCTGCAAGGTTAGTCTAACCTCAATTTTAAAGGGCCATGAATTAGTGCCGCAAGGGAAAATCTAATAATGCTCATCAGATGATCATCGAACAGCCTCAATGGCTATTTCCAACTTTGACATGATTTCACCGAGGAAATAGTTCAAGATAAACTGATTGATGGAGGCTGTTCAGTTTTTGCCAAGGTCCGCTGATGCTCCCCAAATGTATGCATTTAAGAAACACTTTTATAGTGCTTTTGGCGCTTCTCAGAGCCTTACTACCTTTAGCCTCTATCCCCCAAGCCCCCTGGGAAGCTGGCATTTCCTAATTTCTTGTTTCAATGTTCTCTTGTTGCTTGTCCCATGTTGCCAATTTTTCACTGCATCCCCTCCTAGAACTGGGGAAAGAAACAAATTGACAAATGTCACATCCAAAAATTGCACCACTCAACAGATCGTCACCTTCCAGGCAAAGTATCACAAGCGCCATGCGACGTTTAAAAATTTCTGCCGCCATTTTATTTTTTTACAGAGAAATTGTTCAACGAAGCTGTCTGAAAATTTCACTGAATTTTCTTTGTGCTGCCGATAAAATTTAGTGAAATTTCCAAACAGATTCAACCAACAATTTCTCAGTAAAGAAATAAAATGGCGGCGGAAATTTTTAAACGTCGCATGGCGCTTGTGATACTTTGCCTGGAAGGTGACGAGATGTTAAGGTACATGCAAGCCAATAGCGCTGTCTCCACTTGTCGAAATGGCTTAAAATTAGGACTTCATGCGATTGATGAGTGTTGCATTTCAAAATAGAGTGGCGCGACTCTTGTGATCAACAATCGCGATTAGATATTGCAATCGCATGTTGTCATTTCTCAGAGCTCGTGCGTGTCGTCAGGTGAAGTATTGGGTGAAATGTGACTAAGTATTGTTAAACTATTTACCAGCCACAACTATTATCATCAAAACAAACAAGAAATGCTTTATTTATTTAGGTTAAAGGTTATGTACACTCCAAGCACAACAATGCTGCTGGACCAATCAGGAGCTAGCTCCAGCAATTTTTCAGTATAGTAATGGATAGAGCAGCTCAAAATTGACGGACCAGTTTCGGAAGTATTTTTTATATTGATTTACTTAGAGCATCCATTTTGATGAGTGGACACGGAACTAATGGGCCAACTGATGATTGATGCATTCAGACTGATGAGACTTTTGTCTATTCTTCTCTTTCCCCAGTACTAGGAGGATCTCAATCAAGCATTTTCCTTTTGGTAGCTTTTCTTCTGTCATTCTGCTCTCGTGGCCATACCAAACTAGCTGTTTGATCTTGTTGAATATGAAGACATTCTCAACTGCCATGGTCTGATGCTTTTTATCATTACAGACCTGATCTTTTCTAGAAATCCCTGTTGACCTCCTCTAGGAATCTGTCTTTGTTGCTCTTAGCGTATAGTGCTCCAATTATCAGCATCTAATAAAGTTCTCTGAATATCATCTTCACTGTCAGCAATTTTCTGCTGATTTTGGAACTTGTTTGGAACTAATGTTTGAATAGCAGATCAGTGCTGGTTGTGAGGTCATGGATTTGAGCTTTGTACCAAGTTTCTCAAACCAGTTTATTTCGAGTCAGTAGTTCATCCTATGCTATATATGAATTTTAATTTTGTAGGGAGATGGCTCAAAGGAAAAGGGTTATTTTTTTGTAATGATGATGTTAAAACATTAAATAGTCTTGAAATGAAGTAGGTTGCCAAAGGAATGGCTGAACTTGAACACCTTACTACTGCAACTCTGAGCTTTTATGCTACCATTCAGTAATCAGTTTGGTCATAAATGCAATATTTTAATTCTTTAAGTTGAATTCAGAGGACATTTAGTAAAAAGAAAAAAAATCCAAGACCGCTGAAGCTTACCATGGACACTTTAAACCCTAGAAACCTCACAGAAATTACTTTATTTTTTAGTTCGGGACGTGGAAAAAATGAGTGTAGAGTATGTATGCAACACCAGATTGCCTTGCATTTTTTGTGTCCGTCTTAAAATAGAAATCATGCTCTTATGAACGAGGCACCAGGAAACCGCTTTGAAGGGGCGGACTGGCCATGGGGGCGGGGAGACGATCGCCCTCTAACAATTTGCCGCGGAGGTCCTGAAGGGGCCCCCGCGGCGAATTTTTTTCGAGTCATCGTTTTTTTCCCGTGATGTTGTAATTTTCTTTTCCTTTTCAATCACTTAAAGGCCCCAAATTCCTTGAAAATTTGTCTCTAAGAGACATGGAAGGTCACCAAAAGCATTTGTGCTGAAGGGACCCCCGATGAATCTTGAGAATGGATTATTTTGAAGTTCAAGTAATGTAGAATCGAACTCCAATAATGCCTACATGTTTAAAAAGTGTGAAATTTTCAAAATTTACCGGGGGAGGGCCCCCGGACCTTCTTAGAGGGGCCCCCGAACGACAGGAGGGTCCCTTATATTTAGGTCTCCTCCTAACTTTTCGACTACCAGTCCGCCCTGGTATTGCCGCTACAGCAGTTTCGACTCTTAACGCGGGAGTTTAAGGGCGCTAAAGCCAGGATTGTATTTCGCAAAAAGAAAATTTTACCAGAATAATTAAAAATTAAGAAGCAGGAATATTTTCACTAAAAAATAAAAGGATCTCAAATCGACAATATAATGGAAACAAATTCGGAAAGTCTCGTCATGTAAATACAGAAGATTCGAAAACGCCTTCAATTGAGGCGTGATACCTCACGCGTTCCGGAGAGTTCAAATAGTTGTATCCCTGCGCCTTAGCAAAACGATGGAAGCTTAATACTGAAGTAACGTCCCCGCGTTGTTTTTTGGTTTCTCTGTTTCGCTACCGTAGTTTCGAACGTTAAGGCCGGAGTTTAAGGGCGCTAAAGCCAGGATTGTATTTCGCAAAAAGAAAATTTTACCTGAATAATTAAAACTTAAGAAGCAGGAATAATTTAACTAAATAACAAAAGGAACTCAAATCTACAATAAAATGCAAAAAACTAACGTAGTTAAAGGGCGCTAAAGCCAGGGTTGTATTCCGCAAATGGATAGTTTTTGCAGAATAATTAAAAATTGAAGAGCAGGAGTAATTTAATTAAATAATAAAAAGAACTGAAGTCTACAATATAATTCAAAAAAATTTGGAAAATCTCGTCATGTACATAAGCTGTCCCAAAACAACTGAGAGTAAGTCTGTATTTCAGAAACAATAAAAGATATTGAAACGCGGTTTGTGGGAGGTTGTAGCTCATATCTTTAGCTATCCAACGAGCCCAAGATTTGCTATTTTGGTCAAAATTTTGCTGAGTTACAGCAATTTTTTGGAGCCGTGTAAAATATAACCCTACAGGATTTTTGAGGATTTTTTTCCTTGTCTGAACTGTTGTTCCGAGATCGCAACTTTGCGGATTACGTTGGCACTGGTCTAGATGCAAGTTCTAACATGTTTGCATGTGCTTTCATTGCATATCAGAGTTTTCTTCAACTTCCCAGCTCAGGGAAGCCAACATTGTCCAGCGTTGATGACTTTTTCTTCCTCCGCCGCAGAAGTTGACGGCCGGCCGCCATGCGGAATCAAAGCTGCCGACTCGCGACAATCGGAAAAAGCTGCATGCCACCGATAAATGGTGCTCTCCCCAAGTCGATTTTCTCCATAAGAAACTAACATCTCTATCACGGTATCAAAGACAGTTAAACCTTGGTAAATACAGTAACGGATGGCATAGCGTTGCTCTTATTGTTTCAGCTCCGCGGGCGAACTCATTGCACCAAACGAGAACATGTGTCATTAACGCTAGACAATGTTGGCTTCACTGAGCTGGGAAGTTGAAGAAAACTCTGATATGCAATGAAAGCACATGCAAACATGTTAGAACTTGCATCTAGACCAGTGCCAACGTGATCCGCAAAGTTGCGATCTCGGAACAACAGTTTAGACAAGGAAAAAACTACTCAAAAATCCTGTAGGGTTATATTTTACATAGCTCCAAAAAATTGCCGTAGCTCAGCGAAATTTTGACCAAAATAGCAAATCTTGGGCTCGTTGGATAGCTAAAGATATGAGCTACAACCTCCCGCAAACCGCGTTTCAATATCTTTTATTGTTTCTGAAATACAGACTTACTCTCAGTTGTTTTGGGACAGCCTATGTAAATGCAAAAGATTCGAAAACGCCTTCAATTAAAGCGTGATACCTCACGCGTTCCGGAGAGTTCAAATAGTTGTATCCCTGCGCCTTAGCAAAACGATGGAAGGTTAATATTGAGGTATCGTCCCCGCGTTGTTTTTTGGTTTTCCTGTGCCGCTACTGTAGATTCGACCGTTCAGGGCGTAGTTTAAGGGCGCTAAAGCCAGGGTTGTATTTCGCAAAAAGAAAATTTTATGAGAATAATTAAAAATTATGAAGCAGGAATATTTTAACGAAATAATAAAAGGACCTCAAATCTACGATTTAATGCAAACAAATTTGGATCGTCTCGTCATGTAAAAACAAAAGATTCGAAAATGCTATCAAATTAGACGTGATACCTCACGCGTTCCGGAGTGTTCAAATAGTTGTATCTCTGCGCCTTAGCAAAACGATGGAAGCTTAATACTGAAGTAGCGTCCCCGCGTTGTTTTTTGGTTTTCCTGTGCCGCTACTGTAGTCTCGACCGTTCAGGGCGTAGTTAAAGGGCGCTAAAGCCAGGGTTGTATTTCGCAAAAAGAAAATTTTATGAGAATAATTAAAAATTTAGAAGCAGGAATATTTTAACGAAATAATAAAAGGACCTCAAATCTACATTATAATGCAAACAAATTTGGATAGTCTCGTCATGTAAATACAGAAGATTCGAAAACGCCTTCAATTGAGGCGTGATACCTCACGCGTTCCGGGGAGTTCAAATAGTTGTATCCCTGCGCCTTAGCAAAACGATGGAAGCTTAATACTGAAGTAGCGTCCCCGCGTTGTTCTTTGGTTTTCCTGTTTCGCTAGTGTAGTTTGGAACGATAAGGCCGGAGTTTAAGGGCGCTAAAACCAGGATAGTATTTCGCGAAAAGAAAATTTTACCAGAATAATTAAAACTTAAGAAGCAGGAATAATTTAACTAAATAACAAAAAGAACTCAAATCTACAATAAAATGCAAAAAACTAACGTTGTTCAAGGGCGCTAAAGCCAGGGTTGTATTTCGAAAATGGATAGTGTTTGCAGAATAATTAAAACTTGAAGAGCAGGAGTAAATTAACTAAATAATAAAAGGAACTGAAATCTACAATATAAAGCAAACAAATTTGGATAGTCTCGTCATGTAAATACAGAAGATTAGAAAATGCTTTCAAAAGAGGCTTCATACCTCGCGCGTTCCGGAGAGTTCAAATAGTTGTATCCCTGCGCCTTAGTAAGGCGATGGAAGCTAAATATTGAAGTAGCTTCCCCGCGTTGTTTTTCGGTTTTCCTGTGCCGCTTCTGTAGTTTTGACCGTTAAGGCCTTAGTTTAAGGGCGCTAAAGCCAGGGTTGTATTTCGCAAATGGATAGTTTTTGCAGAATAATTAAAAATTCAAGAGCAGGAGTAATTTAACTAAATAATAAAAGGATCTCAAATCCACAATATAATGCAAAAAAAAATTTGGAAAATCTCGTCATGTAAATACAGAAGATTTGAAAACGCCTTAAATTGAGGTGTGATACCTCACGCGTTCCGGAGAGTTCAAGTAGTTATATCCCTGCGCCTTAGGAAGGCTATGGAAGTTTAATATTGAAGTAGCGTCCCCGCTTGGTTTTTCGGCTTTCCTGTGCCGCCAGGGGCGGGGTGGCCATGGGGGCGGGGAGGTGATCGCCCCCTAACAATTTGCCGCGGAGGTCTCGAAGGGTCCCCCACGACGAAACGTTTTCGAGTCGTGGTTTTTCATCCCGTTATGTTGTAATTTTCTTATCCTTTTCAATCACTAAAAGGCCCCGAATTCCTTGAAAATTTGTCTCCAAGAGACATGGAAGGTCGCCAAAAGCATTTATGATGAAAGGAACCTCGATGAATTCTGAGAATTGGTTATATTGAAGTTCAAGTACTGTAGAATCCCACTCCAATAATGCCTAGGTGTTTAAGAAGTGTGAAATTTTCAAAATTTACCGGGGGAAGCCCCCCGGACCTTCTTAGAGGGGCCCCCGAACGACAGGAGGGTCCCTTATATTTAGGTCTCCTCCTAACTTTTCGACTACCAGTCCGCCCCTGCCGCTTTGCACAACAGATCACTAAAATTCTGAGTTTTTAAGTATTAAATCAACCTATTTTTAAGAGTCTCCCCTTCAATTTCAGTTGTACTTTCAAGTCGTATACAACTATGGGCAGTACAGAGGATTTTGTGGTATGGGTGATGATACCAATTAGCACATTTTCTAAGTAAATGTACAATTTTAAGTATGGCCAGAAATGGAAAATAAAAGAATCTAAGACTAATGTTACATTATCCTGAATGCTTCAGCCATCAGTTGACCCCTTAGTTACCACATTTTGTGTCGAAGGATGCCATTCTCCAATGTGACATTTGTCTCTTCTTTTCTTTTCCCAGTTCTAGTTTATTTTATCCAATCTCTACTTTCATCTGCCTTCGCTTTCTCCAGTGTGAGGCTGGCAATAAAAAGAGTAAACACATTAATTTAGTAATTTCCTCAGTAGTGAGCTGTGGATTTTTTACATGAATTTTAATGATGATGAATGCTATTTGGTCATAGTACTAAAGGAGTGTGTCTACACTGAAAAAGTGTACATATATTCTCTAAAAATTATTAGTGACAGTAAAATTCTTAAAGATTTGGTTTTATCATTTTACCAGGAATGGGTGTTATTTTTTCTCGTCCGGTTTTTTTTTATTTCTGAGTGGTGATTTCTAGGCTATGTCCATTTCGGGAAAAACAAACCAAAAAAAAAAAAAAATAACATCCAGGCAATCAAAATACTTAAAATGTTACCGTTGTTGCCCAAAACTATTGAATATTAATTCGGAATATGTTACCTAGGTTTAAGTTGAACTTTAGGCCCAGGAATGCTTGGAACAGTCAAGAAATACTTGGAACAGTCAAGAAATACTTAAGTCATTATTCACATCGTATCGCTCTCCAATTCCTCTGTTTTATTTTTGTCTTTTGTTGCTAAACTTGAAACGTTTCAGGCTAAATTTTTTTTTTTTTCTTTTTTGCAGCTGGAAGAAGATGTCGAAAATTGGGAGCAATATGCGACCTGGAAACATGAAGAATTGAAGACATTGTGTGTGAGGTTGAAAAAAGATGCCATTCCTCACCTCAACTTACAGGTATGTCTCATTTCACAAAGCCTAAAACGTTCTCCTTCCACATCCAAATACACACAGGCTCACGGCCTAACACCCGGTTTGAATCTCTACTGTGAGAGGAAGCATCCCTAAAGCATGGTGTTGCTTTGGTAGCACTCTAAGAATCTGCATTTATTTAAGATTGCACTGAGAAAAAAAGTTCGGTAAATCCGAACTAGTTTGGTTCATATGGAACCAAGATTTTGTTCGGTACACACGACCGAATTATTTGGTCTGCTCAGCCGAACTTTTTGGTCTACTGAACCGAACTGTAAGAATTTATTATGGTTCGGTTGCACAAACCGAACAATTTGGTTGAACAGACCGAATAATTCGGTTGTGTGTACCGAACAAAATCGTAGTTCCATATGATCCAAACTAGTTCGGATTTACCGAACTTTTTTTCTCAGTGTGGATTCCATGATTATTCGATGATTCGATTTCGGTGATTGATTTCGGGTGGTAATACTTTTATACTAATTTTTGCCATGACCAAATGAACCTAAGTGATGTTTAAGGTCAGATAAGTATGTATGCCTGACATGTATGCATGTATTTATGTATGTTTGGCAGAGTAAACAGAGTACAAATTGTTACGTTTGGTTTTTGTGCTTTTAACTATAGTTGAGAAATGGTTAACATCCCTCGGGGAAAAAGTTTTGCGTGACTCCACTGCCAATGAAAAGCATTCAGGAAATGCAGGTGTATCGAAGATAGTGCAAAGACTGTAAAAATATATGAAGGGGTCAAACATTTTTATCAATGGATGGATTTCAGGGGTTGCCTCTGATTAGGCGTAATTAGACGCTCTTGCTGTATAAACTTTTTCCCTTAACTGTGTACCCCTGAAGCAGCAGTCCCCAGAATTTAAGAACACCTAATGTTTTTTTTAAGACTGTCGCAGTTGACATAAATTTTATTAGTCATGAATTGAAACAAGTTCGTTCCTGGAACAAATTTTCTCTCCCCCCCCCCCCCCCCCCNTAGCAAAATCCAAGTTTCAATCCTATTTGTCCTAAGTTATAAAGAACTAAATAAGAAAAGTTATGATGGAGGTAAAGAAAATGGGAGTAGGTAAAGTTTGCAGGGATGGATGACTTCATGGAGCGTATTGCCATAACATTTTACGCATGAAATTTCATAGCATTTCTAGCTTGAAAGATCGCAAAATTTCTTGAAACGATTGAGGGTGCGTTCAGGTAGACAAGGTACGTTTAAAACAGCGATACTTTGCTTTAAAAAATGTGAACTCCCTCCCTCGTTACCCAAGGTTTTTAACGGCCAGTTATTTTTTTAAAAACCGAAATGTTGCCGCTTCCTACTTCTCGCTGTTTAGCCTTATCATCCATCATTTAGGAACAAAGAAGCCAAAAATTATCCAAAATGGTTCTATAAGAATCCTGATGTGGGTGCGAATGCTTTTGTTCGGTTTATTTTCTTCGGGTTAATTTCTTTCCTCTTGCCTCCGTTTTGCCCTCTCCGTAACCACAGCGCCTCGTCAGAATTAGCATAACACTGCTGCAATCTTAAATAGAGCTTTCCAGTGGTGTATAGATCACTGGGTCCACTAAGCACCGGGCGGCACTTACGCGGTTTTGACGGTTCTTTGCAGGACAGTTCTAATGGATCGTCACTTAACTGAACGCCGTGCAGTCCTGTCAGTGGTTTCCGGTTGCGTAAAACCGACGTTGACAAACTTTGAGCGGTCGTTTTTCGGACACTAGACGTTTCCCCGGGATGATCATGTGCTCGTTAGAAAGGTGGAAGGCTGAACTTTCATATCAACTGGTTTTTGTTCAGATACTGTCGTTTCCAATATTGTAGTAAAATAAAAAGCAAATTTTTCTGTTAAAACTTTTGCTAAAACCGCTTAAGTGCTGCCTAGTGTCAAGTAACCACAACTACTAAGTTCTATACACCGTTAGAAAGCTCTATTCGAGAGAAACATTTCAAAAGAAGTTCATTAAAATCGGTTGAGATGCAGAGTAGTTATGAATTGTTAAAGTTTTCACATTAAAAAATGGCAACGTCGGAACACGGCATTTCTAAGCATAACCGCAACCAGTTTGAGGCGTCTCGGGAGCTACATTATCAGGTCAAGCGTTCAAAATGCGAAAATGCGTTAGGGCATTTTTGGCCGTTTTTTCATACACCTCTTTGAAAACGAAATGATCCCTAATAAAGATTCCCGGTTTTGGAGCAGTTATCATGCGTAAGTGGATGTAAATTAGGAACGATTTCAGCCACTAATCACCCAATCTTGACCACAAGGGCGCATGGGACGGGAGAGGGGAGAGGGAACTTAGATTAAAAGCCCGTGATTTTCTTGTGAACTGTAAATGCGTGATCAAGGCGTATAATAAGTGAATTAATAAAAAATGAAAATTTTACATTGCCGAACTATTTCAGGAGTGACATAAAAAATTCGTCTCGGCCATGGAGGCC